CCGAGACTCAATTCGTATAACTACCTCAAGAGGATGGCTGTATTAGCGCTTACCTTGACAGTAATACTTCCTTGGTATACCTCGAACCCAATGGTTTAAGCCATTCTCTAATCACACTAAGCCTCAAACCATCAGCAGAGGAAACGTCAAGTCCATATTTGGGGTAAATGACAAATCGGCAGTCTCTCATCGAGGAGTCGCTGCTTGAATTTTAGGGAGCGCCCGTTATCTGAATTGCCATTTTCCAAGTTCACAATAAAACCCCCGTGAAACCTGCAGGAGTCTAAAATACTTCATGTCTCATAAGTTCTTTACTCATTTCCTGTTGCTTTCAGTAAAGAGTGCAAGACTGAGCAGTAACCGTCGAGATACGTAGGCATGTAGTAGAATCGGAAGATATAACGTGCGATAGAGCAAGAGATTGCATGCCTATTCTTGTGGTTCGGTCTTCGAAAATCTGCGACGTTTAGATTTATACTGAAAAACGCCCAAGTATCCTACTCGGAACCTTGCACTGTCATTGGACGCATCATACCCCTTGCAGAAATGCTCACTCCTTCTTTGTTTCGTGTCACAACATACAGCCGTGAATGAAAAATCAGCAAGTTCAGATTGTTTAAAGACCCAGGTACTCATGCGGGCTAAATTAAATGACTACTCAATAATCAAAATGTCGGCGTTATTCAAAAGGCGTGTATTGCTTGGAGCAATATCAGAAAATTTTCCCTCCACAAAGACTACAGGTAGGAGCCCGGCTCTACAAAGACAGGAGGAAAACTCTGGAAAGATACTAATGGACTTAGTGGGTGGATAGAAGAGTAAAAAGAACGAGACGCTGCAAACTTGAACTCGGCTGTGACGTGTCTGAAGTGGTACAGCATGGACTGATTTCCAATGAGAAACACAATCTAGCAGTTAACGTTTAAAATGTAAGAAGAAGACAACCCCCTTTCTAACGGCTGTTCCAAACTCTAGTGCTCTCGTTACGTGCAGATAGGCAGGATAATTCTCAAAGCAAAAATCTTGCCTCACCAAGCCTTTTCTCCGAATGCCCACAAAAAAGCTCTGTCAAGACAACAGATTGGATATGCAGAGCAACATGGGGGCTTGTAGAGAGATATAAATACCATTTCCCCCGGTTAACCTTTGAATTAAACTCATACCTCCAGCGATATTTCACATTCGACACTTCCAAATTAACGCAAATCCTCGAATTCGAATATGCGTTTCATCTTCATCGCTTTAATGGCCATTGTTGGCTCTGCCTTGGCTGCAGACAAGGCCCCTGCTTTGGTAAGTTAGAACAAACAAACAGCAACATCATTGATTTGGCTAATAATCATTCAGATTGGCGTCGGATACCCCTGCAAAGCCGATGGCAGCGCGGGAAACTGTGCCAGTGGCTTCTGCTTGGCAAGTCTCTTCGCCTTGTACCGAAACCTATCTGATATCAAAAGACTAACATATCACACAGCAACTTGCCCACGAGAACCAGGGGGTGTGCAAGTAGACTGCAGATCTCGCCATTGGTGCAAATTGATTGGCAAGGCAATTTTTATGCTAGAGGAAAGTCTTCAGGGGTGAGCTGGCTGGGCTAGCTCGAAATTTGGAAATTTTTAGACGTTTCTTACCGAATTTTATTGCTGATGGGATGAGTTTTGGACGAAGAATAGCTGCGCTAAACACCAGACCCCAGATGCTCTCCCATGTTAGTCGCAGCTGTCAAAGCAGAATCATCAACGCTCCTTTGTGATTCAAGATAGTGAAGCCTAGTGGTATTATTAACGTTCACACATCATGTGGGCTCTGTTATTGGATGTATCATAAGATAAAATCGTCACCAAGAATATACAAAAAGTGGCCGATGAAGCATTTGAATCGTAATTAAAATCCTTCGGTTTTTGATTAGCAATTTTCTTCTTTCTGAAATTGGTGCACGATGACCTACCCTTTTCTGTGTTACCCTCACCCATGCTTTTGCTACTGCTACTCCCACTCTGGATAGCACCCATAATTCCATCCATGTAAGGCGCGCCACTCCACTTCTGGTGAGTGAGAACTTCGACACCGAGTTCTTTTTCGCGGGACTGGACAAGACGGACATAGGCTAGCATACCCTCATCCTTAAATGCACGGGAAAGTTCAGTCGTAAGAGTGGCATTAGTGTGCAGACCAGCCAGGGAAATGAGTTGCAGGACAAATCTGAAGGAAGTTAGTGGATCGAAGCGAGAGAGATGTCATGTCGAGCTTACCCATGTTTGGCAATGTCCCAAATAAAGGACTTGAGGGAAGCCTCATCAAATCCTTGTCCCATCCAGTTGAATGAAGGGCTGAGGTTGTAGACAAGCTTCTTGCCTGGGTATGCCGCCCGCACTTCTCCGGCCAGTCTTCCGGCCTTCTCGACATCTGGGTCACCGGTTTCAACCCAGAGAAGATCTGCATAAGGGGCAAACTCCTTCGCGCGCTTGGTTGCAGCAGGGAACCCCGCTGAGTAGTGGTAGAATCCCTCGCGAGTGCGCGGGCTATCACATGACCATACAATCGGTGTTTTGGAGAAATCGTTTGCCAGGGCACGGCGACGGGAGAAGGAAAGATCGGGGTTTTTCTTAACAAGGGCCTTGTACGTATCTCGAGAAGACTGGGGAGCGCCCTCTGATTCAAGATGTGCGTCGACGGCTGCATTTAGTGAGCAAATGGGATCTTTGATGAAGAACCAGTAAGCGTACCTTCGTCTAGTGTAACAAGTTTGTGCCTCTTGACCCAGTCAAGCTCGAATGTGTCTATTTCTTTGGGTGAGGCGCCCTCTCGTTCCATAGCTTGAAGGGTCTCCGCTAAAGGTTCCACATCTTCCGCGATACCAAGGATGAATTCGTGATCACGCACATCGATGGCACTGCTGATGAGTCGGCCGCTCTCGGAATCTGTTCGAGCAATGACTAAATTTTCACATCCCATCATGTCCCACTGGAATCGAGCTGCGACCAGTCGATTGATGTGTTCCCCCATTGGGACGAGTACTTTGCCTGCAAGATGGCCGCACTTCTTTCCGCCGTGCAATTGATCCTCAAAATGAACGGCCGCCGCACCATTCTCTGCAAACAGCTTGGCGAGTTTAAGAACAGCCGATAGCCCGCCATGGCTGCACCGAGAGAATTAGCAACTTTTTGCACTATCGATCACAACAATTGACCTACCCGGTATCGCCATCCGCAATGATTGGTCGCATGTAATCAATGTAAGGTGTAGCCTTTCGCTCATCCGTGGTCATCTTTCGTCTCGCATCCCATTGTTTCCGATCATGCATGGACTGGGCCTTGAACAGACGCTGGACCTGGTTCGGGACAGTATTGTAGGGATAATCGCCGAAATCAGGCGACACCTCGTTGGTACTTGTCAAAAGAGAAGAGCAAGCCCAGCCAGAGACATACAGGGTCTCTTGGTTGGGGGCTTGCTGTGTCATTTGGACGGGGTCGATAGCTCCCACTTGTGCGTAGGTCAGATTTGTCAGATTTGGAGCTCCACCTGTCTAGGACTCACTGGTGTGAACGGGCTGGCCAGCCGCTGCTCGCTCATTGAGAAGATTGAAAAGCTTTCGCGCCATCAAAGAACTGGGGTATGTTTGTTGCAGGGAGCCACGTTTGCTCACGACGTCTGCCGCCGTGTAAGGGCGCTTGATGCCTTCGTAGCGAGGTGAATTCCACCATGATTCCACATCTCGAAGCTGTTGGTCGTAGAGTGCATCTTCAGCTGCACCTGCTTTCTCTTGTGAGGACAGCAGCTGATATGCATCTGAGGGGAGGGTGGTGGATACGGGAGGCTGCACCGGCGTCATCCGAATATAACCGCTTGTGAAAGGCCGCAATGAACTCAAAGAAACAGTGGACACGGGAGCGCGTCCAGGCAAACGTCGTATCGAGCGGAACATGACTGACGTTCTAAGTGGAATGCGAACAGATAATTGTTGACTTAAATCAGGAAGAAAGCAACACAAAGCCGAGAAATAAAAACACGGGCTCTCCGCTTGACCTCGGGCCGTGCACATCTGGGGTTTCCCCGCCACTGACTCCGGAGGTCCGATACTCGCTACTTGACTAATCCGGTCAGTTGTAGAAAGCATGATCCAAAGATCGATCTCTAGTGTGATGGGTCTTTCATTGTCAGATGCCGTGCATAGAAACGCCATTTTTGCAAATTGGTATGGGGGTTTCAACTTTCTTCTAGCTACAACGCCAATGAGGGGAAACGTGCAAACCCAAAAAAACCTCGATGTTGAATGGGCAAAGAAGTCGAGGGTGCTAGAGTACTTCCGACCAAAAGACCTCCCCCCTCCAGTTGTTGGGACTAATCTTTCTTCGTGGAGATTGAAATTTTGGTACTCTACAAGATTGTGGTAACATTGGAATTACCTCTTTATTAGACCTATCCTTCAGTTTCGCCGGGTGCATTCTGACTTTCACATCTACCAGATTCAATTAGCATCACTCTCACTGGAGCTTTACATTGCCTGCAATCACTTAAAACAACACGTTTGCTTCAATGTTTTAATTTTATTCTATCAGGCCAACTGCATAACAAACACTACACTACGCTACCTACTTCAGTCAAGCCATCCAGCAATTTCAAAGTTCACTAACAACCATCAATGCGAACAATTCAGTTCACTCCTCAAATAAGATAAGAAATTAGTTGCACACATTACCCATCACGCACAGGTATTTAGTATCGTACTGGTAGGTGAACCAATTGGATGATGCTATTCAGGGACTTTGTTATACTACCTAATAGTTCAAGTCCCTATTGTTCAATAACCAACAAAGCCTCTAGAGAAATTTACTTTGAAGAAGCAATTATGAGCGTTGCTCGAGTCGACTTTCAATAGCTTCAATACTGCCAAGCCACATCTACAAATCCCGTGAATCCTTTAGTATTATATGTTCTTCTTTTCCCTCTCCTTCCTTCTCTAGTTTGTTTTTCATTCTTTTTTTTGTTGTCGTTCACGAATGGTGCTGGCCACCACGCCTCCGTTCTCGAAAAGCGGCCCCCAGGTAATTGCTGGCGAGTACCTGGATGGTCCTCTTCTGAAGTGGGACCAGATATTCCTGTTCGACCAGCTGTTTGCCGCGGGCTCCATGCCCGAAATGTCTATTCCGACCTGGGAGCTGACCGAGCTCCTTTGCAGCATGGTCATTGTCGTGGGGCCCAGCTCCCCCCCCCTCAAGCACATCTCCTCCGTGTCGTCCTCTCTCACAAGTTTGCGTGGTTCAGCTTGCACTGGGGTAGGGATACCACACCCTAATAAGTTCCCTTCTTGAAGACTTGAAACATGTGGACAGCCCAGGTGTCCACCCACTGCTCTGGACTCTTCAACCTCCTCTACTCCTGCCCCCTGGCCACATCTGTGGCCCTCCACCAAAACCTGGTGGTCGGCGATAAGTGGGAGTCCCTTCTCGGCTATCTGTGAAATCTTTCCGGACATGGATGTCTGTGCGGAGCCTGGGAGCGTGTTGGCCACTATTCACCCTTGCTCCGATGACTGTACCTCTCTCCCTGTGGCGGCTCCCTCCACCAATAAGTACCAACAACGGTACCAGTCACGTTCTTGAATACTATTTGCGTCTATCCTCTCATTTGCAGGGGTTGTCAGTCGCCGTTTGTTTTTTTTCTTTTGAAAAATTTTTCCCCTCATTTCTAATTTCGCGTAGACGATATCCTGGTCGTAGCTTGAGGTTGTATCTGGAGTCCTAACATAGTGCCTTTGGAGAAATCATCCCCGCACGGCGTTGGTATCGCTTGTAGTGATCAATACCACCGCTGGTCCACAAATATCTACAGATTCTCTAGTCAGAATTAAACACAAGTCCTGTTTGCTCAACGCATTTTAAAAAATCAAATTAGATATAGCAGATACTCAACCCCGTTGAAATTGCAATGTAAAATGCACCAGGACATTCTCCAAAATCGGTACCCCCGCATGGGCTTTTCATCCCCTCTCCGTAAGATTTCCCTATCTTTCACTGACTATTCGCTGTCATCGTCTCTTATCTCTCTGTCTTCATCTCCGTATTTCTTTGTCTCTCATTTTCTCCCACGTGAATGGGTTCCAGCGTCGACTTGGTATGGAAGGCATTAAAATCCCATTGAGTTTAGATTCGCCCAACAACTCGGTGCCAGCGCGGGGAAATCTTGAGACTCAAAAGCCAAAGCAGACCAAGAGTCGTAATGGTATGTTTGGGTACTTTGAATCTACACCTTCTATTCGCAAAGAAAGAACAAAAGACGGCCACTTCACATTATCCACAATATTTACCAGGTCTCCACGTCCACAGGTTGCATCACCTGCAAGGCAAAGCGGTTGAAGTGCGACGAAACCAAGCCATCGTGTCACCAGTGCGAAAAGAGAAAAGTACAATGTGGAGGATACAAGAAAGACTTTAAATGGCGGCCATTCGAAGAGATCAACTTGACTTCTGGGAGACCTACAGTAGCCAAAGCCAAGAAAGGTAAGTAAGTCATGGGTGCCATGTGGATTTGACCAAACCTACTCATAAATCCTCTTCAGCAACCCTTTTGTCCCATCAATCCCCATCTGTTGGCAAAATTAGCCAGAGACTTTTAACTCCTCCCACGACTGAACGTTTAGTATCACCGATTCGCAGACAATCCCACAAGTATACTAGCTCTCGTTCGCCTCTAGACTCTCCCGCGCATAGTTCGCCCACTAGCATCAATAGCTTTCTGTCTACAGAAACACGTTTCAGTGAAGACCTATCTGTCGAGCAAGAAGATATTTCCATGGCCAAGTGCACCGAGCCTCCCTTTGATATCAACGCGTCAACGTCCACCGACTATTCCCCTTTCAATTTTCTCTCCTTTGAAAATCCCTTTCAAGATTCTCTGTCGCGCACAAACTCGCTGGTTTCTGATGTTGATGCCGATCATGCTAGAAATCTTGCTTTTTTTCCAGCACAGCCAGATTCTGATGCATCGAGACTGAGCTTCTCCCAGCTATTGGAGGATGAAAATGATGAAATCGAGGAGATGATCCGGATGTCAGATCTATGATTGGGACCTTGGAATCTCACCTTGCCAGAGCGAGACTCTTTCAATACATACCAATGCTCCAAGCGTGTCAGACAACCCAACTCTACCACTGGAAAGTCCGGAGATGCTTGTGTTGCGGTTTGATAAGCTCACATGTGGCATTTTGTCTATCAAAGATGGTGTATTAGAGAATCCCTGGCGAACACTCATTTGGCCGTTGGCAAAAAGATGCAACTGCACTTTGCCATTCCATCTTCGCTCTGACGGCTTTCCACTCGTGCAAGCAAATCCCCCATCTTCGGGCCCAAGGAGCAAAACACATGCGCCAGAGCATATCTGATCTAGTTGGACAAGTACAGAATATGAGGGCGGATGCCGCGCTGGCGACGAATCTGGCGTTGGCATTTGCCGATACTTGGGACCAACACACCCGCACGTGCATTCCACATTTGCGAGGCGCAAAAACATTGGTGTGTCAGGTAATCGCCGCCGGCATGCATGAGGGTGTTACCGATAAAGAGCTGGATCGCATCCGGTTCCTCTATAATACCTGGTCCTATATGGACGTAATTGCGCGACTCACTTCTTTGGACGAGTGTGGTCCTCAAAACTGGGATTCTTCAATTTTTGAGATTCCGAGTAATCTAGTCCATAAAATTGATCCATTGATGGGATGTGCAACTACTCTATATCCTCTCATGAGTCGGGTAGCGGAGCTGATCCAACATGTGCGGAAGAGCTCCTCGAACACGGTGTCGGTTGTGGCTCAAGCTGTGGAACTCAAAGCTCTTGTTGAGCGATGGGAGCCGCCTCAATGGTTTGAGCCCCCAGCTGATCCAAACTCCGAGGTACAGCATAGCATTCAAGTTGCACATGCGTATCGCTGGGCCACCTTGATGTTCCTGCACCAGGCCGTTCCAGAGATACCCTCTGAGCCAGCCGACAAATTAGCAAAGAGGGTCCTGATCTTGCTTGCCACAGTTCCTTATACCTCGCGGACTACCATCATCCAGTTGTTCCCTCTTCTAGCAGCTGGCTCTGAGGCTGACACTGACGACGATCGAAAATGGGTATTGGATCGATGGACCACAATCCAGTCTCACTTAATGCTCGGTGGTGTAGACCGCTGTTTGGAGGTATTGAGGGAAGTCTGGGAGCGCCGCGATGCAATTAATACCAGAAGAGAGCCTGAAATGGCTATCTCGCGAAGTACCGAGTCTTTTTCATCAGGACACCAGGAGAAAATGAGCTCATCATTGCCTAACGAGTTCCGCAAGTACAGTCTCAATGCTTCCCACGAGGGCCTAATAGGAAGAAGACCAGTGCAACCTACATCGACGTTTGCGTGACAGGGTTCCGCAATGGCGTCGCTTAAAAATCTTGAGTTTGAAAGAACTGTGCGTGGTAGATTGCACTGGGTAAATGTTATGGCCGAGTGGGGATGGGAAGGTGGGTTTGACAACTGTCAGACTCTTCTATCCAAAAGCTAACTCCGCAATTCATAGTTTTCCTTGGCTAGCTTAATAGCAACAGCCCATAATGTGGTTGCAAGCTTGGATAATCGATAGAAGAAAACCTAGGGTTCTTTGCATCCTAGCCTGCTGTACTAAGATGACGGCTAACAAAGCAAGCATCCGAGTTTCTGTTCCTTCCCAGATGTTCTCATATTCCCATATTTATGGCACTATTGATTTTTTTCTTGAAGCTAAAATTGTGATTTGTAGCCCTTGCTTGGTGTTGCCTTACACCAGCGAGGCGTCCAGAGATCTGTTGTTCTCTTGCTGATGGGTCGTCACAACTTCGATTGAGGTTCTTTTTCTACAATTCTGATCTACGCTCTGACTCCAAATTATGGTTGATCTAGGAACCAGTATTTTCACCATGATGGTGGTTTACTTGGCCTCAACACATTTATCCTGCTTTCCAAGACAACGTATGCGATACCCCTTCTTCTGAAGGCCCCCAAGCAACTACCCACAGCAACACCACGGTCACCCACGTTGCCTTCCCAGTAAAACTAACATTTGATCAGCTTGATCAGTACCCAACGCACATTGCAATTCATCTTCAGTGCCACATGCATCCTACACATCATCTCGTTCGGCCACCATCACTCGCCTCAGTGTTTAGCACGGCCCTATGCCCGCAATGCCCTCACCCAACGCAAGCAGTAAGCCACAATTGCTTTTGTAGGCGTTACTCAGCATGGCCTCGTCCGGTACTTTTTCCTACTGCAAAATTGTAAACATACCAGGAGCCTATGCTTTCAGTGAGACAGTTTCTTGGTTCTCACAGAGCAGCATTCTCTGCGGTGCCCAAGAATCCGGCTTCCCCTTGCGCGCAGAGCAACTACGTCCTTAGTCAGACTCTTTGGTAGATTCGGTATTGATCCATTGCTTGACAGACTGTGTCTCGGTCCTGGCGAAAAGTGCCATTTCAAGCCAGTCGAAACATCTACAATTCCTTGTCCCGGAGGCAGCGACAGGCATTTGATGGTTGATGAGTGTCCCTAGGCCTAAAGGGGATCAATCCCCGGAAAGCCCCACTCACCCATGGCTGATTTGTAAGTTGAAAGTTCTAGAAATTCACATTTGATCTATTTACAGAATAACTTACTTCGCACATTTAGGTGCACAAAGCCTGAATCCACCCCTCAATAGGGGAACACAAACTGCTCAGCCTTCGCACCAAGAAGAGGCACGAAATCTTCACCCTCACAAATCTTCATAGCCTTTTGATAAGCAGGCCGCTCACCAACACGCTTGAGATAAGCCAGAATGTTCTTGTGTTTCTGCTCATCAAAATCAATAGGGGAAAATCCCCTCATGGTAGTGAGAGTAAAGACCGCCATGATATCCGCTGCGGTGACGTCATTCCCAACCAAGTAAGATCCGGTTTCACCGAGTCTCGCCTCGATCATTGAGAACGCACACTCTAGTTTCGTGTCGGCCAGCTTGACGAACGGTGCTTCTGGGTCATCGGACGAGCGCTTGTTCATGAACACACGGAGCAAGGCTGGCTGCAGGGAGGCATTTGCCCAGTGGTACCACTGCAGGAATTGGATGTATTCCTCGCCATCCTTCGGTGTGCGCGCGAAGCGGCCCTCTCCGTAGGCGGCAATGATGTAATCAATGATAGCGCCTGATTCAGCAAGCACGACCTTGTTTTTCGTAAAGGGAGAGTTGTCGTCTTCGATCACCGGTGCGGTGCCAGAGGGATGCAGGTCTTTGATTGATTGCGGGGCGAGTAAAGGGTCGCGCTTGTGGAAGACATAGTCATACTTGATGCCAAGTTCTTCAGCGAGCCAGACGATACGCTCTGATTGCGAGCGGCCAAGGTGGTGGATTTTCAACGGCATCTTGATTTACGGATGAGAAGGAAGTAATGATGGGTTATTGGCGAAGTGACTATGGAATTATAAATGCTGGAATGGGGACTTGGTAGATATGAAGCCGGACTTTCGTCCAGACGGACCGAAGTATTTATGCTTTCCGCGTCCAAAGGTACCGTCGGAGATGTAGGCCGATTTTGCTTTACCTCCGGGATTTGTCAATTCGTAGCTCTAGACCTCGATTCGGATAGCCCAGTTGCTCGAGTCGTATGATAGTCCGTGGTTTGCAAACAAGGAAAAGGGTCATGCCAAGCAATATAGATTGTCTTTCGTCAGAATTCAACCTGAGAGGGAAAGGGTGAGAGCGACTTTTAGACATTCCCCTCGCATGTGGCCCAGTGTTGGCCTATGTCAATTGGCTATCGCATGGCTGCTGGTATACAGCAGGCACATCAATCTACTAAGGTCCCCTATAAACTCCCAAATTTCTTTGTATCCACAACAATTACAGCAAATAATTATTCCTTCGAGACGTCATGGCTAAGACCTTCTTACTAAATCCCCTCCCATCTGGTAGAGTCTCACCTACTTGAACACTGAAAATCAACGATGTTGGAATTAGGCGTTAATCTGCACCCCCTGGACCAATCAATATTTTTGGTATCGGGGTGGTGCAGAATCTACCTCGACCAGACGGTTTAGTTTTGTTGCCGCTTTCGTATTCCACAGTCTGGTACGCACCGAGTTAGAGCTTTACTACTTGATGCACATGCCCATAGACAGCCAAATAGTAGACATACCACCTGTAATGGCAGTTTCTTGGGTTTTTGAGGGCTGTAAACCAGACGATCGCCGACAGCAGTTCCCGTTTGATTCGGGAAAATTTGTGAATTTAAATTGATCAGACAGCTTCGGACGGATGAACAGGAGGATAGTTAGATGGCAGATAGGTCGAATGAAAGGTTGATGCCAATCAAAACGAGAACTTTAGATTGTCCAACGACCTGATATGAAGATGATCACTTCGCACAGAAATCGGGGAATGGGCTGTACCACACTCTTGGCATTTTTTCAAGCAGGCAAACTGATCCTGTCAATTTCATCTCCAATCACACTTGAAGTGTCAACTCGCGCGCGGGATGCCCTTCTATGGATCAGTTAAATGCGATTATCCCAAGGGGGGCTGACCATGAGTGCCTAGACTACACTAAACACCCGTTGACCAATCCATGATATTGTTTAAGCGTTTGTTTGGTCAAGTTGTGAATGAGACTTGAATTCAGATAGGGGAACTAGCGGTGAAGAACTCTCATTGGTTTCCTGGTCCTTGAAAGACGCATCAAAGTGGGGAATGCAAAAATCACGGGAGAGATTGCAATGTTAATACGACCCCCAGGGCGTCATCCTGGGTCCAAACTCAGTATTACCACTTAGTAGGTAGCTACCGTCGAAGCTGGCCGCTCGCCCACCTTTCCAGAGCATCATTGCGCAGTTCATCGATTTCTATCAATTTGCCATGATCAACCCTCAAGACAGATTTTGGTCCGACAGCCAAGGGCTACTATGGCCCAAGCGAAAACCCCGCCACTAAAACGTATTCCAACGTTTGGGATTGGGATCAACTCCGGATGATCAAGATTAAAGGCACCGCCAAGCTATTTCCGCCCGAGGGGGATGTAGAGCTCTCAATTTTGGCGCCATTGGCCGATTATCTATCGCCGGAAGTTCGCGCAATCACAGTCGATGACGATGGGCTTCTTGCTGAGGTTTCTACGGATCCGGAAGAAGACGATACTATGTTTATGGCGTACCCTCCCTTGTCGCTCTGCGAGTCACTCAGCAATTGCCGTACAGTTCAGTACTCCAAACTCCAAGAGCTCGATCGACTTGGACCATTTGTCGATCTCGTGTCGTACGAAAACGAATCCGGGATGCCTTGAAAGGTTGCTTTAAAGTTTAATGTATTGTATAAGCCTTTACGACTACAAATGGCCTGGGATGAGCTTAACATTCTTAAAAGCCTACCGCCCCATCCTAACATAGTGCCGTTTGATCGCGTTGTCCTTGCGGAGTCTCGGGTGATTGGATTTACAACAAAGTACATCCCGGGTGAAACTCTCGCCAATCCAAACGTTCCCTTTCGATTCGAGTGGCTACAACAGCTTACTCGACTCGTGGATTTTCTCAACCTCGAATATGGGATTATGCACCAAGATATTGCACCCCGAAATCTACTCATCGATCATTCCACGTCTAAGATTCTTCTTTTCGACTTCGATCGGGCTGCATCTGGAGATAAAAACTTACACAACGGTCAAGATGACGTCAATAGCGTTGTGTTCACACTTTACGAACTTATCACGAATGATACATCTTTTTCAGGTATCCCTCATTGGGAGCGAAATATTGATATGGTACAAAGTATCCCAGCGTGGATTAGTTATCGCAAACTGGACTCTGAGGTATCAAAATTCCGCGAATACCTGAATGAATGGGTGGCAACACGAAGATCCGACGTGGATGGGGACATGCAACGATATCTGAATGCACCAAACCGACTTAGGCTGCCGGACCTACCTACGGCGCCCGAGTACACTGTACCATTCGAGATGGGCACAAGAGATGGAAAGCCAGTCTGGAGAACGGGCCTTCGGTCTAGAAACATTGCAATGAAGCTGGGGCAGCATTGCTTTCGCTGGGAGAGGCCACCACAAAACCGCTTGTTGAGAAAGAATGAAGACACTGTTAAACTTACGGACGATGGTGCTCTTTCGCATTGAATCAACTTCAGATTTCCTTGGCATTGTTCGTTTCGTCGTTTTTAAAGTTCTTATGAAAAATACAAGGGAAAAAATAAGAAAGAAAGTGGTACAGCGACTAGAGGTCGCACAAAAGTGAGATTACTGGTCAAGCGAATCGTCAAAAAAGAGTTATAGAAAACGGGAAATGGCGTACTTGCCTTGTCAAAGGCAGAGTTGAAAGGGTTTAAAGGGGAAAGCAGAAGAAAGTCAAACTACGAGAGATCAAAGTGGGGCACTTCCCCATCCTGGCCTAGGTAGGGGGGCCACCAAGGAACGCTGTCCGTTTTCCGTGGCACTTTTGTTATTAACAAGAGCCTTTTATTAAGAACTGAGATAATCAGCCCAAAATAAATCAATTTTCTACACATGTCACATTTCATCTACCTATCTGTCTCATTGGCATTCTCAGACTTTCCAATCGTTCCATGATTGCCAGTGCTTGGACTTGTATCCAGCCACCGCAAAGCCTGCTACACCCTTACCCTTTCTACCAATATTGCTGCAGGTATCAACAACCATACCATTTCACTGCAAGTGACCAAAAAACAGGCCCTGCAGAGTATATCCTCAAGTGTTTTGATCTTGAAAACGGACTGTCTTCGTTACCACCTCATTTGGGTATGAGCAAACTCAATAGTTCCTTTCGGGGACTTTATCAGGGACGATCAGATGAATCCGCTTCTTCCAGTACTATCAAGAGATCCTCAAACTACTTTAATAATGAAGCAAGATCACCATTTAGATCCAAGATCAATCCCACAGACTGCGTGGTTGATTAATCGCGGTGTTCTTTTCGATCTTCCCGCTATTGAGCTCACAGCTGATAGGTTTAAAACTAAAAACTAAACCAATGAAGACCAACTTAGACTCCTACATCAATCACTGTCTTCTCCAAGCCAAATTTGGTGACGCCTCTTTCTTTGATTCACCGAACGTCCATTTGCTACGGCTCTGGCAGATTGTCGACCGTAAGTAAAAAAGGTTCTCTCACCTTGCGTCTGAGATTTAATTGACAAACAAGCTCCATGACCCAGCAAATACAGACAGCATAGACTTTTCTGTCAAACCTATGGATCTGTGGAAATTGGTGTTAGACTAGCATCAATGTCCGGGTCATGGTGATGGAAATTGGTATACACAGATGAGTTGGGACATTGAGACTCAAACTCGCTTTCAACTTTTGCAGTTGTTATAGTACACCAGCATGCAAAATGTTCCTTACGTTGCCCCTACACAGTCAGCCAGTTTCGTTTTCCCGTTTTCTCAAAGTTGAAGCGACCTTAGAGTGTGCCCGTAGGTATTTCATCTTGCGAACATGTTATGCCAAGCATGAAAAGCCAGTGATTGTGGTTCTGCGGCTGAAACAATGAGGAAGGGCTAGCCGCATCAAGCGAAGGAATCCTCGGCGTCATCTGCATACCCATGTACGGAGTACAGTACTCAACTACGCAATCTTATCACGCGAAGTAGGCTCACAGTCTATGAGATCGGAGATTGTCCAGCTAAATAATACTATCAATACTTGTCGGTAGGTTTTTCTCCAGTGAAAATAGTCTCCCCACTCTACCATATCGGATCTTTCATCTCAAGATTTAAACTTCCCCTCATCCTCTCCGTGGCTTCTCCCAACCCGTTCTCTGTTGGGCTGCCTAGCCAGGACATTAGATCCGAGTACCGCTTTTTGTCTGAATTGGGTTGCCCTACGGTTGAGGAAGTCTTTCTTTTTGAAGGGCATTCTCTCATTGTAGGCTATGGTAGACAGTGGTAAGATCAGGATAAAACAGAGGGAGTTCTCAAAAGCTGACTGGAATATCGATCTATCTCTGCATTGCATTACCCCTCCGAGTCACATTGATTTCTCCAACCATAGCACTTCCCTTCACCTACCACGCCAAGGCGCCATTGGCCTTGAAGCCGCCGCTTTTCGCAGATGAGAACGCCTTCTTGGGTGACGTGCAATCAAGGTATGGCTCATATAGAGTGGATTGGATCGTCAATTTTGCTGACAATGCCCCAGCGAGGACGAGAATCCCGACAAGCCCATGTCATGCGGCTTTTACCGACTAGAAAAGGCCACACGCCTTGTTTACCCCTACACCTACGACGAAGTGAAAAATAATCGTCGAGGGTAAGTTGGAGATTGCGGACGGGACGGACCAGACGGTCACGGCGACTTCGGGCGATGGATTTTTTTTTTCCCAAGGGAACCAAAATCACCTTCACGACGGATGACCATGGGCTGGCATTCTGTGTGGGTACCCCCGTAACCAGGGCTGAATTTTAAATTCTATTCAAGGGCAAGACTAATGAAACCAGACTGGCCAACGGAAGCAGGGTGCTGCTTAAATAAGTGAATAATCGAAATTAAATTTACCCCTTTTTTGAAATTTCAAGTTCCCTGGTTTGGGATTTCCAATTCTCGGGGCCCCGTGCTTCCAATCCATGGAACACTCATCTGTGTTAGGGTAGCTATTCCGAATTTGGTAGTTTGCTTATTTTCCTTGCGATAGCTTCAGAATTCCACACGTGATTACCTTACCCCAGGGGCCTCTACTATGATATAGCTACCAAAGGCAGTGATCGGACAATAATTGCTTATTCCCCGAACACGAACTTGGATGTGCGACATTCGTTAGTCTCAGAGATTATGTAAAAGTCAAAAACAGGGCGCCCAAACATATCCACCAGTGGCGGTTTCATATTCGACTCCATCCTAGTCGATCCCATTTGAGAGACACAGTCCAAGCACAGTTAGCGACTGGAAGTGGAGATGATATTCAGCTCGCCTCGATAAACTCATCCACTCTGCTGGGATTTAGGCGGGCTTACATCCAGGTGTATGACGTGGGGAGAGTTGCTACAGCAACTCTGTGAGGAAGGGAGGGGATATCGGGGGTGATGAAGTGGATAGTAGAATAGAAGAATCAAGATCTGTCCGATCTTGGTGGAGAGTGATCGACTTCGAAATAAGAAACATAAACCTTCAATATTTCCTGAGACAAAGGCAGTTATTTCTTTCTTTTTTTTTTTTTCCTCGCTCTTCTGTACGAAAGTCTTCACCTCTTTGCCTTTGTTCTGAGGTTTAGTGTTAGTGCCAATCAGTTCCGGCCTTATCACAAGGGGTCACAACCATCTCCTCTATCGCTCCTCCATCAACGCCATGGCTATTATTTCAGAGGACCATCTGGGCCTAAGACTCCCTAATCCACCACCACTGTTGCACACTCGTGGTCAATTTGACCGCCCCTCTACTCCTGCTGATGGCTTTACGAGCCCCCCCCAGACCCCTCAGGGTAGTCCCAGCAAATCACGCTTACCTCCGGGCGCACTCGACCTACCCAATGTCTTCGACAAAGCCATGAAGTTGACTCCCACTTCTCCCTCCAAATCGACATACAACCACTACAATCATCCTATGTTCTCTGCTGGCAAAACTGGCGAGGGCTACAACGAAAGCGTCATCCACCAAACCCCTATGAGTCCAACGCGTAGGGCCAACAAAGAGAACACACCCCCCAACCCCACGCGTCTGACGAAGGACCTGGGATCAACCCCGACCGCTGCAGCACTTTCACGTCAAGAGCCATATCAACCACGCGATGAGTCCACCAGACGCCAGGTCCAGATGCGCGGTCTGACCCCCGAGGAAATGGAGAAGCTAGCACAGCCTAAAGTGAAACGCCTGGTCAATGTGACCCAACTCTGTAAGCGCGGGCCAGCCCACTAATTTTGACGTAGCTTGACTAATTTACGCACGGCAGATTTCCTTGACCATTACTTCGATCTCCTCAGCTACGTTCATAATCGCCAAACCCGCCACTCACAATTCAGAGCCGCCTACCCCGACCCCCCTGCTACCCCTGACGAAGAGCACGAACCCGCCCTCCTAAAATACCTCGGTCGCGAGCGCGCACACCTGCGGAAGCGTCGCACACGCCTCCGCCAGGGTGACTTCCAGATTCTGACTCAGGTTGGCCAGGGTGGGTATGGACAAGTGTATCTGGCACAGAAGAAGGATACACGCGAAGTGTGTGCGTTGAAGGTTATGAGCAAGAAGCTGCTTTTCAAGCTGGATGAGATTCGTCATATCCTGACCGAGCGCGATATTCTCACGGCGGCTAAGAGCGAGTGGCTGGTCAAGCTACTCTATGCCTTCCAGGATGATAGCCAGATCTACTTGGCCATGGAGTATGTTCCTGGTGGAGACTTCCGCACGCTGCTGAATAATACTGGTGTCCTACATAATCGTCACGCACGCTTCTACATTGCTGAAATGTTCAGCTGCATTGACGCGTTGCACGTGCTGGGATACATTCACCGTGACTTGAAGCCCGAGAATTTCTTGATCGATTCCACCGGGCATGTCAAGCTGACTGATTTTGGTCTGGCGGCTGGTATGCTGAGCCCGGGCAAGATCGAGTCAATGCGCGTTAAGCTGGAGGAAGTGGGTAACACGCCCGTTCCCTTCGGTCGGCCCATGGAACAACGTACAATGGCCGAACGACGACTAGGATACCAGTCGTTACGGCAGCGGGAAGTCAACTACGCCAAATCGATCGTCGGATCGCCGGATTACATGGCTCCAGAAGTTCTTAAGGGCGACCAATATGATTTCACTGTGGACTACTGGAGCTTGGGATGTATGTTGTTCGAGGCATTAGCAGGCTACCCGCCTTTCGCAGGCGCGACAGTCGAGGAGACATGGCAGAACCTGAAGCGTTGGCAGAAGGTGTTACGGAAACCCGTCTACGAAGACCCGAATTACTTCTTGTCACGGCGGACATGGGATCTGATCACAAAGCTGGTTGCTGGAAAAGAGCAGCGATTCAAGAATATCAAGGAGATCCACGAACATGACTATTTCGCTGAGGTCGACTTCGAGAACTTGCGTAATCAACGTGCTCCGTTCGTGCCTGAGCTTGATTCCGAGACTGATGCTGGGTACTTTGATGATTTCAGCAATGAAGCAGATATGGCCAAGTATAAGGAGGTTCATGACAAGCAGCGTGCGCTGGAGGATATGGCCGATCGTGATGATAAGATGGGCAAGGGCTTGTTTGTCGGGTTTACTTTCCGGTATGCTCGGTTTGAACCCACTGAATGGGTGTTCCTTCGTATGATCGTTCTCTTGCTGACCATTCTAGTCACCGCAAACCCGCTGTTGACAGCAATGGCCGCACCAGCTCGCCACGGAAGCCCATCGCAACGGATGGCACATTCGGGACCATGTTCTAGGCTCCGGGCCAAAATCCAGGTTTTGCATTCATTTTCGGTCAACCTTTTTCTCTTCTTACGTTACTCTGCCGCGTGCGGGCATCCGAGCTGGATCTTGGTTGCCTTGCGCCAGATGTCCCAGTAATGAGTTTAATGGCTCATCTTTTCGTTTTTTTCTCTTGTTTCTGTTTCAACTTCAACTACATTTTCATTTTGCAGCTTGCAGCGCGATATGTTTTCTCGGCTCGTTCTAGTGTTATGGTGCGGCTGGAGTTGTGACATTTGATTCTTGTATGATACAGCCATAGAACAAAAATGGCGCAGTTTGTGTCTTGTGCTAGTGATGGTTTCATTGTATGGATTATGGAAAATGATGTTGAGTTCATTCATGAACAAATCCTGAGGAGACTACTTGGACCGCACAAATTCTCTAGCAGTAAAAGCATCGACTCTTTTTAGTTTGCAGGAAGCTGGCGCACCATGCGCAGGATCTCGGACTGGTTGTCTCCAATGACAGCGCGGCCATTGACCCAGTCAACGGTCTATAGAGTAGAGCATTAGTTAAAATATGGCCATGGAAGTAAGGACAAGGTCGAACATACAATAGGCCGCACGAAATTCTCATGATTCTCCTTGAACTTCTTCAACGCATCCTCCGCATCACGGGCGCCCTTTACCAGCTCCGCAACACCATACGTCACCTTCTCGCCCGGCCCACCGACACCACTGACGGGTGAGATGTAGTCGAGGATGCTGCGAAGCTGGTCTGTTGTTGGGGGTGAGGTGGTAACCTCCAGCTCGAACTCGCCGCGCTGTTGCTTTGTGTGGGCGGAGTGGTCGCTAGCCTGGTCTTCTGTGGCAGTTTCGCTAGCGGTTGAGGAAGCTTGTTTGAGGATGTTGAGGGTTCGAGTTGATGCTTGGATGGAGGGGGAGTGGAAGAGGGTGATCGGATCGAGGGTTTTGCTCTGTTCGTGTTAGATCGTGGTTTGGGGGCTAGGGGAGGATGAGTTGTTGGGGTTCGGAGTTGGTATAGATGAACTTACGAAGCGAAACATATTGACGGTGTGGATCTTTGTATTTGAGAATGTGGTGGTGCAAGAGGCAGGAGGGAGTTGGAAGAACTGGGGTTGACGGCAGTTCATGCATGATGTCATGTGCTAGCTCGGGTCGTCCCGGGCTAAGTTACGTTGGTCCGAGTGAGTCAAATTGCTCCTCTCTTTTGAATAACTATACGCTACGGAAGACTAGATTTAGGACTGTGATGGAGGATACAGAATCATTCTATGTGATCTGGCGTCTGGCGCCTAACGGAGAGCGATGGCATCAATATGTCCATCCAACCCTCAGCTCCGCGTTTGACTCTTATCCTCGCGGCATAGCTTCCTATTGCTTGATTGCCTATCCCCATGCAGTCGATTGGGCCGATTATGTGGTAAGACTGAGCGATGGATCCTATGCGGGTTAAGACACAGGATGCTGGGGAGGGCGCCAAATTTGGGAGCTGCGTGGTATTGTACCTCTCTCTGGAAGCGAGTATCAGACTCTCACCTTTGGTAGATGTTTTGAGCCACGCATTTAGCCATATCTGCACATAACTGATTAGTGCCTGGCTAAAGTGTCAATTGTCCAAGAATTTGAACATACCCAGGCAAAAAAAGAACAAACCATAGGTTGCTATTTCTCCATTCATAAACCAAAGTTCTCAACATGCAAGTAAATCCCTTGCGCGCCAGTTCCTTTATGCACAGCTCGTTCGTCGCTTAGAGAAACCACGCTACGGCGGACATCGTCTGCTAGGCCACGAGGTCCGCACACAACCACAGCACTTTCTCCTTCAGCTTTCTCCAAGACCTTGCGGATGATGGTTCGTGGGGTGGGACGACCAGAGAGAATGTTGGGATAAAAGATGTTTTTGCTTGTGGAGTCCTCGAACTGACGGGCCTTCACATCCAGAGCAGTCTTCTCAGATTGAACAGGCGCTGAGCCGGAGCAGGTACAGGCACAGGTGGTACTGATATCCTCATCTTCAATTTGAACAGTGCAACAGCAGCCTCCACCAGGGAGACACCCCTTGCCTGTTACCACAGGGCCTGAAGTCGAGGTTGACTCGGCAGAGATAGAGTGAATCAAAATATTGTCCTTCTCGGAGAGCTTCTTGGTCTCATCTTGCTTAAAGGCTCCCAGCATTGGGTCAGGCTGTGTCTGCAATGGTAGCAAGGTAGATGTAGGCGGATCCAGCTTTTCATCACATGTGATATAAATGCTGATTTCAATCTCCTTCTCGAAACTCGAATGTGTGCGTCGACACTCATTCACATCTGCCAGAAGAGACTGAAGTTCGGAGTCAAAGTAAGTCAGCTGAGAACGTGATTTGATTACCCAGACAAACCGCAACCGCTTGGTGGCTGTTAGGCGAGCGATGCGAGCGGGTGTCTGTCCTCCGTTACTCTCCATCTTCCATGCTAAGACAACGTCCCGCAGAAGAGGCATTGTGAATGTCGCACCCATGCCACCTGCCAGCAGTATGACACTGTCGAACTGACGCAAGGGCCGAATGCTTCCATATGGCCCTTCAATAAAAACAGTTGTACCAGACATCACTTGTCCTTTCCCCGATAAACTATCGCTCTTTGACGCATGCCGGAAGAAATGTCTCGTTCCCCCCTTCTCAGCGCGGATAAAGAATTTCATCTTTTTGTCTTCTGGGATCGAAGCAATTGTGAATGGATGACATTGCAATGGAACGACAGAGTGGCAAGTAAGGTAGACGTGCTGACCAGGTTGCCACCCAATACCGGGGTTTTCGATAGTAACGCAAGTGACATTTCCGGGCAGTGGGGTAAACTTAGCGGAGTGTGTCCAGAGAGCATTGGATTGGTTCTTTCGGTGAAAAATGGCCAGGTTCGCATATGCACCCCAGGCGTAACGAGCAACTCTATCGAAGACCAGAAGCCCAATCGGAATCCATACCCAGGTCTTGACTTCATTAGGTGCATGCATCCATACCGCAACAAGAAAGCCAACAAAAGTGACTAGATGCTGGATAACAAAGAACTCATAACTAAGACGACGGATAGGAGCGAAAGAGGTGATCACAATAAAGGTGAGGATGATCCAAGCGGCAAACCCACGCTTCGTCAACGGATCGTTATTAAGCTGGTAGGTGATATAATTCCAACGGCTCCAATCGCGGAACCAGAATCCCATATGGATGGTGGTAGTCAGCCACAGTATCCGGGAAACCCAGCGATGGTACCAGTTCAAACTGACGTGGCTCATTCCTGCCAAGAGCCCAATAATGTTCTGTCTACCTGACAACAAAAATATCAATGGCAGCTGGCAAATCGCAATGAAACCAGTACGGTAGCCAACGTTCTCCCATGCCCATGGATCCAGGGTGTCCAGCTTGTAGAAACAGAGGACCATGACCACTATCAGATTGGCTAGCATGATGAGGACGGGTCCAAGTGGTGGGAAATGGAGAGTGAATCCTCCCAGTTGGAGCGGTTGTGGAGTTGCATAGCTGACTTCGCGGGCTGTTGCTGTGATGGTAGCGTAGAGATTGAAGAAAATTGATTTTGGTTTGGCAGGTGTGAGTGAAGAATCTCGCAAGCTGATTATTGTTAGCCATTATCATCGGATGTCAAGACCAAACATACCGGTGGCTAGCAATAACGCGATCCAGCACGTTAACAAGGGTTGCCGCACCGATTGCACTTCCCACGACAGCCCAGTACATTTTCTGTAGGGTGAACAGACTTGGAATGCCATCGCCCATGGACATTGAGCCCGCAGGCATGTCACCCATTGACATGGACATCTTGTGCTAGAATTGTAGTTAAATAAAAATATCAGTTTTCCTACAAAGCACAATCCCCGGTGTTCACGGGTATATGGAGAGATCGCCAATGACAGCGCAGATTACCAATATTATGCTCAACCATGCTCACATCTCCAGGTGGGGGGTCCACCATGTGGGCACCGTTTTCGCCCAATGCGTCAACGCAATGTGCAACAGTTGGCTAATTTCCTTTTTTTCTATCTTCAGTCTTGAATTTTTATATTCTGTAGATTCTCACACACTCCTCATCAATCATGGAAGGCATGGATATGAGCAGCAGTTCTGCCTCAGACGGTATGAGCTCCTCCATGGGCTCTATGAGCATGACTATGGTATTCCACAACACCCACGACACGCCACTTTTCTCCAATGGTTGGACTCCTTCGTCCTCTGGTAGCTTTGCAGGCACATGCATTTTCTTGATTATTCTCGCTATCATCGACCGATGCCTTATTGCTTTCAAAGCAACGATGGAGCGCCACTGGCTTGCCACACATCTCCATCGACGATATGTCACTGTGGCTGGCAAAAGCACCGAAGCTGGCAAGATTGACGCCGACCCAGATGCGAAATTTGCATCCCTTGTCACCGCGCAGGGAGTTGAGGAATCAGTCAAAGTTGTGCAGAACATCACCCGCGGGCCAATTCCCTGGCGGTTCAGTGTTGATCTACCGCGAGCAGTCCTGTTCCTATTCATTGTGGGCATCTCTTATCTACTGTAAGTTCTAATATATTTGGGACGTTATTGCCTATATGCTAATATCAGACCTAGCATGCTAGCTGTGATGACTATGAACGTCGGTTATTTCTGTTCGGTGCTTGGAGGCGCTTTTCTCGGGGAATTGGCGGTCGGCCGCTTCATTCAAACGAATGAGCACGGACACTGAGGATCCTTCTTTTAGTCACACATTTTACTGTCCATTTAATTTTATGCCCTTCAGCATCTGGCGTTTAAGAGGAGTCATCTGATGGGAATTGATTTTTTGGAATTTTATCCATCTCTTTTTTTTTTATTTTTTCTCCATTCCACTAAAAATCCTTCAATCGTCTCCGGTCCGGAGCAAATCACATGACTAAGCTTTGCGCGCGGAATTGAGCTAATTTACTAACCGAATTAGGCTAGCGCAACGGGCAGTGTCCACTTTTAGCGCTAGCGCAGGGCTTCAATTTACGTTGGAACAGGTGAGAGCTACCAAAACAGCAAGTTCACGCCATTCTAATTGAGAGTACTCCCTACTCTGTACTCTATATAGTCTGAGATATACCTCATTGTTAAGAAACTAACAGGTGTGCTACGGAGTACTGAGGTACGGATGTAGAATTGTCAAGATATAGCACGATAAAAGAAACACCGGGGGTGAAAGTGACCATTTCACAGGAGTCTAAAAGATCAGTTCATAGAACAGGTATCGGAAGATTCCGAAACCTGTTCAGTTCAATCTCAAAGGGGATAGGGTCATGATTGCCGATATCTCGGATTCCACGGGCTTCATAGGTGGACCCTAGTTTTGTTCAGGTCCCGCTAACTCCCTCACCTTGTGAGTGCAGAGTGAAGAGTTCAAAGAGCTGGGCTTTCCCACCTTTTCTAGTACATAATCTCCTATCTAATTTAATTCCTGTCCTCCATACTTTTTTTTCCTCTCTTTCTTTACAATTCTCCGACAACATACTCGCAATGAAGTTCTCTCTCCTCGCCTTCACGGCCATCGTGCCATTGGCTTCCGCACACTTCAAGTTGATGTATCCCACCTCTCGTGGCTTTGACGAGGATACTATGCCCAAATTCCCCTGCGGTGGAATGAGCCAGTCCTCTAATCGCACCAAGCTACCACTGTCTGGTGGCTCATTCCCCGTCGCTCTTGAGATGCATCATTCCCAGACTGCCGTTGAGATCCTTCTTTCTCTGGGCAGCGATACAGGAGACAACTTCAACATTATCCTCTCGCCAACTTTCCAAGTCAGGGGACTTGGCGAGTTCTGCCTTCCTCACGTCGAGATCAATCAGAAATTGATCGGCCGCAATCTCACCGATGGAATGAACGCTACCCTCCAGGTACAGACCAACGGTGACTCAGGTGGCGGTCTCTATGCTGTATGTTCATTTCTCTTTCTTCTCCTTTTTGGCTCTTTTTTGTATATACTAATACAATTTAGTGCGCTGATGTCCAATTCTCCTCCGACGTCACATACCAGACACCATCTGCCTGTAGCAACAACACTAATCTCGTTGCTACCACCTTCCCCGAGGCTTCTGCTGCGCGCAATGCCAACGAGTCTACTCCCGAGGGCCAAGCACAGAGCGGATCCTCTTCCTCCACTACCTCCACTTCCACTTCCACTTCAACTTCAACCTCCACTTCCAAGGGTGCTGCTGTGCCGATGCAAACCGCCGCTTGGGGAGTTATTGGCGCTGTTCTCGTCGGTGGCATTGCTATGCTGTAATAGTCGATTCTTCGATTTCTTACTCTGTTGGTCTAGGGTCTCGGGGCTTCGCGATGCATAATGAACAAAGATATCTCCTGTCCCTTCGTTTCCTGCTCACAACTAAACAATCAACTTTGTATTTCTTACCATATTACCACCACTTTACCCATCAAAATATACATTCCGGCTGCCTTGTCATTTTTACCAACCTAGGATGTTACACAAGATTCAGGCAATACCTTGACTACAGCTAAAGGGTAATTGATATCGCAGTGGCTTTCTTGATCCATCTCTCTTCTATGGTGCACATAAATCTTACCAAGCTTTGCTGATTCTTCAACGAGATTGCAGGCCGAATGAAGTAGCCACTCACGAAGCAACTGCATGGGCAAACCGTTCAGTATACTCACACTCCAGAATTTCACTGTCGCTCTTTAACAGCAGTAGAAGAATGCGTTTCGTGGTTCAGATGTGTGCATTGTAGAGTGTCACGTGTGCGGGTAGATTGACCTATATCAAGCAACTAGGGAAATCGACAGGGAGCCAGTCTCTGGACATTTTGGGCATCCAACAAGCAAGAGAAAACTGTCTACGCGGTACTGGCAACACTCAATTATGGAGGACCTTGAGACACTACGTCCGGTTGGTAAGTAGATCTCTGTCAAAAACATCCAGGAATCTCTTCCAGAAGTCATCAATGCCTGACCCCAGTCAGGTCGATTGGAGCAATACTCTACATCGCGCCACCAGGTCGGATTTTATTTAAATGTTGCTGTATCAGCAACTTATTTACTACCAGGTTCATTCTTGCTTTCGATCAAAGATTACATCTATCAGGCATGCGAGGCCGCCATCACGGAACATCCGTCGCTATCCGCCATCGTAGCAGACGATCACACTCAAGACCCCTATTTCGTGCGGCTGCCAGAGATTTGTCTTGACCAAGTTGTATCTTTTCAGGATTGGAAGCCAGGCTTGTTAGCTACCGAAGCCGATGGCGAGCCTACTCCGGATCTTGATTTACAAACCTTGCTTGCAACCCAGCACAACACGCCTTTCAGGGCTTCCAACCCCTTATGGAGGGCATGTGTCCTGCTAGATATAGAGGACAAGCGGCAATTCACTGTGGCGTTTGTATATCACCACGCCATTGGCGATGGAACCTCCGGGAAAGCCTTCCATCGAACCTTCCTGCGAGCCCTAGGCGCAATCAACTCCTCGAACCAGACTAAATCCATCATTAAGTCACCACGGCTCCCTCTCTTGCCAAACATTGAGCATGTGCACCCGATGTCTCTTTCCTTGTTCTATCTTGCCAAGAAAATCTTTCAGGCAAAAGTCTACTCCCGACGGCCCGCAGGTCTATGGACCGGCTCTAAGGTCCTAATCCCCTCTCAAACCCGCCTGCGGCTCGTTCCATTCTCCAAACTACTCGTCGCGGCAATAAGAGACAGGTGTCGACAAAAGGGTACAACAATTACCGCACTCCTACAGACAATCGTAGCCCGCTCACTCTTCGCACGCATCCCGCCTGAGTTCACGCAGCTTGTTTGCACTGGGGCGCTCTCAAGCCGGCGCTGGCTGCCAGAAATTATCACTGATGAATCAATGGGTGTTTGGGTCCAGGATTATGAAGAGACCTATTCCCGGGCGGCAGTGGCGCCCTCTGACGGCTCCTTCCCGTGGGCAGAGGCTAGACGGTCTCGCAAGACCATTGAATCCGTCCTGAGCAGGAGAGGGGGAAATGCTAGCACGAGTCTCCTGCAGTTTGTTGATGATTTTCAGCAAGAATTGTGCTTGTCCAAGGTTGGCAAGGACCGCGACAAGAGCTTTGAGGTGTCGAATGTTGGCGTTCTAGATCCGCAAACAAATCCTGACTTGCCTTCTATCAATGGCATGGTGTTTTCGCAATGTGCCAGTGTGATGGGTAATGCCATTGAGGTGTCAGCTGTCACTGGAGGAGATGGGTGTTTGGTGCTGGCTGTCTCTTGGCAGCAAGGGGTTGTGGAAGCTGATCTCATCAATGAGGTTGTTGAGTCGATTAAGCAGGAGCTGAACTCTTTAGACGTGCTATGATCAACGGGGATCATTGTTACATAGGTATGACCTTCATAATTTTTAATCAAGCTTTCACAGAACGAGCCCTGGTTTCCGAGGTCATCCATGGATCTTCAGATGCTGTTATCAGATGGGCGGTGAGATGGCGATAACGTCGGCGGCAGAACCGTGGGGAATCAACAACTCGAGAAATCTCTCTGCTTTCCTTTCAACTAACATCTTTTTTTTTGATCTCATATCCTTACATCGATTTTTAAAATGGTTCGTGCTCCCTATACTGTTCCGGCGCTCAAGAAGCACACCGCCACTGTTATCATGGCCCACGGATTGGGGGATAGGTAAGCGCTCCTCTCGAAAAGACAAACGGTAGCATCGACTCTGACAGTGTTTGAATATAGCGGTGCCGGATGGTATGGGAATTCTCAAAACTCACCTGGTCCAAGTCCATGAGCCTCACTTCTGACCATCAATTTGTAATAGGGTGTCCCTTGCCCAGACCTGGCGCCGTCGCGGCAAGTTCGACGAGGTGGCCTTCATCTTCCCCAATGCGCCCGACATCCCGATCACAGTTGTACGTGAGCCCATGCGTAATGAAACGAGCATGTATTGACGAAGGAATGAATAGAACTTCGGTATGAGCATGCCCGGGTGGTACGACATCACCAAGCTTGGCCGTGACGTGAGCCCTCCACTCCCAGAATCACCGAATAAACTCTTAGCGCTGATAATCATCTCCCCCTATCCAGATGGACTTCGAAGAAGCCCTCCGCAATCAAGATGAGCCAGGAATTCTCCGCTCTCGTGACTACTTCAACGTGCTTATCAAGGAAGAGATGGATAAGGGTATCAAGGCTTCGCGTATCATCCTGGGCGGGTTCTCCCAAGGCGGTGCTATGTCCGTGTTCGCCGGTGTGACTAACAAGGAAAAGCTCGGTGGTATCTTTGGTATGTCGTGCTACATGCTATTGAGCGACCGGATTAAGAACTATATGCCCGAAGAGTGGGCCAACAAGAAGACGCCGTTTTTCCTTGCTCACGGCGTTGAGGACAATGTCGTTCCATTCGCCTCTGGGAAGATCTCGGCGGCTAAACTCAAGGAGCTTGGTCTGGAGAATGTTTCCTTCAACAAATACGAGTATGTTCTCGGTCGATGTTGTTCTGGGTTTTGATAGTTCGCTAACGTGATTGCAGAAATCTTGGCCACTCGGCAACCCCCGAGGAAATTGATGATCTAGAGAATTTTATTGAGAAGGCCCTTGCCACTGACGGAGAGGGTAATGCTTCTGCCGGCTTATGACTTGGTCATGATCAGAGCAAGAACATAGAAAGTGGCATTTGGGGACACACCTTGATTGTAGGTTTCATGCTGCTGCTTGCTGCTGTCATCTGGTATAGATACCAGTTGTCAAAGCAGAAACAATCCATGCAGAAGCAGCGTTAAGAGCCCCAATCGGAGCTCACTTTTGGCATCCATAACATTGAAATTCAAAGATACCAATTCTGGCAAACCTTAAAAAGCAAACAATTCTGCGTAGCTGGTAGTATGGGTTCATTCTAAACTATTCAATTCCATAGCTAATTATCATAGGGGATGGGATAGGTTCGGTCCTATGGGGGGAAGTCACAGGTCAGGAGGCCGCTACTAAATGGGTTGGGTGCGACGGTCAATGTTGTCACTTCGTTGCCCGGCGCACCTGATAGTTAGAAGGGTACTATATGTGCACATCCATACTGAAAAGAAATTTCAATTAATAACCATATTGATTAAACTGATGGGATCGGATGTCTGGAAGGAGCGGATAGTTAGAAGGATTGATCAGCGCATTAGGGACCTGCCTTCCCAGCAACGTGGACACCATGTCTCAGCCCTGTGGAATAGGAAAGTGCGACCTCAACTCACGGTCCTTTTAAATCCTAACTAGCAGAGTCCATGGGGCCAAGGATTTTATTAGCGTGATTTACGGACAAGCTGTTGTGGTTAAAAATCCAAACATCAGCAACAGGTGCCGCAGATCAATGCAACGGGCCCGATGATTATTGGGGGTTGATTTGGATCGATCGCGTGAATTACAAGCGCATTAGTAACATCGACGATCAAATACCTGCGTTAGAGATATTCAAGGTTGTGCACACAGTTAAAACGCCTGTCACAGAGAGTGGAGGAACTCTCACGATTGGAGGCAGTCATCAATCTAGTGCGGGCATGCAGATATATTTTGTTTCATCCTTACATTTGAAAATCAATTTCATTGAAGTTTTGAATATTCCATACGACTTGAACACGTCCCGCCATGATCAACAGCAGGTGTTAATAGTGATCAAAATATATTTCTGTCTGCAAACCCCGCCAATGTGATCAGTAGACCCTAGCCCCTGAGGTTATTATTATAGTCTCAACAAGTCTACAGCCTCCTTCTCAAAAGGAGCAAGTACCAAGACTAGCACATAATCCATTTGTTCACAACGTGTTTTTTTGCCGGCACTTTTTGACCCTCAGGGCTACGAAATGCTCCGCTAAGAATCATAAATGAACGCGGAGCCCTACATGTATGTTCAATATCCCAACTCAATGGCTGACTGGCAAGCCCATGTTCTAAGTGACAGTAGATATATACGCCATGAATGCTGTAGAACGAGATATGCTTTTAGAGTATGACATTCAAGAGACGCAGTTCGGAGATCGGTAGTTGTACATTGATGTAAGCCTCAGATATTGAGGCGGTAGATGCAAAGATGAGGGAAGAGTCGCAGTTTCGTACAGCCAATAAGAAATCATGACATTCACCCAGGGTTATCCAAAGTTGCAGATAGTGCAGAACTTTCGGGCTCTCGAAGCCCCGGGATGAAAAAGACAGTTGCGAGAGGAGCAATCGAGTCAATGGCCGGGGAGGTGGAGGAGGGTTCGAGATGTAGGTAGAGCAAGCTCTTTGTGCGGACACAGCATGGTCACAGATCAATGGTCGAAGCAAGAATTTTGCAACCGAATGATCATTTTTCACCCAACATCTCCTTGCGCATCTCCTCCCGTTGTATCCGCGTTTGTTCCTTCTCCTTTGCGCGCTGCGCCTCCAACGCTGCTCGCTTCTGGTCTAATTCTTCCTGGGCAGCGTACCATACTAAAAAATTGGAGTCATAACAATTAGCCACTAATGCACTTCCAGGCCAGAGCGAGCCCGGTTTCACGGACATAACCATCTCCGGGGTAAATTGCAAGTGCATGACATACTGGACTTATCGGACTTGGACCACTCCTTCAGCTTACTGACGTAGTCATCAAATTCCTGCGCTCGGCGGTCCCCTTGTTCGGCGCTGCGCTTCTGCAGATCCGGGTTGTATCGCTTCCTAAGCTCTTCATCGGAAGGTCGGAGGTACTCAACGAAAGCGGGGCCACCGACGACCATGAGAAGGCCACTATGGTGAGAACCGAATGTGAGCACTCGTCTTTGCCACGGTGCAGGCGAATATCACTTACCCGGCTATGGTCTTCGCCCATAATCCGGCGCGAGACATGGTGGTGAATCCGAAGGGCGAATGCTGACTACCGATTTAGGGCTTCGGTGTGACGATGTGTATCTCAGATGACTCGGGCAGATATACTTTGTAACGCGAGATGCTGAGACCGATGGAGATCATCAACATCATCGCGGCTCTCATTTGCTGTTGGGGGCGGCGTGGCGCAGCCGATGTGGCTTAGTTTTACGCTTTGCCCGATCGAGCACGTCTCACAATTTCGTGTCTCTCCCCACACTTTTTTGTCAACTTTTTCGTGACGTCTTCTGGAAGTGTTCCGAGACAAATGTGGAGTCTATCATGTTTTCATGTCTTACTGGCCTACAGAGTACCTCAAAGTCCATACCTCCGAGTTACCGCGTTATACAACCTTGGGCAGCCCTCGTGAGTGCATTGATCCACGGGTGGATTGGTCTGGTTTAGTCATCATTGTTTGACTTTGAGGCTGGACAGCTGTAAGCCCTGGATTTGGATGGCAGAATGGCCAGTTTTATGGAGCACAGTGACTCGGGAAAGCACACCTGTTAGCCACCGAAGTCCCAGTGTTGAAATTTCCAAGGTTTGTGTGATGGTAATTGTGATGGGCTTGCAGGACGAGAAAATCTGCAGGACTCGGGCCCCAGCAACGCCCCCCCCCTGATCGTCAGGCACCGATTGGGATGAAATAATTTCCACCAGCTTTGCCTTCATATGCAATTATATCCACTGCATACCAACATTGAACCACGCATTGTACTATGCACCAAAGTGTTAAAGATAGTGTTTTGCCAATATGTTAAGTAAATAATGCTCCTCGGTGGAAATAAAAAAAAAAAAACTAAGGAGATAGTGAACCAAAGTAGTTAGTCCTTTTTAAGGCTCAAAAGGAGATTGGACATCCGTTTAAAAAAAAAGAACGAAAAGCATGAAAAGCCATGAAAAGCATGAGAAGTATGGAAAATTGTGAAAAGTGTCTCTCTCAGTGTGGGTCAACAGACTGATTAATTTAAAGGTCACCTGCTCCGACCGCCCCTAAAACATTCTGCCCCCGCTTGATTTACTCTGAACTTTTTCAATTCACTTTGGACCGGTGTGGCTCCTGACCCCCTCAGCTGCTTGATTGGCTTGCGACACGCTCGTTGGTCATTCGACACTGTGGTTTGGCGTTGCGCGAGGTAAGGATAGGTGTGGAGTCCCAAGGACTGGTTGCCTTCTCACGAGATCCATGGATAGTGAAATGGATGAGCTAACTCCAAATTGTAGCCCTGGAGTCCTGGAGTTTACCGAACTGTCCACTCCTTGCATGCGACTACCCACCAACGAAATTTGCACAGTGAAGGAAACCCGGAAGTCTACTCGAATCACCAGCGTTGTATGTTACGGTACGCCTGTCAGCTTGCGCCATGTCATACCCACAGCAATATCAGGCGCAGAGGCTGCCACCTTTGAGACAATACAGTAATGCCCCTCCACGCTCTGTGACATCGTCAGGAGGAAATTCGCAAGATGGCAACTACGGAGGATACAGCGACGGTGGCATGAGTAGCCACAGCGACCAGCAGACTGGCCCGGGCTACGACGATGCGGCATACAGTTACCAGTCCAGCTCCTCCGGTTCGCAACCATATGCTGTTGCGCAATCTCAGCCATGCTCAATGCGCCCACCAGGCCCGCCAGGTCCGGGATACGATGATCGGCGCGGCTATCCTCCTGGTGGAAGACCACCGCCCCAATCGCGGCCAAGAACACGTATGTAAATTCAAACAGAAGCCCCCAAGCGCCAACTAATCGACTTCAAGCTGGTGGACGCCCACCCCCAGGAGGTACCTTCGACAATCCCTTTCCCTCCTTCCCAAATCGAGACCCGCGAGATCCCCGAGACCCGAGAGGAGCCCCTAGAGACCCGCGAGACCCGAGGGATCGGGGCGGTCCACCACCGCGAGGGCTAGAGAAAGAAATGGCTGCAATGGACATTAATGGCAGGGCCCCGCCTGGACCGCACACTTCAAACCCCAATGGCAGACGGCCAGATATGCGACAGCCACCTCCACGCGGACCTCCACCAGGGCGGGGCCGGGGTGGCTATCCAATGGGTCCGGTGCGAGCTGCTAGCTCAGGCAGACCAGACCGACCTGACGGAGACTATCCAGACTCCATGGGCCTGTCTATGCCTCCGCCACCAAGAAGCGCAACGATGCCACCTGCTCCAGCCGCACCACTCTACCCAGGCCAGTCTACCTACCAAGAAACAGATTACCCAGCGAGCTCCATGGGTGAACCTCCTATGCGTCTTGATGCTGCTGGGAGCATGCAACCCCCACGATCTCGTGCCCCCAACGATATAGACCCAAGCCTCATGATTCCTGCCGCGGCATTGATGATTCCCCCAGAGCCCGCCAACCGTGTTTCATATGCGCCCAAGGAATTTTTGGACAGTTATTATGAGTCTAATGGTGCTGATGAACCCGACATGCCCAATTTTGATGCCATGCCTCAGCAGCACACCCTGATTGATGAGATGGGCCTGGAAATAACACCGGTCCAGAGGCCAGTCCAGGGTCCGGTTTCCCCATATGGAGACCATTCGTATCCTCCCAACGGAGTGGAGGCTATGCGCTCCCAATCTCAACCAAATTTCCAACCCGCAGACAGTGCCAATCAGTTTGAAAATGCAGGGTTTCAGTTCGGTATTCCTGGAGAACATTCCCTTGCTCCCGCTTTCGATCACTCAGGCTCTGCTGGCTATGTGTCAAATGGTTATGAAGATTACGCCGGCTATTCGCATGGTCCTTCCCCGGTCCAGACCAACCAGTCAGGTTATTCCTACGATCAGGCCGAGATTCCAGATCCTCACCAGAATCCCGATGCTCTTCCTCACCACCCAGCCCCGTTCCGCCTTGGCCATGACCAAGGGTCAAAACCCGTGCCGGTTCGGCAGTACAGCACTCCTGAAACCATCCCAGCCCCCGCTGCTCCCCAGCCAACGATGGTGCCTGGGGGAACGGCTCAGACGCCTCTCACGATTAAAGAGATACAGCGGCTGCAACTGCAGGCACGATCCAATCCTTATGACCAGAAAACTCAACTTCTACTCGCCAAAAAGCTGGTCGAAGCATCCACAGTTCTTGTAGAGGACAGCAGCAGGCTCGATCCAAAAACCAAAGCCAAGGCCAAGGAAAAATACGTAGTAGATGCGCTTAAGATTCTCAAAAAGCTTGTTACAGCCGGGTACTCCGAAGCCCAGTTTTTCCTGGCTGATTGCCATGGCGAGGGCCGACTGGGACTTGAAGTCGACCCCAAGGAAGCTTTCTCACTATATCACTCTGCTGCCAAACAGGGACATGCACAGTCTGCCTACCGTGTGGCCGTATGCTGCGAGATTGGCCAGGAAGAAGGTGGCGGTACCAAACGTGACCCATTAAAGGCTGTTCAATGGTACAAGCGTGCCGCTGCGCTCGGTGATACACCCGCCATGTACAAAATGGGAATGATTAATCTAAAGGGACTGCTGGGTCAAGTTCGGAACCCCCGGGAGGGGGTATCATGGCTCAAGCGTGCGGCTGACCGTGCAGACGAGGAAAATCCACACGCTCTCCACGAGCTTGCCCTCATGTATCAGAACGCTGGCGGCAATGACATCATCATCCGCGACGAGCAGTATGCCTCCCAGTTATTCCACCAAGCTGCCGAGCTAGGCTACAAGTTCTCGCAATTCAAACTTGGTACTGCCTACGAACACGGCCTCATGGGATGCCCTATAGACAACCGCACGAGTATTATCTGGTATACTCGTGCTGCAGCCCAGGGTGAGCACCAGAGTGAACTCGCCCTTAGTGGCTGGTATCTCACCGGATCCGAGGGCATTCTACAGCAGAATGATACCGAGGCCTATCTCTGGGCTCGTAAGGCCGCCACCGCAGGTCTTGCCAAGGCAGAATATGCTATGGGATATTTCACCGAGGTCGGAATCGGCTCTGCTGCTAACCTAGACGACGCAAAAAGGTGGTACTGGCGCGCAGCTGGTGAGTCATCTTCCTTTCACTGCCTTTTGCTTTGAACTCAGCTGACTTTCTTTTTTTCAAAAATTACAGCCCAAGGGTTCCCCAAGGCTCGTGAGCGCCTTGAAGACCTTAAGAAGGGTGGAAGCCGAATGCAAAAGACTCGTCTCTCACGCTCGGCCGTTGACAAGCAGAGTGATGGAGACTGCGTTCTTATGTAATTGGATATTTTCGTCCCTTCCTTTTTTGCCTCGCTTTAGACATGGCCTCAGGCGCATGCATGCATTTCCCTTGATGATCACCGGCGCTTGATGCATTCTACACCGGTCAAGAACGCTTCTTTTCTACCTCCTGGACTATACGATTACTTTAATTTCTTATCTCTCCTCTTTTCCGTTTTTGAATGCCCTTCTGTGATTCGCATTGCTCAATTTCTTCTTCTCCTCCCCTTTTAATCTTTACCTTTTTTTTTAACGAATTGGATGTGCATGACTGGAACGGACCCGATGGAGCAGCCAAATATCCCGGAACTTGTTGTAGCACCTGTGCACATAGATTGTTGAACAACTTTAATACGTGTACGATGTTATTAGCATCTAAAATAACTCCTGACGTCCCCCCAGATCTCCGTAAATCCGAGCCAACGTTACCAACGGATATATGAATTACCAGCGGGCAAATTCCGCACTGACACACAGCTTGTGGATTTAATTTCCAATGCTCGGTCTTATGATCGGCTCTCTGCGCTTCCGAAGGCATCTAATTAATCAGCTCTTGCTATACAGTACATACCTTCTTTTTGCCTTTACATTTGAATATAAAATACTAGGGCCGCTATTTGTTGAGTTCTGGAATTAGTGCGTTGCGAGCTCAACCCAATACAAGGTATATATGTCTTCCGAACCAAGCCGACACAACGACTCGAGAACACAAGCGACAAATCCATTCGGCGGATACAAAGTCGCTCTTATATCTCTTTTGATAGTCCTCGCAGCTGTACTTATTACCCTACTCTGTGGAGACACCGCCAATCTGTTCGGTTTCCGACGCCTTCTTGGATCTTCTGCGCGCTCAGCGGCAGTACCTCTATCAGCTTCAGCATCTGCAGCTGCAGCAGCTGCGACCCTGAAGGGTCAATCAGACACATTCATTAGCGATCACACACAATCCAGCATGAAGACACCTATTTACTTCCTCGGCCATGGCGGGGTGAGTCATCTGTATCCTGGTTCTGACAGTGACCTAAATGCTGATTCAATCCGCACCAGCCAAATATCATGTACGATCTTGACCACCCGGCTTACCGCAAGCTTGGTGAGATTGGGCGCGAAATAACCACGAAGGTCAAGCCGAAGGCTGTCGTGGTGTTTTCGGCGCACTGGCAGGGCGGTCGAAATACGATCGAAGTAAATACCGCCGAGAAGACTGATTTGATCTATGAGTAAGTTCGATATCAGAATCCCAGCCGCTATTTTGAATGTTCTGAACTAATGGGAGCTAGTTTCGGTGGCTTCCCAAGCCATTACTACAAAGAGAAGTACCCGCATGTGGGTAGCAAGGAGGTCGCAGAAGAAGTGTTGAGATTGTTGAAAGAAGCCAAAATCCCGGCCGAAGGCGTGAAGCGTGGACTCGACCACGGCGTCTGGGCTAGCTTCAAGTGCGGTATGCTACAGTTTGCATTCGAGCGAGGATTCAATGCTGACATGGAAACTGCAGCCTTCGAGCCAGACACAAATCCACTGAACGTTCCCATTGTGCAAGTCTCGCTCTTCCGCACCGAAGATCCAGACCAGCACTACCGGCTCGGACAGGCAGTCGCAAGTCTTCGCGAGCAGAATATACTGATCATCGTGTCTGGGATGGCTGTGCACAACCTGCGTGATATGCGGTTTACTTTTGGCAGCTCGACTCCAATGCCGTATGCGGTTAGCTTTGACAAGGCGCTCAAGGATGCAGTAACGACTGCGCCGGCCGAACGGCAAAAGGCCATGGCTGAGCTTCTGAAGAGACCAGATGCACGACAGGCTCATCCTTCCTTCGAGCATTTGCTGCCTATTCACATTGGAGCTGGTGCTGCGGGCGAGGATCTGGGCAAGAGGATCTGGACGTTCCCCGAGGGGAGTATGAGCTGGGCACAGTACCGATTTGGCGAAGTTGGCAATGCTAGTAGCACATTATGAGATAGCATCAACTCATCACCAGAAGTCTTTTATTTGGATTTGATTTTGAATACTTTGAATAGGAGCTTCGATTTCATCTATGGGTACAGAAGATGGGCGTAGGACGGTGAGAAGAACGCGGGGGCATAAAATAGATCTGCAGAGGAACCAAAAAAAGTTATAGCTGCTGCTTCACCAACTGTGTAATGCGCTCTTCGATCTGGACGTCCGACAGGCCTAGAAATTTCAATTAGTATTGCAACTTGACACAAATTGTGGATGGCGGGGGGGGCTTTACCGGACAACGCTTCTTGCTTCTCCTTGCCGAAAGCTATTAAGAGGGAACCATCACATTAGCTTGATTCAATTGTTTAAACAGCCCCCACATTAGGCTTCTAGGTGTCATATCATACCATATCGGGCGTAAACTCGCGGCTGGGTGCCCGCGGCCTCCCGTATCATGATGGGAGTCTGGGGGTTGTGCTTCTTCATAGTCGGGTAGGCGCGGTTCAGGAAAGATCTATAGGCAGAAAAGAAGGTCAATCACTGGGCTGAAATCTCAATCGCCGTGAATCGGGGTGTACGCACCTTGTGGCCGCGCTTGCTTCGGAGGTTTGGCAGAAGAGGAAGCGCAGCTCCTTCAGGCCTTGAGTGAAGACGTACTTGCCAGACATGGTGGCAGGATAGTCAAGCAAATGATAGGATTAGGGGAATAGAGGTCTCGGATGAGCCACGGAAGGATGAGCGCGGGAGTGGTGGAATTGACTTGCTGGACAGTCTGCGATGCAGTGCATTATTCACGACGGCGTTGATTCGCTGCGCAGAGACAGAGTCCCGCTAGTCCTAATATCAACTAGCGCCATCCGCTTACATAAGCTTCGCAACTGCCGAAGCGTCATAGGCAGTTGGCGATGGCACAGGAAATTTGGTTAGTGAGGGATAATCAATCAAAGAGAATCAAACTAGCTGCTTGCGAGTAGCCGTTCCCTCCTTTACAGGCCATCTTTTTATCTACCTCCGGTTGTGGTAGTCAACTGCCCAATCTAGCCCCCCCAGCGGAAAACTCCCTCTTCCACCGATCACGGAGAATCCATCTTCCCTCTCACTAGAACCACCATCTCCGCTATCATAATGTCGTCTCGCGTGGGTTTCCGCTTCGTGAACAACGCTCGCTTTGCCTTCCGCAATGCCTCCGCGCCATTTCGCCGGCCGGGTGCTCAGGGCTTCCGCTGGCAGAGCTCCGAAGCCGGTGCTGGGGAGCAGCAGAACGCCTTCCAACGCCTATGGAACAGCCCTGTTGGTGTGAAGACTGTCCACTTCTGGTAAGATTCCTGTACTGCTGCATTTCAAATCTTTCTTGCTACTATGAAACGATGCTAACTTTTGCTTTGCAGGGCCCCGGTTATGAAGGTATGACAACTCGATTAACCCATCTGATATGCCATCTATGCCCCGGGTCAAACATCACTTTTCCGGATACCATATCTCCAATAAACGCTGCCGTATCCTGCACGGCTTCTCCATGTACCTGCTGAATACCATGGCTAACATGTTTCCCTAAAACAGTGGTGTCTGGTCGTCGCCGGTATCTCCGACTTCGCCCGTCCCGCCGAGAAGCTCTCGCTCACCCAGAATGCTGCTCTGATGGGCACTGGTGCCATCTGGACTCGCTGGTGCTTTATCATCAAGCCCCGTAACGTACTGTATGTGGAACCCAATAACCACCCTGCCGGACACCTATGCTAACTCTATATCACTCTACAGGCTCGCTGCCGTGAACTTCTTCCTCGGATGCGTGGGCGCCGTCCAGGTGACTCGTATCTTCCTGTGGCAGCGCAGCCAGTCTGACTCAACTGTCGAAGCCGCCAAGGTGATTGAGCATGAAGCTGTTGACTCCGTCAAGGCCACCGCCGAAGCGACCGCGGGCGCCGTGAAGAAGGTTGTTGAGAAGTCGACTTAGATGGGAAATCGATCCCGTGTTGACGGCAGGGGAACTTGAAAGAGTGTTCCTAAATAGATCTAGACCGGTATCTACAGGGACCTCTTATGTTGTACCTGCGCCGAGGTGAATTTTTTTCAAGAGAATCTTGGGGTTGAGCGAGCTCGCTTGAGATGATCGTTGTTTCATCTCGTCTGGTCTTAGAGTCTGGTCCTTATTATTGGACAGCCGTTGTACATATTCAAGCAAGCTTCCAAGTGATTGGTTACTGTTCCTTCTGCGAGACGTAGTCTAGAATTAGTCTAGAATTCCGAAGAATTTCTAGTAGCATTTGTCCTGCATCTACTCCGTACACTATCCTCTGTTTGGCAGCTGCTAACCAACTACAACATGTGATGCTGACGATCTCACTTCATCCTTTGAAATATATTGGGCCGAGGGACTCTGCTCTACCCAATTTCTCAGGGGTATTCCTCCCAAGAAGGGAAAGCGTGCCAAAATTTCCTCCTATCAGACTTGCTTGGGGACCACGCTCACCGAGTTTTATCCCGGGTCTCAGCGGAGGAAACCCCGACAAAATCAACTCAGGTCGAATCAAGCAAGAGGAAGAAACCCGTTTTATTTTTCACATCAGCGTTCTGTTATCTCTCGGGGCCCTGTTAGAATTAGGGATATAGGGAACTTGGGGACTCTATGTTGTTGTTTCCATTTGATGTTGAAACTTTGAGTCTCGGCTATTTTGGAGTCTTCAGCTGACCCCGCTCACGCAACGCGAGTCAATTTATTTACGGTCCGCTCTTCCGCGAAACGGATACTCGCTAATTTCTCCACACATTGCGGAGTTGCAAGCTTGTTTCTCCGGAGCAAATTGAACTTGATGGGTTCACCTCATCGCCTGACCACAAAGGGCGATGCTTAGCGATGATCCCGGTCGAGTTTTAAGTCTGAGCAACAGGAAGTAAATTGTCAATGGCGAGACAGTCTAACCTATTGAGATTCACCCATCTCTGCCTATGAATTTTAGAGGACGAATAAGCGTGGTGTTTTGTGAGGTCTTTTATACGGTGTAGATATATTAAATTAAAATTAAAAAAAAAACAGGACTCTCGCCGTTCCTCTCAATTCTCAATCCCATACTATCTATGCTGTAGTTGGTGGAAGGCGTTAGGTGTCACGTTCCACCTATGGGGCTTGTTCCCAAGTTTAACCCGCTGCGCTATAGGCAAATGCTAGAATTCTACGACAAATCTTAGAACCGCGCTTGCTCGATAAGGATACAATCCGTCACAGTATGTTATAGGCCTCCTTTGAGCTTCAATGCCTACCTGAGCATCGTATAGTACTCCTAGACCTTGTCAACCCCCATGGACCCACTCCCATAGAAAGGTCTTGGCGGTACGAAAGTTATGAAAGAAATGCCAAGACCGACCATCATTTCCTATTTGGGCCATTTAAAGATAGGCTTAGCGTACTTTGCTACCACAGTCCGTGCGAGAGCTACACTAATGTATGCTCCTTTAAAAGAGGATTTAAGAAATTCTCCGGTACAGTATCCCAAGCGTTAAGAATAACACCACGAAGCTTCGTAGATCCTCTATTATTGATACCGTAGGTCACCTCGGGTAGGTGTATAGCTTCCAGCAAGTTTGACCTCCCGTTTTTAAACCACTTAATCAGTACTCAACATAGAGAAAGCGGATGAAAGGCGTTGATTGGTTAACTTTATATTTTACAAGTTGAACGGTGGTCGGGATCCTTCAATTTGAATCAGTATATGGAATACCCAGAGCTATTTTGTAGGGTGTTCAAGCTGGGGATCCTAAATGATAGACCCTTTTAAGGTACAACAAACAACAAGACTGTTGTATACGGAAGCCGGTGGTTATCAGTAAGGTAATAGATTATCTTATCCACCGGGTTAGAAATTAATTTCGGTTGGGTTAAATTGAATTAAGGTTAACTTGTGCAGATCCCTACACCGCCAGTTTTGATATGGGTGGGTTTGTATAGGGTAGGCTGTTGTATATAAGCTGTCCTGGAACTGCCCGAATTACATCTTTGGCCGAGAACATTGCCAATCCAGCTAAGCTTGACACCAACAATGAAGGTTTCTAACACTTTGATCCAGGCTTTGGGCCTTTGGTTGTCAGCCATCGCTGCTGTTGAGGGTCAGGGGTACTCTCGAAACGAGGCGTGCCACCCCCTCCGTCCATTCCAGCCCCTTCCAGACAGCCCTGCCAGAAACCGCACCTGTCATGTTGCCAACTATGGCAATGGGCGGGACGATTCAGCTAACGTTGTTGCCGCATTGAAGAAATGCAACAACGGAGGAAAGGTTGTCTTCGATGCCGGCAAGAATTACACGATTGGAAAAGCACTTAACATGACTTCCTTGAAGCACATCGATCTCGGTATGTAAAGCGCATTGGGGGATGAGTGGAATGAATACTTATGCGAGCGGTAATAGAGATCCAAGGCTTTGTCCAATTCAGCAACGACACCGATTACTGGCAAGCAAATGCATTCAAGCAAATCTTCCAGAACGCCACTACTTTCTTCCAGATCGGTGGTGAGGATGTCAACGTCTACGGTGACGGTACCCTGGATGGTAACGGTCAGGTCTGGTATGACTTGTATGCGGAGGATGCCCTTATCCTGCGACCGATTCTGTTGGGTATTATTGGGCTCAATGGAGGTACCATTGGACCTCTCAACCTTCGTTACTCGCCTCAGTGGTACCAATTGGTGGCAAACTCGTCCAACATCCTGTTTGACGGAATCAACATCAGTGGATACAGCCGCAGTGGGCACTTGGCTAAGAACACCGATGGATGGTAAGCCCATCTGTATCAAAAAAGCCGAGCGAGCCTTCAGTTGACTAATCCCCTCGATAGGGACCTCTACCGCTCGGACAACATTGTTATCCAGAACTCCGTGATCAACAACGGTGATGGTAAGATTCCCTTGAAACATCTGACCACATTTTCTTTTACTAACCATGAATCAGACTGTGTCTCGTTCAAGCCCAATGTTTCCGATATTCTGGTCCAGAACATTCACTGCAACGGCTCCCACGGTATCTCCGTTGGCTCTCTGGGCCAGTACCCGGGTGAGGTTGATCTTGTGGAAAACGTGCTCGTTTACAATGTTTCCATGTTCAACGCATCGGTTAGTCTCACCCACACACAAGTTAGACGATGACTCTTCTAACAATCGTACGAAGGACGGTGCGCGTATCAAAGCCTGGCCCGGTGCTCTCGCTGCCCTTTCTACCGATCTCCAGGGTGGCGGCGGATCAGGCCTGGTAAAGAACATTACCTTCGACGGCATGACCATTGACAATGTCGACTATGCCATCGAAGTTACCCAGTGCTATGGCCAGCGAAACTTGACTCTCTGCAACGAGACTCCCGTACGTGTCCATCCCAGCTTTATAGTGCCACTATCACTTGTTTTTGGTTGCCAAACGCTAACCAACACATACGCTACACAGAGCAAGCTTGTCATGGAAGATATTTACTTCAGGAACTTCAAGGGTGTCACCTCCGGAAAGGGCGAGCCCTATGTAGGAAAGATTGTCTGCTCGAGCCCCGATGTAAGTGCACGAACGCCACAGATTACATACAATTCATCAACTGACCATTTACAGGTTTGTTCGAACATCAACGCCAGTAACATTGACGTCGTTAGCCCTGATGGGGGTGACCAGTTCACTTGCGCAAATGTGGGTTCATCTTGAAGATTGATACGACGTGGGCGGCACATTGACTGACTTGTTTCTTACTTTAGGTTGATGAGAAATCGCTGGATGTGAAGTGTGTTACTCCTAAATAAAGTAACCAGCCCAACAACATCACATCGAGTCTTGTTTGAATATAGAACCGTTAATCTAGATATTTTTATACAGAGGGTTATTTCCCTTCCCACAGGTACCATATTAATACAATCTGCAATCATCGGCTAAATTTTGCTCTTCCCCACTGTTCTTGGACGTTCATCGTAGACTGCTAGCCATAGGTTTACCTCCACCTACATTGACTGGCTGGCTGTTCATCCAGGGTGGTACACTAAACGCTAGCGGCGAGACCTATTCTGATTCTGATCATGGAGATAAGCCTACATCATGTAGGTTTATTGTCAGTTTGTTTGAACAGATGATACATGTGTACCGACGGTTATCCTTTTGTCCTAATACGTGTTGTACCTCACATAATTGAAAATGTGAGTTTAATGACGAGCTACAAGTGTACATGTCTTAGGCATAGCAACTAGGCAGGTATGCAAGAATGGCCAAGGTGACTGGGATTTCTTCTTCCAGCACACAACCATGTGGAGCATTGAGATCATCCTTCTGACACTTTTGATAAACTACATGGTGTTTGCGCACGATGTTGGACACCTCGCTCAAATTTGATGATGTATTGGTAGGTCACTGATTAAGTTCAACAACTTGCTGATTATCTACATTGGGGAGGCCCGAACCGAAGCTGGCTTTCATCAACTGGAGCCACCTTAGTTAAAGGAGACCTTCACTCCTGAGCACGCTTCCATTCCGCGTCCAGATTGTCGCCAATTGCACGAATGGCCTCCTTCTCGAGCTCACGGTGAGAAAGTCCAGTGCGCTTCGAGACCTTAGATTTCGACTCCTCACGAGATAATTCCACTGTGATCGAGTCTTGTCAGTCGTCTACCGAGCATCACCAAGTGGAAGGAAACTTACCGTGTAGAAATACAGCAGCTTTCTTGCCAGAGAACATCGCATGGGGCACGTTGGTGCTGCCATCGTTGTTGGCATCGCCAATGGCAAACACACCGGACTCACTGGTACGCATACCGGTCGTAACATTGATCTTATCACCGACAATGTCCAGGTGCATTTTAGCTGGAAGTGTCGAGGTCTGGACAGTTGGGACGTTAATGATCAAATCATTCCTCTCGACAGGCTCGCCAGTAGTAAAGTGAAGGCGGAACTTGTCGAATTGCTGATCGCCATTTTCGCCTCTGTTCTCACCGCCATCCTCGAGTCGCTCGATGGAAGAGATTGTGCGGTTGTCGATAATAGTGTTCCAAGCGGCAAGTTGTTCCTTCCAGTCTTCGACCTTTGCCGTTGCCCGGGCCTCGCCATCTGTGGTCTGCGAGCCGTTGACAAATGCAATGAGATCGCTGTACAGAGTGTGAGTCTCCAACACGTTGCTCAACATGTCGGTGATGTCACCGATCATCCCAAAGGGCTGGTCCCTGTGTTCGTAACCATCGCACCACGGACACCAGAAGATACCTTTGCCCCATCCTTCCTGAAGGCCAGGAGTGCTGGGTAGAACGTCACGAACACCGGTAGCAAGGACTATTTTACGGGCAGTGTAGTCCTTGCCCTTGCTGTCGGTCACCGTAAAGGCAGAAAAGTCTCCCTGAGGGAAAGGAATGATTGATTCCACAGTCTCGTTGGTGAAATGAGCAGTTGGATACTTCTTGATCTGCTCTCGAGCCAGACCTCTGAATGTAGCCGGCGGGGTGCCTGGTGGAGATATGTTATGTTAGAAAAAGAAAATTTGTGTTGGAAGAGTGCTAGAATCCCTATCTGACCGTCGTTGCCAATGACATCGTGCATTTCTCGGGTCGGAGCATTGCGGTACTCCTGGCTATCAATCAAGAGAGCAGTTCGGCGAACACGAGAGACACCACTGAGTGCACTGAGACCCGCCGGACCACCTCCAACTACGATCACATCGTAATCGGTCTTAGGTACTTCCACAGCGGTGGCACATGCTAGGAGAGAGACAAAAACGGATGTGAAAGTTGCCTTGATGAAGACCATGGCGAAGGAGATGCGCGACTGAGTATAACAAGATTGTTTCGGCAGCACCAGAAAAGGCCCTTTATAGGCGCCCATAACATTACCTGTAGTGTCTTACAGAGTAGCACGGCGGCATAAAATTGCTCAAACAGGAGCACCCGTGTGGGGAAACTAGGTGGAGTGTGTGCATCCTGTGCTGAGGTGGCTGAAGAGATCGTCGGGATCACCAGGATCGTCAGGGATTTTCAGATGTCGGGATCTCCCATTTTAAGGCTGGGACTTGATGGAGCATATCCCGATTGAAGAAGATCTTAGCCGGCAACTAGTCTGGGGAAGCTATAGGAGTGAGCCTTCGAATCTCTAGAAGCCTACTATCCAGATTTGTCAATGCCGCTTGCTCGAGCACGTCATCATCCTTCGACGCCAAGTGTTTCAATTGGAGACATCCTTGGCTTGGTGGGAAGCGCTAGTGTTTCCGTGCAGAATAGTGGCATCTGCAGCTCCCTCAGGCTTCGAGCATCACCCCTTGATTTCTGTCTTTGGCCCGGCTCCCGTGTCGGTCTTTTATGCCAAGAGCGGATCTGCTTACGGCACCATGTCATATGGCGTTATATTGCAGATGATTTTGATTACTTGTAGCTTGGCATTGGAGAAAATATGCATGTCATACAACACTTTGAGTGGAATGGACATGCCGTGAGAGATCAGTTCTTCATAGGTGTGCAGTGTTGTAACATCAACATTGAATGTCCCCGTACTACAAGTGCGTACAATGCAAAGGAAGAGACACAATCCTCATTGAGCCTTGATCGCCAGGCCTCATCAATTCAGGCGTGAATTCAGTCGATCTACAATATCTGGAAATAGAAAGAGGTAATTAACTAGTGAGCATTTCTCATATACAGCCTCTGTGTTTCCACAGTGCATGAACTCCACGCAAGGTTGATAAAATGCCTGAATGACGGTTCAAAGATTATAAAAAAGCAATGATCGGTCCTGAACTACGGAGTACAACAGACGGAAAACGGATTAATGTTATGCCTCAAAGCTTTTTCAGCTCCACATCCTCGTGGAATCTTCCACTATCCACATTTCATGTGGCCGGCTTTTGATTGGTCCTTGCATTTCGTTGTGAGATAAATAAGTAGCAGCAGGATGCAAGGGTATAATACATGTTACAAATGTTTCACAAATACTAGGTCTAATCAACATAGTATTATAGCATCCCGGTTGTCCATTTGCCAGAATTTTTGTCATGAGCCGCAAATTATACCTGTCTTTGAGCTCTTGAGGTGGTTTCCTTCCAATGTACGTAAGTTTAATTGAAAAATAGAAAACAAAAACAAAAAAACATCCAAGAAGACATAGACAGATGGTACATCCCTATGCGACTGAGGGTTTCAAGGAAATCAGAGACCGGAAATCCCCCGGCTCCACTTTTAGCAGTTTTCAACTTTAGGATGCTCTTTGCGTTCAGATCAAGACATATGAACATAACGACAATCCATGAGTATTGCGGACAGCAAGAAGCCATCAAGTAGCACGATACAGTCATAATGTCGACAAAGATCTCCCAAATGATCAGCGGCTTGGCCAAATTGTCACAGTCCCATCTCTCAATGCAACTGCAAGTCCCGAACGCCTCAGCGCATCCATCAAGTCTACTGGCTTTACAAAAATCCTCAGTTTTGTCATGATAACTAGATGTCTTCCTGGTCGTCTAGTAGCAAGACCTTCAGCTTCTCCAGCTTGTCTTCGCAATGCACTTCCATCTGCATCACCACATCAACAGCATCCTTTCTGGTGATAAGCAGTTGCGATACCAGCCAAAAGCTGTATCCATTCTTATAAAACCCCATTGATGCCCATTCGTCACTTGTTACTCCACTGCGCAGGACGATCCAGTATTCCCGCCAACGGGATAGAGCAGTCCGGATGGCAACGAGGATAGAATCTTTAGGAACTGTGGTGTCCTTTGCGTCAACCCCGATACTCTTCCTGGGGGGTTTGAAATTTCTCATGCGTGTGAAAGAACCTTGAAGTGTCATATGGGTGTTAATAAATGAGAATAGGACTAAATTGGGAGTCAGAGTCAGTCTATTCAAGGCACCAAAAAAGCCTTTGGCACAAGGACATACTATGAATCAAGATGAACATGTCTAATACAGTGAGATCAATCGGATTAGACTCGGGCGCTTCATCAAACATATGCTCGAAAGCCTCCGAAACCCGAATGCCGCGTGAAAAGCGAAAATTTGGCTCCGCAAACGGGTGCTCAGAGAAGAACAGCCATTCCTCGCAGGGCAGATCGCATTCCATTTCGGTATATGTTAGGCGACACGGGTAGTTTTGAAAGAACAAGAACGCGCAGTCGAGCAGCGAAATCATAGAAAAAGTCCTGGCAATGTGAGTAAAGTAGACCTCAGAACATCTCACGGATGAAAAGGAGGCAATTAAGTACCTTATACGACTCTCTTGCTGGATCCACAAGTGCTCCAGGACCTGCTCATCGGGAAGGTGACGGACTTTGACAAGTTCAATTCGTCGCGCAACGTTCACGATTTCACCAAATCGTTTTTCCATCGCGCGAGTTCGTGATAAACGGGTTCCCGCCCAGTATTGGATGATCGTGATGATAAGCCCAGCTTGAAAGTTCTGAAACCATTCCCAGTCACCTTTCACCTCGTCAAGGCACCGGCTGCCTGAAAATGTGGCGCTGATCTCGCTCTCAGCCGAAAACACAACATTCGCAAAGATGAAGATTTCTGCAAAATCTAGCACTCTCTTAGCGACGTATACTTCCCTCTGGTCATCACTGTACATTGCGCCCATAAAGACTACCGCGGCTAAGAGCGCCAGGGGAACTGTCTCCGGATCAAAGGACATGGGAAGGATTGCACAACTAGTCTGCCAGTATTTAAAATAAAGCGCAATGCATTTTCGTATGCGCGCAGTGGTGAGTAAGAAGTGGAGATTCGCAGATACCTCTTCCTGCGCTTTAGAATCAAGCGGGACCTGCCACGCGTGTGTTAAGATTAAATGAATTAAGGTCGTTGCGAATGGCCGCTCCGGTTCAAAGATGGGTGGATCTCCGGGCAGTGTTGTAGGGTGCTGCCCTGGAGGAATGATGGACTGGTAGCTCAGTTCACCAGCCTGATAAGAATTCTCCGTGGGCTTATTTGCATCATCGAAAGGGCGGTGGAAAAAGTCCAGGAAAGCGTCCTGGAAAAATTGCAGCGCGACTGAGTCGGAATCCAGGAACCCAGAGCCATGTTCCGGCTGAGCGCTGTTGATGTTGTGTGGAAACCCTGCGCCTTGCAATTGCTCGAAGCCAGTTGCATTATGATAGTTGAGACTGTGCCTACGATCACTGCGTGGTGGAAGTCGAAAGTTTTCTGTGAAGCTATCGGTACCACCGTTCAGTAGGAACTTGATCGATCCTCGGTCGGATGATGGCTCTTCAGGCCCTTCCCATCTTTTGGCCTTCACCGATACTTCTGTATGGTTTGCATGAGTCTTCCATTGCAACCAAGCTGACTCAAAGCTGGTCTTACCTTCTTCGATCCGTCGGTGGCTCGCACCTGCCGTTCGCTCGTTGTTACAAATCAAGTTTCTCTTCTGACACGATTCGCACGGACTTCTTCCATCACACCGCAGTTTCATCGCGGTGCACTGTTCAACCCAAAACTAAAGTCAGTTCCAATGGGAATGCTTTTACGTAATCAAGTCATGCACAAACCGATTGACAGGCATGTCGCCGCCTACCCCTCTGACCCGTCTCAGGAATTTCGCGATCTCCGCGCTTGGCGCAATCGGTGTAATGGACGCGGAGATTGTCACTAAATCCAAAAGGTTAGATTTCAAAGGTGGCATTGTAAATCGTCCTGGCTTTTCTAACCAGCGCGCGAATGAGGTATTGCAGAATATGCAGGAATAGGGTTTCTGGCCAGAATCTGTTGAGGTTCAGTGGGTGTGGCATGGGTAGCTGCAGGAAGGAGCACACATACGCCGCAAAGAGTGGCGTTTGAGGTGATCAATGCGCGTGAACGCACGCTGGCAGACATCACAGCGGAAATGCTTGTCTGTCGGCTTCATGGTGGACCACCGGGGAGGAGGGGGAATATCCGGGGTAAGGAAAGAGGAACGAGTCAGTGGGGGAAAGGGCGAGGTTTCGGTATTTCAGCGGGAAAGATGTACCTTTTTGGCTTTTTGTAGAGCCAATGGATACTTGACAATAATTACCAGATCAGTATGGTATGGTTAATGCCCTAAAATCCGTTAATCCGTTTCCCTGCGGATAATCCTTTTGACTCGATTTACTACTCCGGTGGTGATCTTTGTTGGGGGAAAAAAAAATACAGCTATTTAACCACTAGGCCACATCTCAAACCATTTCTAATACTGGACTAGAGGGGGCTATTTCGTAGGTTGACAGTATTTGTGTGAATGGCGTTGACGGTTCACGCCACACAGTACATACACTGCGTACCCGGTATCGCCGCAACCTCTCCTCCGTGTATTTAGCGGGAGCAGAATTGAAGGAAGGAATTCATCAACCAGACCAGGCTTGTTTGCCAGACGCTGTTTCATAGCCTCTACAAACACCTCCTGTACTCCAAGATTGTGTGTCCGGCAAGGGATCATGCACAGATCGAAGCTCCAACTCGACCTCGATTTCCACTGTCAGCTGACGTGTGTTGGGTGTCAAGGCCATGTATGTACGTACACACCGTTGCAGAAATTCTGGGATATCTGATAGTCATGTCAAAAGGTTTGATGTGATCGGACGTAGAGGTGACTATTGAATTTTCTGTCCAAAGGGAGAGGAAACACAGCTTAGTCTTTTTTCTCCTTCGTTGTTCCAGTCCCTATCCACGCCTTTCAATTTGCTCACATCCAAACAGGAAAATCCATCTCTGCCTGCGCATCTTATAGTTGATGTGTGGCCAGGTAGCAAGGCGGGAACAATCCGACTCCCACTCGACCCATTACCGATGACTGTAACACATTTGCCGTACGATTGGGCAAGTATAAATGCAGCATAGTATGACAATTGTGACCAACTCTGTGATGATGATTCTCGTCTTATGAGACACTGTGAATCAACTCACCCTCAAAGTCCAGGGATATCTAGCCATTTCAAGTTGCTCAACCTTCCGGTCGCCTGAATCACGACATCACTTCAATCCACGCAGGTAAGCCTTTAAAACCATTGAATTTAGAATGATGAGGTTAGCGCCTAAACAGAATCCCTAGGTCAATTGAGAGACCTATTGTTCCATTTCGATTGCTCCTTATTCTAGATAGCTTCGGATATCTACTATCTCAATTTAATTCATTCTATGCCTTCCTCCTTCTCGATGATGCTTCTAATCCTGATGAATTTCTGGAACACTGGTGCAGAAATGTAGACCCCTCCTAGTCGGGCTTAAAAGTGGCTTGGTAGGTATAAGCTAGTATATCTACCAGACACAGGGCTGGTTGGACGGAAAACCCCATCTGGCAACCCTGTCGGTGTACCATAAGCGCACCCTGGATACTGATTTGCAAACCAGATCCCTCCGAGATCTGCATTTATCATATGCGAATACCGAAAATTGGGAATTTGCTGCATGAATCGAAAACATGCTAGATTCCCCGAATTACAAGTCCTCGTGAAGGGCTGAAGATGCTAACACCGGATGGCGAGAAAAGCCTTTATTTTTTTTAAGCCATGAGAAAATTCTATATAATGAGTAGAAACTAGTTAAGTGTATGGTGTGACTAATAGGTCACTAGATTCTCGTTGGTGTTCGAGACATTTTTCCAAGTCGTTACAGCTTCGTCTTCTCAAAGATGCCTCGCCATCCTGCCTCAACATCGCATATTTAGTCCCCCTTCACAAGTGATTTATTGCTAACCTCAAATTTTTTTTTTAAAAAAAATTTTGATATGGCTCAAGCGAAGTCTATAGTTGAGAGTTCAGAGCGCCTTATTTATCTTGCGAATGATCGAACAAATCACCAAGCAGAAAAATTCTTGATTGCAACTACCACGCCTATTGAGAAACTGGTAGATTTTTTCCTTGTGGGCCGGCGGGTTGAGATGCAAATGCAGACCGTTCATTGAATTGAATCCCTTTTGGCACAGGTAGTACTCCCAGCTTGTCCCGTCTAAGGCGCGATCTGTGGCGTAGTAGCGTAAGCTCTGATTATTGTGCCTTTCGATCTGTTCGTTGGTGACAAGCCTCTTAGGATCGAGGTGATGGACCTCGCCGTAGATTTTCTCTCGGTTCCACTTGCCACCATTTGGACAGGTACCGTATTCGACGTGATGAGTGACGCCACTCGCAATGACAAAATGAGCCTTGCAAAAGGGGCACACGACATGAGCGCCCTGATCAACCTTTGATTTCAGGTGCTATCCGTAGACAATGCAGAGATAGATTCGTCAAAGCCTTACAGCCTTCCATGTGAAGTCGGTTGGGGTTGGCGGATATCCCCGTAATGACCCGGTTATCATACCTGATGAAGATAGGTCACATTCAAAAAGTGTCGCTGGCACTCCACGTAGTAGTTCTCATAGTGCCCCTGGGCCTCCATGTGCTGGTTAGCAGTTTCATCGGTATGAAACGCTCGGGAACAATTCCCGTAGGGAGCCATAGGCTCCCAATGACCCTTAACAACAATATGTTGATTGGAAACAGCTTGAGAAATGAAGGAAAGGTGCGTGTGTAGGTCTATCAATTGAAGGCTAGTGCCTAGTGATTAATCATATCTGTATGCTGCTTGCAGCTACTCTCAGTTTGGATCTGACGGTCTTAGGTTTCGCATTCCCCCCAACGGTTTTAAAAGTCCATGTGAGTATCGCACTCCGCTCGGCAGTGGGACCCGTAGCCATGGGCGACACATTCGTACATCTTGACTTTAAAACATGCAACCGCATGCGAGAAATGGAAAACAAAGGCTATGATATGAATCAGTTGACAGGAAGCACAAAAAATTGGAATTTTCTCACAAAGAAGGGAGAGGTGTGAGATAGAAGGAAATGAAGGACGCGGGCAGGCAGGTGTTGTTTGTCATATGTGAGATGCCATCTAAACCGTGCATACACTGTTTGGGGTTACCAGATCCTTCTCGGGGGTATCTATTTTGGATTGTATCTTTCTTGTTGTGCTTCTTGTTGCCTTGTTGATCTTGTTTTTGATTACTTTGGTACTTTCCAACTGGGTACACTCCTACACTTCGGCAGATGAAAATCAATCATCTTCTTTTTTAGATTCATAATGATCAAAAATTTAGCATCTGAATAACATCTTTGAGAGCAACTTTGAGTTTCTATTGTCATTTGGCCCGTATCTCTAGATCCCGAGTGGATGCTTTTTATGCAAATGTGCTGCATCGAGATTCTGCTTTGGAATTTTCCCTGGACCATCGATCAACGCAAAGAAGACGAATTACGCCCCTAGTTATATAGCCCCGGTTCTAATCTCATATGGAGAAATGGAAAGTCGGAAGCTATTCTCACGTTATGATACTGTTTAGAGCCAAGCATTTGATAGTATCGTCTAGTGGAGCAAAACTACATTATAAATGTATAAATTGTTTCCATTCAAGGTAGATATGTAAGTTATAGAACAAGAGGCAAAAATGCAAGTTCATTGATCATTGCCCACGTTTCGGGTCCATCTCCACCAACTCCACGTCACTATTCCCTGTCGATCGAGCCTCATAATTCACCGAGTAGGTAATAGACTTGTTGATGTTGCTAGGCATTTTATTATAGTACTCAGCCATGTTAGATGGATCCGTACGGTTCGTTGATCCTCCCAGGAACCGGGGGAACCATCGGCCGACGAGAGCTCTGAACGCAGGCAAGCAGGCGCACATAACAGAAATCTGAGCTTCGATGACGGACCAATGCATGAGGGGGTATAGGCCGAGAGTTTCATTGATCCCCCAACGGTTAGTCCAGAAGACGATGACACGGATGATTGCGATGACCGTTAGACTGTGAGATTGGTTAGTGACACTCGGAAATGAAAAAAAAGAGGCCAGGTTAGCGAATACGTACACAGAGCCCACGATAAACATCGACGCCACAGCTAGCTTCTTTCGCAGAGGCAACTGCAACTTGATCACCTCATATACCGGCATGATGATCAGTATACAGTCGACAAAGATGTTCACCAGGCAGTTAACAAGAACCGCGTCGATAAAATTGATGCAATGTCCAGGTTCCTCGTGCATCCAACCGATCCATGTCAGGCGTGTCGGCCAGCAGCGGAAGGCATCCACCGAGGCCCAAGTGATACCGATCGCAGCGTTAGCAGCGATGAGGCCGTATGCTAAATAGCGGAATGTGCGTGCTTGGAAGATGCGGAGTAGGAAGAGGCAGACGGATATCTTTGCGAGGGAGATTTGAAACTTATACATAACGGCCATAGCTTGGAAATACTGCTCTTGTTAGATTAGAACTGAGCCTTTGAGAGAAGACCGAACCTGGTAGAACTTGGTGATTGAGGGAAATGGGACGTCCCAGATATTTCGACCGAAGCCATTGCGGATCACTAGTTTGTCAGTTCTTCTTTCTTGTGAAATCAAGAATCAGAAGTGCCATCTTACTATAAATGTCCAGAACATATATGGCGGCTCCTATGATCTGCAAGGATGTTAACACTGCGCGGGAAAAGACCAAGAAGTGACACTGACATAGGAGGCAATTATTGTATAGTCATCCAATCCCCACCCGCCAGCGAGGCCGCTGCTCTTGGCGATCATTCTCATGACGAAGAAGAAAGTGGCAAGAATAAAAGGAATAAGAGTCGAGGCCTTGACCACTTTAGGGCCTCTGCGTGGTGGTATACCACATTCTTGTTCGTATAGACGTTTCGTAGCTAGCAGAATTAGAGTAGGCTTGGTAGACCAATCTTGACAGAGACGCACTAAAGAATTCTTTCGTAGTGCAGTTACTTTCAGCACAATCTAACAGGGCTGTGGGATGAGAGTCACTAGCACAGAAGCACGTTGCGTTGTTGCTCAAGGAGCAATTGGAGAATAACTGATTGTCACAAGTGATCTAGCACATTTCCATTAGCAATAAGTACAGCCGCATTAGGAGATGCACGTACTGTGCAAGACGGGAAGGCAGTTATATTCGACTCTGCTCCATGAATCTCCACTATAAGCAGAGCCAGAAGAGCGAAAAGGAACCGGTGACCTCTCATGTTGGCAACAAATGTGTTCAAAAGAACAACATTGGGAGGCAAATAAGGGGGAAGAACTTTTCTACTGGGCAGTAGTGGGTTTTGTTCTATTTTTGATACGAACGTTCCTCAGGGAGTGGCGTCTACACTCCTTGAACATTAAGCTTATCTATTTTGCACGTGGCGTTGGGAATATTTTCTACCTAAATCTACATGGCAAAGAGAAGCAGTCAATCGTGATTGGGCCACTAAACAAGGAAATCATTCACTCTTAAAGTTGGTTCAAGTGAAACAGGATCAGGGCTGATACTGGTGCTCCGGTGAAAGAAAGCCGAACCGGGTACGGAGTACCTTTTCCAGTATCTTCCTATATTGGGTTCTGGGACCAGAGACCACGCGACAACACCCATGGAGTTGCAAGAAACAGGTTGATTGTCCCCAGTTAGAACCGTGGTTAGAAAATGCCCAGATGGTTTTGAAAGTCACAAGTCGAACAGAGGTAGATTTTCTCCTCGCCAAGAGACCCGACAGACTCCAGACCTTGATAGATCGGCACCCTCATTCGGCGAAGGACAAATAGGATGAAGATCAACCCTTTTAAAATGAAATTACCAGGTTTTGTGATTTAAACCTTCGCTTGAATTACGTACGAATGTTGCATTGTGTTGAAAACGCTAATAACAATCCTCGTACGGAGTACGGAGCACACGGTACATCGATGAACTCCGCACCAACATCCAGCATACTCCACGCTGCAATCTTCATTGCTCAGTGATGGTAATGCACAATACACAGTGGATGCTCGGGGTCCAGTGCTATGAGATGTTTGGCATTGTGTTAGAAGCATGGCCAGGCGTGGCCACTGCTCAAGGAGGGGCGCTAGATCCAAAATGCTCCACTAGTCCATATCGGATCAAAGGATCGACTTTTCGCAGAATAGTGCCAAGCCCATGCCAATACCGAGTTGGTATGGGTGGGCTTGGCACCACTATGCCTCATTTTCCACATGAGAAGCACAAAATGTAAGCTGTACAAAGCTGTACATGATCATTCTCATTGAATGGCTTTGACGGGAAGAGAGAAAATTGCGGCAAATACAATTAATTTAAAACACGCTTGTTGAAAGTATGAAAGTATCGGGTCTCGGCTAAAGGCAAGGTAACTGATCCTATTCTAACTCCACTTTGTACGGAGTAACTATGCTGTACATATGTACATAAGCCGATCCTGAAAAAAGGAGAGTGTGGAGATTCATGTCATCCTGTGTCGAATTTCGACTGTACAGACTTGACGGGATCTGGGGCGCATTGCACGCCGAATAGAGCCGACATCCGATGCCAAGCCTCCTAGTTCATTCCCTGTCTTCGAAGCCGAGCCGACTGTTGAGCCGCAAGGTTCCGTTGCCTAGTTTTAGAGATCTTGGACTCTTCTGCCGGGATAGATCGTTTATGTTCACGGGTCAGTTGTTCAGCACACTCAGTTTGAGCGTTTGTAAGTCAACGCAAGTGTACAAAAAATCATTTGCAAAATTCAGGTTGCTTGAAAATACGCCAAACTTTCGATCGTTGTTTCAACCTCGGTACGAGACACCGGCAGTGTTTAGCGCGAGAGGGGCACCCCTTTTATTAGGCCGCGTTAACAACGCCCAAGTGGTGAGGAAGCACCCGTGGCATAAACTCAAATTCTGAATTATACATGTTGTGCGCCTATGTTGTATAAAGGAGATTCTTCAAGCAAGGCTTTACGTGCAACTTTGCCATCACCAAACGTCTTTGTGCAGGATCGGTCTAGCGGATCGTAGCGGATTAGCCAAAAATCACGGCACCCATCACCCGTGTTTAAGCGCGTGCGTAATCAATAACAGTGGGCATCAACGGGAGCGTCGGCTAGCGAGCGGTGAATTGACAATAATACGAACTTTTGCCTAGTTTTGAACCATCGGTTCCATTCGTGGCTGTACAGCGTAGCCCACACCCTTATAAAGCCCTTGTGGACACGAGTAATATTGTAGGAAGCACCGGATTTCGGTAGCTGGTGGGCGACCATCCCCCTTGAAGACTTGAGAAAAGGAGTTGGATTAGCAAAGAAGGTTGGATAGGCAAGCGCCGCTAGTAGAAGAGGCGCTTTTTCAGCATGCAGAAATGCAGAAATCGTAGAGAAATGGACGTCCTAAGTTCTCAGCCTTTGATCTGGTCGCAATCTTAGAAATTGAAGTTGCTTGACCATGGGATTTTAGCTTTGATGGTTAATTCTGCCACTACTATCCTCGTGATGATTTCATGTTTACGTCGCATTTTACAATTAAACGCTAGCATTTCAGAGAGCCAGTTGGAACCTCCGTTAGTAACTTGGTTGTAATGTGCGCTATAGGTTTTCGAAAAGCAATGTCAAATGTGAGGGCGAAGATACGGTTTTAAACTTGACCTGCATCGTCACTCTAAACTCCGTGGGCTAGATGACAAAGGATTCTGAAACCGGCAGTAGCATCCTGAGACAAAGACCCCGCGATTGGAGGGGATCGAGAGGAAATCCTTGGCAACAGTCGTGACCTGATAAATCCTCGAATCCTTCCTACGTAAAGATGGTATTCCAAAAAGCCAACAGCCGATTCTTGGCGTCGATCAGATCGTGGCAATCTCTCAGCCCACAATGCAACTTGGGCTAGCCCTATACAAGGCGCTGGCTATATCAAGCACGGGCTACCGAGATAATGATAGTGGGCTCAGTAATGTCATGATAATTGTAGGGAAACCAATTGCGCACAGTGATGAGGGTTCTCTGTCCGGAACACACTTCGTCTGACACTTTTTGGCCTGGAATTCTCTAGTCAGGTACTCTTCACTTCCCTCCAGAAAATGTCTGTCGATGGAGATTCTGTCGATCTTTGTGCACTTGCAATTTTGATGTTTACTCTTGCCCAAATACTCATTCTTTCTAGTGAACAACTTGTAAATGGGCTTATATAGAACTTGAAATACACAGCGCTAGCAAAGACTAGCGTGTTTGTCGTTGAGCCACAAGGACAGGATTTGGACTAGGTAGATCAAGCCTTGATTCGATCGCACTGCAAAACATGTCCATTTGAGCACAGTTTCAGGTTCTTTAAGGTGTAAAAATCGAAATCTAAAAAAAGGATTTCAGGCTCAAGTATTCCGGGAGCAAGAACGTTCTTTAATGAAATAAAGAGGCCCGAGGGGAAATGGTAGGGGCCTGGGGGCTGCATGTGAGGGCTTGTCCATGCAAGCGCTGGCTTTGCTGACCGAAGCAAATCCCGTACCTAATAGCATGTTGAATGTTCCACTACAGATGAGCTGAAGAGAGGCGTTTATTCTTTTACCTAGTAGTGGTCAGAGTTACGAGAGGGGTCTTTGGAAAGATCAAAAGATCCATTTGGTAGAGAAATCCTGCACCTTTCTTTTAGCAGTTAATATAGCCCTTGAATCTCCACAGGTAGATACCCAATAAGGGACTTATTCACATGAATCACCAACCCAGTAAAAGCTACAGGCGAGACTCTTCCAATAAAAAAAGGAGCTATAAAAGATCCATTGTGGAGTGTGCTCAGCCCAACAGCCTTCCCAATACTACTCATCCTAGTCCAAGGCCTGGCTTTGAATTTGAATTTCTTTGTCTTCTGGTCTATCCCTCAATTTTTGCTCTCGTCCACGTCTTCTTCGACTGTGCAAAATTCCAAATCACTAGATTGCGGTGTGCATGCTGTGTTGACGGACCGTCAGCCCTCCCCTGCACATGATGCTTGTGAGCCAACTTGCCTGGCTGCTGATATGGCTAGCTGTGGTGACCATGACAGTGACTGCCTACTCTTCCACAGCTGAAACTATCACTACTACATCCTCCTCGGCCGCTATCACAACCCATACAATCCAAGTGGGACCCAAATCAAATCCGCATCAATTTGTTCCACCCAATATAACGGCCAATGTGGGCGATGTCGTCGTCTTTGATTTTTACCCAACCAACCATTCCGTCGTAAAAGCAGATTATCTCGCTCCTTGTGTTCCAGCAAACGGAAACATCTTTTACTCGGGGGCCTTTGTGAATTTCAATGAGCAAGATGGGCAACTTGTCGGACCAGTGAGTGCACCAAATTTGCGATGCAAAGAAGCCAATCAAAACCACATGGCTAATACATTCAATGTAGCCCCCATCGTGGTCCTTGCGAGTCAATGATACCAAGGCATGTGTCTAGTCAAACTGCATGTCCACGCCTTTGGACTGAAGCTAACAACGGTTTGATGAAGCCTACTTTCTTCTATTGCACTGCAATAGATTCATGTTTAGTGAACGGGATGGTCGGAGTGATCAATGCCGTATGATAGTCAGTTCCTCTCGAGTATGCATTCGGGTTGGCTGACGAACCCACAGAACGCAACTGAGTCATGGGAAACACAATACTCAAAAGCTCTAAAATACCCTTATATGCTAGTCCCGGGTCAGCCCATGCCCGCCGAAGGCGACGGTAGCGGCTCCAGCAGTGGCAATACAAGCGGCGATACAAGCGGCGATGACAACTCTTCTAGCAGTAAGCATGGGCTTAGCACGGGGGCTATTGCAGGTATCGCCGTTGCAGGTGTGGTCTTCGTGGCCATATTGCTGGCATTGTTTTTCGTTCTCGGCCGCAACCGCGTTTATTCGCAGTGGATGTCCTCGGAAGATGGGCGCACAGAACGAACCGCACGCTGGGCAATGTTCAACCACGGCGAGCCACACGGCACCGGAAAAAGTGAGGCGGGAAGCACTGACCCTCCTCACAAAGCAACCCATAGCGATGCCACCGCTGTCTGTACTCCAGATCCGAATCTGCGCACATTTTCCCCTGCGGTGATAGTTACCTCCGGTGCCGGTTCCCCGTCAACGCAGCAGCCCCACTGGAGCTGGAATGAGCCTCCTCAACGTGCCCGTGCAAGCGCGATAGCTACAGAGCTGGAGGGTCATCCTATTATCTGGGAGGTACCAGGCAGCACTCCAGAGTATCGCTTTTGAGCTGGTTCCAAAGTTCTAGAGATACGGACTGGGTGAGGAGTGTCGAGTCGAGCCGGGCCTCGATGGGGTCTTTATCTCTTTTGAGGATTGTGGTGTTTGTGTTCGATGGTAATCCTTCCATACGCATGATGATCTGCGTTTTCTATGTATGTAATTGATGATACCTGTGTTTACTGCATGTCATCTTAAGTTATCTTAATTTGTTAGCTCGTCAATTCCTGGAGGGGTAAATTTATAACAAATCCTTCGCCCCCCAGATCTCCCATATCGCTCGGCCTCGTAGCGAGATAGGTGGAAGAAGGGAGTAAGTGTGATTGGGTATTAAATGTACTAGATGGCTACGTTTAACAATCCAAACACATAGATTGACCATTTCATGGGCCAGAAGGGGCGAGAAAGTCACGTAAAGAATGGAACCTGGATCGTACAGACGAATTTCGGAGCCAGCCAAATTTACCAAAGAAAAGAGGTCTGCAGGGGGGATCACTAAAAATGAGAGATGAAATATTAGAAGTGCAATGACAGTGGTGTTGGACATGAACTAAATAGCCACCTAACTAGTTGTACAGCAAGCGTCAAACCTCGGTCCTTCGTGGCCAAGAAAAAACATCATACGTTAGTTTAACCAACATTCAACAGTGTACAGCAGGACTGACAGTTGGGCAACTTAACAGCCGAGGCTTGATCTTAGGACGCCCCGATTGGTCATGTTCAACTACAGAAGAGCGCGCAACCGCACACAATTAACGCGTTGGGATCGTGGACGGATGATGTGCAGTGATATATAACCACCAGCAAAGAGGCCAAGATCCGATAAAGAGTACACAAGAGCACCCCGGCAAATTAGAAAATCGCTGATGGTAGTCGGATTGAACATAAAAAAAAAGAATATTATTCAAAATGATATCATATGTAAGACAGGCTCCATAACAGGGAATCGCTTTTATATTTCAGACAGGACCCGAGACCAAGAAGAAGAAAACCAAGAAAAGACTTTACTCTACAGCATCGGTGATACAGCCCAGGCTGGCATTCTGGACGGTTCTGGCATATTTGCCGAGAGTACCACGCATGGTGAGACCAGTCGCAGGGAGGTCACCGGCAGCCTTGCGAGCTTCCCACTTCTGCTTGCGGTCGGCAAATTCCGCATCGGAGAGTTCCACGTCGAGAATGCGCTTGTCGGCGTCGATGGTGATGATGTCACCGTCATTGACGAGACCGATGGGACCACCAACAGCAGCCTCAGGGACAATGTGACCGATCAAGAAACCGTGAGAACCACCGGAGAAACGACCGTCAGTGATGAGGGCACAGGAGTTGCCGAGGCCGTACCCCATGAGGGCACTGGAGGGCTTGAGCATTTCTACAAGGTTATTAGCATTATGGTCAGTCCTCATGTCGATTTTTTGCACATACCAGGCATTCCAGGGCCACCCTTGGGGCCGCAGTAGCGAATAACGACAACGGTCTTCTCCTCCTTCTTAATTTCTCCGCGCTCCAGAGCGGCGATGAAATCGTCTTCACGATCGAACACACGAGCCTTTCCGGTGAAGGTCATGCCCTCCTTGCCGGTGATCTTACCGACACTGCCACCGGGGGCCAAAGAGCCACGGAGGATTTGAATGTGACCAGTCTTTTTAATAGGGTTGGAGAGGGGGCGGATAATCTTTTGGTCCTCGGGGAAGCCAGGAAGCTTCTCCAGGTTCTGAGCCATGGTCTCACCAGTAACGGTCATACCAGATCCATCGATGAGACCCTCCTTGAGGAGCAGCTTCAGGAGTGCCGGGGTACCTCCGATGGCGTGCATATCAGCCATGACGTACTTGCCGGAGGGCTTAAGATCAGCCAGGAAGGGAATCCGGTCGGACACGGCCTGGAAGTCATCAATGGTGAGCTTGATGCCGACTGAGTCAGCGATGGCAATCAAGTGCAGCACAGCGTTGGTAGAGCCGCCAGTGATGTTGACAACGACCATGGCGTTCTCAAAGGCCTGACGAGTGAGAATGTCGCGAGGACGAATGTCCTCGGCAAGCAGCCTTTTGATCGCACCTCCAGCCGCAAGACACTCCAGGTACTTGGCCTGGGAGTTGGCCGGGTTAGAAGATGAACCCGGAAGGGTCATGCCCATGGTCTCAATGGCGGAAGCCATGGTGTTGGCAGTGTACATACCACCACAAGCTCCCTCACCAGGGCAGGCGTGACGGATGACGTCAAAGCGCTGTGGCTCGGTAATCTCCTTGGTGAGGAATTGACCATAGGCCTGGAAAGCAGATACAATATCGATATCGGCGTTGTTCTGGGTAGCAGCGCAGCCGGGCTTGATGGTTCCACCGTACACCATCAGACTGGGGCGGTTGACACGGCCCATAGCCATCAGAACACCAGGCATGTTCTTGTCACAACCGGGAATACTGATGTTGGCATCATACCACTGTCCACCCATCACGGTCTCGACAGAATCGGCAATAAGGTCACGACTCTGCAAAGAATAACGCATGCCGGGGGTGCCCATACTGATTCCATCACTGACACCGACGGTGTTGAACTGGAAGCCAATCAAGTTCTGATCTTGGACACCCTGGCGGACCTTGTTGCTGAGGTCAAGCAAATGCATGTTGCAAGGGTTACCATTGAACCAAACTGACGAAATTCCGACCTGCGCCTTGTTCATGTCCGCCTCTTTCAACCCAACCGCGTACAGCATTGCCTGGGAAGCACCCTGTGACTTGGGTTGGGTGATAGTGCTGGAGATCTTGTTGAGGCCCTTGTCATTCTGGAAGCGAGGGAGAGTGGTTGAGAGAGCCCGACTACAGGGAAAAATGAAGTTAGAAACGAGACAAGCAATTGACGCAACGCAATTGAGTCAACTTACACAGGGTTGGACTTGGATAAGCCCCGGAGAGCGGCGGGCACGCGGGCCCGAGTTTGAGGAAGCATGATGAAATGGATGAGGCTATCCAAAAACTACCAAATAGAGTAACACAATTGAAAGTCTGGAGAAGAGAGGGGGGACAAGAATTAAAAGGCGGAAGCTCAAGGGAGTGGGTCCGCCGCTCCGACAATTGCACCGGAGAAATGCGAAACCTCCCCGCCAATTGGGTCCATGTCGTTGTCAGCCCGTTACTGGGGAAATGCGCACATCAATTGACAGCTTATCTTTGTTCCTTATGTTAGGTGCCTCTCAGGGCACCTCGATTCATATCTCAATGCGACTTCTATTTGCACTGGAGCATTGGCCAAGGTGAACAGAGAAGATTGTAGTAAATGGAGCGCGGAAGTTGGCCTGGCATTAGAGAACGCCATCTCATAGCGAGTGGAAGCCTCAATAACTCCTATTCACTGGGAGTGAGCAGCGTCTAGCGCCCAACTATCACACATGTATGAAGTGAGGGCATTAAAGTCGAGGGATCTGGGGATCTGGGGATCTGGAGCTGATGTGTGCTTCACGAACTGTAAGCTGCTCTTTAGTAAAGCCGGCCGTCCCCATAATGTCGCGGTGTCCTGAGGTAGAGAAAGCCGCGCGCTTGATGTGATATCCCCACCCGCAAACGTGCAGGACGTTATGACCGTAGAAGGTATGGAATTTGCGATCGGAACATGATTGCTAACTAGCTAATCGCTCTGGATTATCCTCTCGGTCGACTAAAATAGATATCATAACTTCTGCGGAGTGGCTTGTTCGCAAATAGTCGACTCGCCCGATTCGCCATCTTGGCATTCTTGAGATAGTCACAGTGTTTTGGGCCTCGGTTGAATGCTATCTAGTTTCTATTTTGCAAAATTTAAAAGGGTTTTTTTTTGATATGCCACTCATTGATGACCAAAAGTTAGGCACCCAAACTGAGTACTGCCCTGTGCAGGCCTTCGTATTTACCTAGAACAACAGCGAGACCAATTTCAATGACTTGGCTCGCAGGCTGGACTAGAGAAGCGGTAAATTCTTCGGGATTTTAGAAATATGTATGAATTGAAAAAAGGTAAAAACCACTCAGATTAAGCTTAAGAAGGTAGCTTTTGTCGTTCTGCCACATCCTGTTTAGTCACTCTATCGCTTCGATCCGCACTCTTCTTTCCCACTTCTAATAAGTCGATCTTTCGAACGACTTTGAGAGTGGCGTAATAACTGAGAGGTAGGGCAGTTAACGCTGTCGGTACAGCCTGAACGCCAACTCCAACTGCAACTGCAGCGGTTTCTATCCCCCGAAGCAATGAACTGTATCGAATTTGATCGCCGGGGGAGTCCGAAAAATTTCCGATACACCAGTGATCAAAATGCTCGACGAAGCTAAGACTGATACATTCAAACAGATACAGACCAAACCCACGACCAAGGGAGCTTTGGTTGCCCCAATCCAACACGGGTTTGGTGTGTCGGTACTCGTTCTGAATGATGACCGCCCAGATCCACGTCGCACTGTTCATGAGGGCAATGATAACGAATGTGACAATTGCTCTATACTTCCGATTAGTCAACCAAGGTAGGTCTACTAATGTCCCACCCAACCAAGTCGCCAGCGTCCCCACAGCCGCAGACATGAAGCTTCCCAGTGCGCGCGCGAACGGTGAATAACGTTACGAGATATGTGCAAGGGTATGCCTGAATCCACCCAAAATCCCAGAATAGCGGGATAAGGAGCAAGATCGACCTACTCCTTGCCAGCCGCCACATCTCGCAGAGCTCTTGACGCCAGTGAATGCCACGGGGGGCTTCGATACGCGTTCCATCGTCTCTTTGAGCATTCTCTGGGTTTGACAAGAGGCGCCCGATGACCAGTCCAAGGAATTGCATGGCGATGAAAGCGAGATAGGTTTGGTACCCAACCTGGCCGCATTGATTGGCCTTGTGGTTTAAAGGCTAAAGAAACGGCACCACCAATGATAGTGCCAAATTTGCGGAACGTAAACCAGGTTGCAATGTAACGACCGCGCTTGTGTTGCTCGGGGTACCCTGTGGCGACGGCACCCTCAACACTCTAAAAGAAGCCAGCACTGGTGCCGCAAGTGTCACGCCGGGACATACAAGCCATGTTGTGCCAGTGCGATTGTTCAAATATAACCCCGCTGCGTACAGTGGGTATCCAAGTGACCCTAAAGTCAGTGTCCAGTGAAAGCCGATCGAGTTTGTAACAAGCCAGTGTTATCAAGGCGTATAGTAAGGCGTTGGCTGTATTGACCAAATTTGGGCTTTGAGATCCGCCCACGCCTAGACCATTCATCGCACTCCACATTCCTGGCGCACAGAATGCACAAAGTCCCACGACTACGATTTGAAAAAACGTGCTGTAAAATAATCTGGGATAATGTGGTGGGTGCTCATCTTGGGTTTTCACGGTCGTTGAAACGTTGGCTTTGGCTTTGGAATCTCCCGATGTTGATATGACTATGATGTAGGGATGTAAACATTATTAAATTTGATTCCTAGCATACACAGGATCCGGCAAGTCTATTTAATATGATCGGATAGAAACCCTTTGTACACCCCGTTTGACGGGGCGATATCCAGACGAGCACGCAAAACAAAAGCTCATGGCATAATCGCGCCATATTTCGGCAATCGATGGCGAAGCATCACAGGTGTGAAAGGTGTCTTGGATCACAAATCATATGAAGGCTATCCAATGATATCACGGCATCTCGGCAGTTATAAGGGACTGTGCTCTCAACTACAAATGTACGGCATGCGCTTGAGTGTTGTTGCTCAATCACCTACAATCTCACATTTATATTGAGCAAAAATGGCAACAACCTCTCCAGAGCTACAATTTGAGAAGCTTTGGCCGGACGACTCTATCATCACATTTGAGTCCTTCGACCTTCCAACTTCCAACCAGCGTATCCTCGGACCACCGCATCCCAAGAACACAGTTATCCCGCTTGCACTACGACCTGTCAAGGCCGATTACAAGGCAACTCTCGATACTGTGCTAGAAACGATTAAAAATCTCCAAGCGAAAGACGGTATTTTGACTAAGAAACTCGCACGGCATGGCACGCTGCTGTTTCGCGATCTACCAATCCAGAACGCAGATGACTTCAGCAAATTTGCACACGCATTCGGCTACAACCCCCACGAGATTATTGGCATTGTCGTCGATAGACCACTTCTCGCGTCAAATGTTGCGCCCGCCAACGAAGCGCCCAAGGAGGTCCCAATATACAGCCACAACGAGTCGCCGCAAGTACCGCATGCGCCCGAGTACATCTTTTTCTATGGCCATCGTGCGCCGTTGAGGGGTGGGGAATCACCTATCTCTTCTTCATTGGAATTGTTTAACCGCGCACAGCAAGAGATCCCTGAGTTTATCGCCGAAGTGACGGAAAAGGGAATTTTGAGCCAAGTGACCTATCGAGTGGAGAAGCAGTTTGAAGGGGGATCCACACTAAAGCAGGCCTTTGGCAAGGAAATTCAAGAAGGAGATGACGAAGAAACAAAACGCCGCAAAATAGAAGCCCAGATTGCCCGCTACGGCAGAGGGGAGCATACGACATGGGAGTGGACTGACGATGGGCTGGTCTTGTCGCACCGGCTACCTGTTGTCCGAACACAGCCCGGTACGAACCTGCCGACTCTTTTTACTGGGCTGGCGGCGTATTGGAAACGTGCACAGTTTGATGTCGAGGTGCGGAAGAAGGTCACGCAACAGCTCTCTTTGGAGATGGGACGCCTATTCCTGAAAATTATCTTGAACAACTGGCAAAGATTACAGAAGAGATTCGGGTTCTGCACCATTGGCAAGAGGGTGATGTGTTGGTTTACGATAACGTCGTTGCTCAACATGGCAGAGAACCGTGGCAAGGCGAGCAATCCGATCGGGTTATTCTAGCAAGTCTATTCGATGGTGAAAGTGTGCCAGGAGCTTATGGATTCGGAGATTGGGCGCAGGTTGTGCAGGCACTTGATTGAATTCTTTCTTTGGGGCAGAACATTTTGTCCCTTTTTTTTAATGATTCAACTAGCGTGAAATGACACCAGGAAAATATGCCTGAACTATGGTGAATTTTATCACAATGAGCTTTTGGTGAGAGAGCCCAGAAAGAAGTATTGGCTATGTCCAGAGGAGATCTAGCTGGGCAGGGAATGAGAACACCCCTGCATCTACTAGTTTCCGATCTTGTTCATTCGTGCAGTTGAATATTTGCTTTATGACAGCCAATGAGTGATGTAACTATGTAGCAACCCTGCAATCTCACAATATTGTATCTTACCTGTGCACATAGACTAGAGCCCTATGGTGCGGCTGTGACTTGAGCTTTCTATAATTTTGCATCCAACTAGTTTCTTCTACATTGATCATGTCTACTTTTGAAGGTGTTCAGCCTTCAGCACTGTGAGTTGGTAGCTACGTTGATAATTTGAAAGACAGGTTTGTTTCTTGCTTTTCACTCTGCTCTCCTAAAGTCTCCATGAATACTTGGGTTTAATCGATGAAGCCCAACGCTACCCGAGGATCAGGGATATATATTACTGGGGTTCAGTTTTCAAAACCAGGACTGCGTCATGTTTCTAACGCCCACAAGTTAAAATACCAGAAACCTGCATTTTGATTGCGCAAGCTCGAATTAAATTCTGAGATACCGAAAAAAAAAAAAACAAGCACGCCCTGTGATCCTGCATAGCCACAGCTCGATCGCCATGCCAAGCCACGAGTGGCCGAGCTAATCAGGTGCACACGGGAGGTCCGAGTGTAATCCCCCGAAGACAAATCAGGCCGCTACTCCTGATGGGTTACATAAGACCATTTTGACCGCTAGGCCAAAAGTTCACAAGGACAAACAGAACAAACAGAACATCTGTTTGTCATTGCAGCGGCCTATGTATTAGGCCCTAATATCCATCAGGGACCACACCAGCCTAACAACGTCACCTCTTCTAATCGCCATGGGATCCTCTTACTCCACAATATCAGTGGATGTCAATTCTATCAGACGTGAAGCTTCAGCTTCTACTGGAGGAAACCGAATTCATTACCCAAGACACTCAGCAGATAGCGTCGAGACTTTCAACATTCTCCGACAAAAGCTGCCGTCTGAACTCGTGCTAGAGATTCTAGAATTCGCAGAGTATTGGGTGTTATCTGCTGTCCACAGAGAAGACAGGGTGCATTACAATGAAAGCGACTGTCGTGATCGAACCCCATATTTGACATCAGAGCCCATTCAAGGCGAGCGATTTCCCGTGCAAGAGATCAAAATCAACATCTGGAGCCATGACCAAGGATGGAGCAGCTATCGCGAGGATCATGGTACCTTCAATAACTCTTGGACGTGGTTTGATCTTGGTATTGAGAAACCCCCGGGACGAGAGGATATCCCCACAGATGAAAACCTACGTCTGGCGACCAATGTCCACGCTGGACGTGAAACCATGAACCATCAGATTATCTACCGGAGGGACCAGGCGCTCAACTGGATGCAAAATCTTCAAGCAGGTGATCGGATATCAATTGTGCCCCGGGCGCGTTTTGCTGGCTGGAGAAACACCGTGGAAAAGGCTTCTATTGAGGTTTACACCAGCCCTGTTCTGTGATCATGTATGTACCTGTATCATTACCTTCTCGATTTGAAAGCAAGCCTGCATAGTCAATTTCATGCATAGACAAGTGTACGCAATTTTCTCGGTTCGTTTTGTGACCAAGCGATGTGTCCCCAGATACAGAATATGTGCTACTTCTTCATAAACAGAAAATTAGATGCCTCCGCCCAACCCCTGCAGCTTAGACAATAGTGACATCTACCAGAGCACCAATGCTGACTGTCATGAACACGTTTGCCCTAATGCCCCTAGCCTTGGTGGCCAACTGCTTCTAGCGCCATTGGAAGAACACCAAGATCATCTGCAAGAGAGTTATGGATTGTATCGTAAAGTACGAACCCAACAGCGGCCTTTGTTGTTCCCTACAAAATCCGACCAAAGTTTTTTCCACTTTCCTTCGAAATGAATAGACTGACAATGACAAGAGTTGGACAGCCTGTGCAAAGAGCACCGACAAATTCCTGGCTCGCAGCTTGTGCCATCTGACTGAGCGGATTGGAGGTTTGAATAGCCCTGTTATTCAGCAGTTAAATTCGTGTCTTTGAACGCTCAGATAGATACTGTGACAGTGAATTGGTGAATCTTTATAGGCAAGTCAAGAAACCGACTGCTATGGCTGCCTTTGATTCATCCACCAATCCTCCGGATAGGACACTAACTGGGCCGCGTGAAGGTAAGACTCAAGTTGGTTGGGGTACCTGATTGACACCCAATTGGATAACCTACCCTCAGCTTTTGTGCTCCAGTTTTCACTATGCAGGGGTAGGCATGGTATGATATTTTCAGCTTGCAGCTTACCATGATAACACAGAGGTTTCTGCAGTAGTTTATAGGACCTTTTGTTGGGAAAAAAGGGAAAGGATTCCCTAGTATGCATTGACGAACAAAAGGGTACCTGATTTCTTGAACATAGGACCTAGAGAACATGGAGGCAATCTTGGCGCTCTAAAAAATCCGCTCTGTATTGAGGGAAGATAGAAGTTCTTCTCATGATCGGTGCGTATATTTGCAAATCTCCTGTGAGCGCTCCCTGGGATGCGACTTTATTCCAGTTCGGTCCATCCGCTGCTGGTGTCCATGATCTATGAGAGCCCAGGACGGAGCATATAGCTGACGCTATTGCTTCTCGTTCTCAAATTCGATGCTTTTCATCTAGCCACAGGTATCAAGGATCTTCTTTTTGATATCGAAAGAGCCATACTAGGAGGTTCGCACTTCTTTCGCGGGTTAAGTCTGAAACCAGGGAAAAATGCATTGAACAAAATCACAAACCCAGCAAGCTCTCTCATTATTTCACTTCTTTTTTATTCATTCTGAACGCAAAGAGATTTTTTTAGCTAGACATCTCTGAACGTCTTACGCATTGCTCCAGTCAGCCTGGTTACACCAATCTTAGGCTGTCGAAAACTGATGGAAGCCTCCTCTCTCACAATGGCACCCAAGATGAGCTGAGTATGTTGTTCCTCGGAGTTTCAACTAAAGCGCACATCCCACAAGGCTCTGACTCAGAGTAGGGGTCACCCTGACAATTGCGAAAGCCCAAGTGATGTGAAATGTGATGTGATATTTCGGCATGTAACAAGGTCTCAAGTGCAGTGCGCGCTGATTTCGACTACGAGGCTGAGTTTCACTTTGCAGAAAATGCCATAATCTTGTGGCTATGCCTTTGATATAGGTATATAGTCTGTCTACTCCCAGGGAAAAAAAAAGCGAGGTGCAGTTCGAGGATCACGATGATCAACCCCTGTCCCGCGTGGAGGCGGCTCTGTCTCGCTGTGCTTTTCGTCGCAACTGTGGGCTGTGCGCTTTCAATCACAGATCACACAGGATCCCCTGCCTGTCGCTGCATGCCACATGATCCTTGCTGGCCTGAAGATCATCGATGGGCCCGATTTAACGAGACCGTGGATGGGAATTTGATTGCAACTGTTCCGATCGCGAGCGTCTGCCACCTCGACTCATTCACGCCATACAATCAATCACAATGCACATACCTCCAGTCCAATTGGGGGTTCCCAGCAACACACTATGGGAGTCCATCATCAATAATGGCGTCCAGGTTTACGAACCTGAGCTGCAATCCCTTCTCGTCAAAAACCTCACCTTGCACAATCGGGAACTACGTCCAATACGCCGTGAATGCAACGAACGCCGCACAAATCCGGAAGGCAATTCATTTTGCAGCTCGGCACAACATCCGCCTTGTCATCCGCAATACTGGCCATGACCTACTTGGGAAGTCTACTGGGGCTGGCGGTCTGGCAATCTGGGTGCATTTCATGAAAGAAATTTCCATAGTGGACTACGTCTCCTCTCACTATTCCGGCAAAGCCATGAAGATGGGAGCTGGGGTCCAATCCTTTGAAGCGAGTGGCGCCGCCTATAAAGCTGGACTTGTTGTCGTAGGCGGCAACTGTCCAACGGTCGGGCTGGCAGGGGGATATTCGCAAGGCGGCGGGCATGGCCAACTGGCGTCTCATGTAGGCCTCGCCGCTGATCAGGTCCTGGAATGGGAGGTCGTTCTGGCGGATGGGAAGATGGTGACAGCATCGCCCATAGAATATCCGGATCTCTACTGGGCGCTGTCAGGTGGAGGTGGAGGCACCTACGGTGTCGTTGTGTCGATGACAAGCAAGGCCTACCCTGAGCTGCCGACGACGTCGGGTAACCTTTCATTCTTCGACACGGGTGTATCACGAGATGCTTTCTTTGCAGCGGTCGCCGTGTTCATATCGATTCTTCCCTCGATCGGGGACGCTGGAGGTGCAAGTGTTTGGTGGTTAACCAACACTACCTTGTCAACGACGCCTACTACCATTCCGGGCGGCACAGCTATACTTTTCAATTCTCTTTTCAGTCCTTTAATTGCGTTCCTCGAACAAAACAACATACAACACAGTAAGTGACGCAATAAGATGAAGTTTGATTGAATAGTGACAGACAGTGAACAGCGTATGATGTGAGCGATTTTCCTACATACTTCGATGCGTACCAGACGATGAGCCCGCAGGAGACCATAACTGATCAACTTGCTGGTGGTCGCCTGATTCCAAGATCCGTAGTTGAGCAAAACTTGGACAATCTAACCACCCTATTCCGTGACACCGTCGAGAAAAATGCTGGATTTCTCATTTCAGGGGTTGTGGTCAACTCGTCTCGTGTTGCGTATCCTGAAAACAGTGTGAATCCAGCCTGGCGAGATGCAATGATGGATGTTGTAATTGGAGCGTATGTGGTTTGATTCACTTCTAGGGCCATGCAAGCTTTACTAAACTTCGCCCAGGTTGTTCGACTATACTGACATCGGTAGAAATGTGGCACTCCAGCAACTCATCAGCAATGTTCTAATGCCCCTGTTAGAAGATTGGACCCCGGGAAGTGGTGCATACTTGAGTGAAGCCGATCCAAATCAGAAGGATTGGCAACAGGCGTTTTATGGGGATAACTATGACAATTTACTAGCCATTAAGAGAAAGTACGATCCCCACAATAGCTTCTATGCTTTCAAGGGTGTGGGGAGTGAGGTGTGGACAGAGGCCGAAAATGGGCGATTGTGTAAGTCGCAAAGCTATCCGAGGGGCTGATATCGCAGGAGAAGTATGTGTGATGAAGAATAAGGAGATGTCATTACATGTGGTTTGTGTATCTGCGAGCTTAAGGCTCAAATGACTGAGTCCACACTTGTCGTGTCACCTTCAATAATCAATTTGGTCATGATCTCCCTGGTGTTGAGCCTGATGATCACAGAGACCACCATCCCCTGTCAATGATGGTTGCCGCAACGTCCTTCAGGTTCGGCCAAAGTGCACTGATGCTCCCTGCTGCGTCAGCTGGAAGTGGACCAGCCTCGCGGGCGTCGACATAGTCTTGAAGCTGTTTCAAGGTGCTTGGTCCGATGACAATTCGGTCAGGGTCCTTGAGCTTCGAGTGGAAAAGCAACCAGCGCAGGGCGCATTGAGCTCCTGTAGTTCCTACTCTTTTACCAACGTTGTCCAAGGCTCGCATCGCTTGGTGACAAAGGGGCTGATCATACCACATGCGGTAAACTGCACCAAGCATGTTACCCTCTCCGACCTCGAAGCGGGTACCCTCCAGCTGTTCAGGCGATGGAGAATAGGAAAGCTTGCCAGTGAGGAATCCACCTGCCAAAGGGGAGGTTGCCTCGAAATCAATGCCGAACTCATGAAGTACGGGAAAAAGTTCATCCTCGTAGCCTCGGCAGAACACGTTGTACTGGCCTTGGTAGACGGAAGGCATGACAAGGTTTTCCTCCACTGCGATTTCCATCCAGGCACGGATCGCAGATGGACTGTAGTTAGAGAGACCCAACCGTTCAAAATACCCCTCACGATAGTAATGGTCGAAGTGTGCGGCTTGTAGCGGGATCGGGGTGTTGCGGTCCGGGGCATGAGCGTAGAGTGTGTGGATCTAGTAATAGCCGTATTAGCCTTGTGTGCATAGCTGGTGTGTGCTTGCCACTCACCTTTTCGACCTGCAGTCGCTCCAAACTGGCCTTGATAGAGTCTCCCATGTTTTGAAAGGCCAAAGAGTCATCGCCAATGAAAAGTACCTTGGTGTTAATGATTGCATCCTCTGGCTTTGTTTTACCGAGTAGTTTCTCAGATTCACCAGGATTTGTGGCGGGATACAGAGCAGCCGTGTCAAATTGATGAATTTTGGCCCCCTTGAGACTCTTCATCAGGTGGTCGACATTGTCCGCTGTCCAGGCTACACCAAACCCTTGGGCACCGAATACATAGCGAGGGGTGTCCATGGCTGATTGAGAGGAGAGACTTGAGAGATAAACAAGGAGAGATGAAGAAACGAGAAAGTGAAAATGGAAATGGAAAGCGTTTTACCTCGAAGGGAAGGCGTGTTGCACAAACCTCTCTTCCCATTCGTCAGACCTTGGGATTGTTCAAGTGTAACTCATATTTGGCTCTTTAGAGATTGCTAAAATGAGATTTATTTCTGGGCCTCACTTAATCTGTTGTGCTTTCCGCTAGAACTTGATTTCCAAATTCCTCAATCTTTGCAACGAGCTCATTTGTCCAACTGAGATGCGGCGAGTGGCCGCAGGGTGCATGGTAGACTGTGAATGGCTTACTTTGGTTTGCCACCATTCCTTCTTGATATTCTCTGGGCAATGTATGGTCCTTTTCTAGCACAAGATAGGCACATGGAAGCACATCATAGGGATTGTGGGTGAGGGGACTATTCATTACAGGAGCAGCTGTCAGCGTGGATGCCCATCTTTTCGCAGTCGCTGCATCAAGGTCGTTGAAGAGATATTGCTCAGGGTCGACCATAGTCCCAAGGCCATGGACACCGTGTTTCTGTAATTGGGTCAGTATCTACAAACACAGGGTGCTTCACTGATCCACTCACATGAAATCGCATAAACGGAGGCGTTACAATTTTGCCATCCGGGGGCTGAAAGAATGAATGAACTGATTGACCCTCCGGAACAATGAATGCTCCGATGAAGAAGATCCCGATGACACCACCAGTTGTTCCTTCCCTTGCGCGAACAGGAGCTTGGCGAGAATTTTGTGCAGCCTCAGCAGCTACCCAACCACCGGAAGAGTGTCCTGCAAGTAGTACCGACTTTCCCTTTGCAATCAACTTGTCGAGAAGCAGTCCAATTTCGGCCGCGTCATCTGCGGGGAGTGGATAGCCTCCGGGGGGAGCCTTGCGATCAAAGTCAGGGTTGTTTGGATTGCCGACATTCAGCTGACTGAGATCACAAGTGGGCCGTTGGGGACAATAGGTTTCGATACCCTTTTCACTCAAGGCGTTTACAAGAGCTTGGTATGGAGCGGGTGTATGATAGGAGCCATGGCAGACCACAACCGCAAAGGACTTGGAAGCCATGGTGAGTTGTGAAGAGGGAAGACTCGTAGAAATGTCAAGGTTCCCCGCACTTGGTCTGGCAGCCTTATAATCGTGTTGATGCCTGAACAACCAGGGTAAATAATTTCATGCTTCATCTATGCGCGGTCTGACCGTTTATGTTTTGAGGAGCAGATCTGACCTAAGTGGCTCCTCTCGTTCAATTATGTATTTTAGTAGCAAGGATTACGACGCCACAAAATAGTCCACACGGCTCAGACTCCAGGTAGTATACATCTGATATGCGTTACGGAGCAAAAGCATACAAATCCTGGTGCATTGTCAGGGTTTGAAGTCGTCAAAACAGAGGTCCAGTTCCTGACTGTGGAGCCATGCAGATCTCCCGCGAAGATGGAACGTGCATGTCAAGGAGATTATTGCCCTTTGCATTGTAAAGACAGGAGCATCTCTGCAAATCAAACAGTGGAAGTCTCTGACACTCGAGGTAGAATATTCAGACTATGCACATCGAGGTCGCGCGTCACCAAAATCCCTGTCTCTGGAGTTTCACTCTCATTCCCAGTCCCGGTATGTGTGGGGGCACACGCGGACTCCACTTCCTTTGTATTGCCTCGGTCTCCACCATCATGGTGACTGCGATCCAGCGTGGAAAGCAGAGAGTCGAATTTTGCTGGACGAGGGCGGATTCGAACTGACCCAATTGTGGGTAAATCGTGTGGTTGCACTGAACGTACATTTCGCCCACGAAACAACAAGGGCCCAAATGTTGGTACGCAGGCTACTAATATTCCAGCCGTCATCTCCGCCATGATAAAAATAGAGGAGTCTCTGAGGCAGTAAATTAGATCATCAGCTGGACACAACTTGGTCTGAATGATGCGGCCAAGATTGATACCGGCCGTTCTAGTGTCGGTCAGCAACTGAACCTAGGACAAGCTGGTGGGGGGAGGGGGGGGGGCTTGGGCTTACAGGATACCTATGGCGAACGATGCAGTGACACCGGTCTTTTTACGACTCGACATTTGGAGTCGCCAGACAATAGGGAGCGGCAGCAACACGACTCCCAAATCAATCCCCATGTTGAACCCTGCAGATGCGTACTGTATCTTCAAGACATCTCCACAGCTCCCTGGAATAGTGCGATCCCAGTTGTAGGCAACCGGGCGACATAGCAAGGCGATAGTCAAGACTGCAGAGACCCAATATAGAAAGACAAGACAACCCACCCCAGTTGCACACCAGAAGAACTTTTGATTTCCTGGGAAGATCTCCATGTATAAAAGGAGGATGGCTAGTCTGAAGCAGACTGTAGAGGTTGCCCACATCCATTCTGATGCCCAGAATATCTAACTAGGTTAACACATCGTTTGATAGTGTGAAGAAATAGGCCAAGTACCTTCAATGCACTGACCAACTCTCCTGGGTTCCGTGTAGCCATAGTCGCCGTACGTCCGCCATAGCCAGCAGTGGTAGCGCCTGGCATGAAATGTTGGCTCTGTTTGGGGCACAAAACGTTGATTCGATCAACTTACCTATCAGCATGTCCACCACATATCCTGTCAACAGCACCTGGCGTTCTCGTTAACCTGCGGAAGGTCATGAGAACAGTCAAAACCTACCAATGAGAAAATTACGAGATAATCATGACTTTTCAAGCCCCGACGTCGTATGTGCATAGAGGCAACTCGAAGGGCAACAGCTACTGTAGCAACGAAAAAGAATATTAAGCTCCAAACAATCAAAACTGGAGACCGATGATTCAAGTGAATCATTTTTAATGTTGAGGTTCGCAATGACAAGGTCTAACAAAATGAAACAAAGTTAGTGGATGAAGAGCAGGAGGGTTGGGTTGAGAGGAACAAGAGAATTCTGTAAAATCAAGAAACGCCGTCATTTCAAGGCTGTTACTGTTAAATCTGGAGGACAGCATGTGCAAATAATGTCTAACAGGGAAGTGTTTAAGAACACCGCAGGCTTCATTTCGTACAACTTGAGAAAGGTGACCCCAACTTCCTCCAAAATTTGTGAATCAACGGAGTTTCAGCTGGGAAAGTACCAACGTGAGACCTTGGCGACTGCAAGGCCGAGCTTTCACGGTTGTTCTGAAAAATTAGACTGACCGGGTCATTCATAACATCGAACTTCATACTCTTTCCAATCCACTGCAGCCTCCCTGCATCCTCCCCTCTATCATTTCAATCTGAGAGACATTCATCTTGGGCGTTTTACCCAAAGCAATCTTTTCAAAATGCCACTCTTCATGGATACGTACGCGGAGAATATGCAGCGAGATTCCACCGAAGCGCAAAGGTAAAGAACTCACCAACAGCCAATGAAACCATCAAAGATTAAAGTCACCTCAATAGGCTTGATGAGCAATTCGACCTTCTCACAGAGTAAGAACCTTCGCCAAGTCCTGTGGTGGAAAGCAGCCCATGAGCAAACTATACTGACTCCTGCTGGCACAGAAACATCGGCTACCTGCTGCACCCGTCCGTTCGAGACAAAATGCATCCCCGCGCCCGAGTTGCTGACATCGCCACCGGCACTGCAGCTTTCCTGCGTGACCTGGCCCATGACTGGCCCGACGCAATCTTACACGGATATGACATATCAACATCGCTGTATCCACCCGCCAGAACCCTCCCCAAAAACGTGACTCTGCACCTTCTCGACGCCCGCAAGGATGTTCCAGTCAGCCTCTACGGAAAATATGATATCGTACATGTTCGACTCATTGCCGCCGGCTTGACTGCGTCTGAATGGGGGAGAGTCATTCGCAATCTTGCTAAACTACTAAAGCCTGGCGGTGTTATGCAGTGGGAAGAGTGCGACTTTACCAATGTTCGCCACCTCCCCAGTAAACCTGATTCCACGACCGATGCGGCTAGTGCCATAGGAATGATGTTCCTCACTGCCATGAGACTCCGCTTTGAGCATGGGTGGAATCGATTGGCGACCGACATGCGCACTGCAGGTCTAGTAGACGTCCACACTGAGGCCGTTTCTGTGGATCGGGTGTATGATACCCGCGCACGCTTGACTATCAATGGAATGAGGGCTATGTTCGCATGGGCGCGCCTTCATTCTGCGAGAGGGTCGCAAGGGGCGCTGACCCTGCGGCAGGTTGAGGATCTAGAGCAGAAGGCTTATGCGGATATTCAATCTGGTTGTTACGTCACCTTTGACATCCACGTTGCATGGGGATTTCGGCCCAAGGATGAAGAGTGAACAGGTTTGGTCTGCAAATTGTATCTAGCTCAACCCTTTTTCGTCCCGCGGTTCCAAAACGCAAATTGAAAGCAAGGATGACATTATTCTCACTCATATCATCTCCACACTCGGCCCTATCTTGCTCCCCCTTACCTATGTCCGACACTCAAACACTAGCCGACAAGCACCAGGCTGCGCGGTCAACTGGTCTTTCATATCCCGTTCCACAGCCTCGCCATTATTTTCACCGGGTGCAAATTTGATATGATAATGGAACACCAAGGCAGCAGTTACGAGGCGAATTTGCGCAAGAGCTAAATGACGGCCAACACAGCTTGTACGCCCTGTCGAAACAATGAGTCAGAAGACGAGTCTCTTGTTATCCCAGTGCAACTCAAATGGCCACATGGGAGCTATAACCAGACCGGTCAATGGTAGGATTGTAGCTTACCGACACCAAAAGGAGCAAAAGCCCTTTTATCCGTGATCAGCTCCGGTCGGCTGTACCACCTTTCGGGAATAAATTCATGGGGGTAGACATATGCCGTCCCAACTTCAAGTTAAAACAATTTTTTTTTTCAGTGTTTCTGACGGAAGACGGGATAAGGGGCTTCTCACGTCGACCTATTGTGTAGCGTGGTGCACAGATTTTGGTATTTCCCGGGATAAAAGTGCCACTCATCATTATTCCTTCTGGTGGTGTCACTCGAGAGCTGAAGGTTAGTACTGCTGGAAGCAGTCGCATTGCTTCGTTAATAGTCCCTGTCAAATGTGGCAACGTAGCCAAGACAGCTGGACTTTCTCTGTCAATACCGTGGATCTCTTCATGGATCTTATCAGCATGTGCGGGATAGCGAGCGAGAAAATAAAAGAGCAGGGTTAAACTTGGAGCAGTGGTATCGCTATGATGATCAGTCCGTTACCTCATGATATTCAGTCATACTAACCTTCCGGCGACAACCAGTGTTGCGGTATCACCGCTCAACCACCGCGCTCGCGTGGGATCTGATCCGTGTTTGACGTGGTCTTCGATGAACCAAGATGCAATATCGCGATCGGAGAGAGTTTTCTAGAGCTGTTTTAGTCGGAACCTGATACCTCATCCGATTTCCATTACCTTCATCCTTCGAGCCATACATTCATCACAAAATGCGAGCATATTAAACCATTGTCGGACCTTCCATAGTGAGGGAATAAATGCAAATCCCAGTCTTGGAATCCAAATGGCAGGACTGAATGGCCCCAGCAATGTGAGCGCCGAGCGCAACATGGATATGGACGAATGCCACCTCTTGTTACTCATCATGCCGAAATCTTCGCTGAAGGCAAAATCACCCATCGAGTCAAACGCGAAGAAGTACATCAGGTCATTAATAAGAACAGGGCGAGAATGACTCACAGCAACTAGGCTATGCAATGTTCGCACTTTTTCTATAACTCGCCAATGATACTGGACCAAAGCTGAACGACTGCGTCAGTCTCCAACACGTTGTGGGCTCTGCAGTTCACCACACCTTTTCTGCTCAGCGCTTGCTCCCACATCTTCCGCCGTTCATGATGTAGTTCTCGGTCGCGAGTGAAGATTGAGGATACACGAGGATACAGAAGGTCGTACCAATCAGAGCGGGTGTTGCGGTTGTCAGAACCATCCATGGCCTCATAGGCCTCCGGGTGGAATATGGTGATTTCGCTAGGACCTGAAAATTTTATCAAAAGTTACCGAGGAGTTCTACTTTAGTTGTGATAGCTCTTACCGGTTCGTACGAGCTCCCCATATTTTTCGTACCAGTCCTGCAAGACCAGATGCCCACGAGAGTCACGACACTTCCAGACGTGCCATAATTTGGTTATTCCAGCTAATTTGGGGCCGGGGAAGTGCTTGAGTCGATGAAACATCAGTCGGTATGCTGTCATGCTGGTGAATAGTGATGAGAGATAGCATGTCGCCAAGGATATTGTTTGAACCAAGCTGATTTGAGTGTTTCCATGATCCACCAAATGCTTTGCGTGTAATAGACCCAAAACAAGAACATGAATAACAACGACGCTAGGGCCCTTCAAATGCCATTCTCCATGAATAAAGACAAGTTGATGGGCTAGTAGCCCTGCAGTAATTGCAACTGCCCCTGGAGCTATCATGATGATCAAATGGAACAATTTGCGTGCAGCAATTTCCTGCCTCAAAGTGGAACAACTCCCATCGTGGCTCTAATTATGGCTCTAATTATGGCTCTTTGTATCTAAACGCTCACTGCACCAAACAGTGTTGGACAACACTCGTCATTCATAGCCATCGGAGGATATGGCCCCAAAATCAGCCTTGTTGGATATTCAGGTAACCCAAGGGGTCCACAGGTTTACCCCCCCCCCCCCCCAAAGATGCTTAACTATTTAGCATAGGTTTGGCGCCTTGTCACAGACAGTCAAAATTCCACGACGGTTGGGTTTAATTCTCTTCTCTCACTTGGACGATCTTTTTTTTTCATCCACCTCCAACGTTCTGGTCTCAAGGCCTAAATTCCACCGCAGGTGAAACAAAACCCACAACCTGAGCTATCATATACCATTGACCTCGATTGGGCCATCAATACTCATCAGTATGAGCCGATGTCTCTCAACTGTTCCAAGAGCATTGAAATCTCTGTGGTACCACGCACATACCCTCTGGCTATTTGTCTTTAGTGATTTCAAAACGATTGTAGCACCAAGTACTATTTTCGGAATCACAAACGCCTGGGCCGCGTCAAAATACGACCCGTATGTTTCAGGAGCTTTGTCTTCTCCGCAGACCATCAGGGATTGTCCAAAGTCGATTGGAAAAGCTCTCGCAGTATTGTCATGGCTTCTGATTAACTTAGTCCCATTCGCCATTAACAACCAAAGGGGTCAAGGAGCCATTGCCGAGGACCGTTTGAACAAGCCATGGCGCCCCTTTCCCCGCGGGCGGATCTCTCACGACTGGGGCACGCGAGTCATGGTCATTCTATATATACTCGCCCCGGTCTATAGCCATGTATTTGCTGGTGGAGTCCGACATTCTGTGGCTTTGATATGGTTAGGGATGTGGTACAATAACTGGGGTGGCGCAGACAAGAACCCGGTCATCCGGAACATTATCAATGGACTGGGATATACCTGTTTCGCATCGGGAGCGATGGAAGTGGCTCTGGGCGGCTCTTGGGTCTCTCTTCATCCGCTTGGATGGTTGGGACAGTGGCTTCTTGTCATCATTGGGGTTATTTTCTCCACCGTCCAATTGCAGGACATGTCCGATCAGCCTGGCGATGCTAAACGCGGTCGGCGAACGGTGCCCCTGGTGTGGGGTGATACTGCGGCACGCTGGACTATTGCTCTACCCATGCTCTGTTGGGGAATAGGGTGTCCAATGTTCTGGGGTGTTTCATGGCTTTGGTTTGCCATCAGCATAACATTAGCTTCGCTGGTGGCCTTGAGGACTCTGATGGTTCGTTCTGTTCAAGGGGATAAACAGACTTTTCGTCTTTGGAACTGTTGGATTGCGATCACATATATGCTGCCGTTATTTTCTGAAGGGGGATCTCTTCAGGGCAGACTTTCAAGTCATGTTGGGTAAGACGAATGGATATAAGCCAACTGCCACTCTCATGTTGTGATCACCCCATTTTCCAATACCGCTATAAGTACTGAGGCCCTACACCTATAATGCTAAAAGTAGCTATCCAAAGCCACACTTTTTCGTGATCAAGCGTGGTCTTTTGTCCACCTCTCTTGCATTCGGTGATAAGAGTGCGCTAACACCGAGATTAGCTTAACCCCGCTAAACTCCTGGTCGCCCAGCCCATCATGACGTTGGCATTCTCCACATACATAAAGCACTTTTTTTTTTCTCCCTTTTCTTCCTCAAAACCCATCGATTGAAATTATTCACTCATCATGGGCTTCCTTTACTCACAATTCTTCGTTACTCCCACATACCCAACACAGTCTTTCGCTGATCAGACGGTGCTCATCACTGGCGCCAATGTCGGCTTAGGGCTAGAAGCTGCACGTCACATCACGCGACTAGGCGCCGCACGAGTGATCCTGGGCGTTCGGAATGTTTCTGCGGGCAACGAAGCAAAAGAGGACATTGAGAAGTCTACAGGTCGTCTAGGTGTCTGTGAGGTGTGGGAGGTCGATTTGGCTTCCAATGCTTCCGTCCTTGCCTTTGGCGACCGCATCGCCAAGCTCCCTAAGCTCGACGCAGCCATCCTCAATGCAGCGATCGCCACAGGGGAGTTTAGTATTGCCGAGGGTTATGAAAGAACCGTCACTGTCAATGTCATCAACACTCTACTCCTCGGTCTTCTCCTCCTGCCGACGTTGAAAGCCACTCGAAAGAAGAACCCATCGCACACGCCCCGACTTGCATTTGTTGTGAGCGAGGTACACGGCTGGGTAGAGTTCACAGAATGGAAGGAAGATAAGCCAATGAAGTTCGTCAGCGATGTTACCAAAGCCAAAATGGGCGAGCGATATCCATTATCGAAGTTGCTCGAGGTGCTGCTTGTGCAGGAACTGGCGGGTCGTGTTCGTGGATCAGAGGTGATCATCAATATGCTCAACCCTGGTCTCTGCCACTCAAAGCTGGGGCGTGAGGGTGGCTGGAAGTTCACAGTGATGAAAATGGTATTGGCGCGGTCCACCGAGGTTGGATCCCGAACGCTGGTAGCGGGCGCTACTGCGGGACTTGAAAGCCATGGTGCATATATGCATGATGGACATGTGGAGAACACTTCCCTTTCACCTTTTGTTCGAAGTGACGAGGGGCGCCAAGCCCGGGAGAAACTATGGGCTGAGCTGTCGATGATCCTCGAGGGTGTTCATCCCGGGATTATGCAGAATGTATGAGTTGGTGGGGCTTCGAATTTTTTTGGTCATGTTAATTTTAATAAGGAAAAAACACAAATAATGTAAAAGACAAGACTAGACCCCCTGGATCAATTCCTTCTCGCCTAACATTTTACGGAATACCTTGACTCTATCTGCAGCTGACTCTTCGTACCACTGCTACTCCAGAACCGACCTCGGGACTATTCAGAGTCCCGAAATATAACGCAGATCGGTGAAGATCTTCAATATCGGATTGGTCAGACTGAATTGGGAACCAAATTCTTTTCTTGACGTCTACCTCGTCTGGACCTCTCAGGTTCGCAGAAAGCCCCCCAAACCCCCGGCACAAATTGGCCGCTTTGCTCGGACACCCAGGCAGCCCGTTTAGCAATACAATGGACCTCTCACACCAGAGCAAACACTCCGTGAGCACGAAGTGGTGGTTCTGTACAGAGTGCATCTTACGAGCTTCCAAACTTGCCGAACGATGGCTATGATTCGCGCAATCGATGCCCGTGGCGTCAATAACGAGGTTTTATTGACCACCCTCTTAGTTAAACAAAGAGACCGGGGCCAAGGGACATATTGACAATGAGACAGCTTCTGCGTGCCTTTACCCTGTACTAGATGCCGTACATTTAGGCCAGGAGAATCCCTAATCCTCAACAGCTGTAGTTAATTTCATCTGCACTTGTTACAGTTCATTTTCATCATGGCTCCAGTCCTATTAGAACCCACAATTGCTGTTTCCCAGTCTAGTTCTCTTCCATTCCAGGTAGCAGTCGATCGTGGTGTTACAAATGGAGTCGACCTCACTCTGAAGGCACGTCCTTGGCGACTTCTGCACCTCGCCGATGGCCTCAATCTTCCCCCGCCCGCCCAAGAAGAACATCCGGATCTTCATGTCCAGCGGCTACTTCAATTAGCTTGGGTCACTACTATCAGAGCATTTTTTTGCTCGACAACTCTATACATTGGTCAAGATTATCTAAACGGCCAGTGCTATGTAGGCCAAGCAGCTCATGGCTACTCGAAGCCAACCGCCCAGATCCATGTAGATCCTCATGATAGCGTGGGGGATCTCTTGCGTGATAGCATTGAGGCATTGGGCCTAATATCCCATGTCAAAGCTACGCACAACGTCCATGCTGGCCAGGCCGGCGAGGATCCTGGCTTCGATGTTACAATCGTCTACCAGAAGCAACCTGCGAAGCGCATCCTGTCTGGTCAGGATGCATGTATCGGCAGTTGTCAGGTCTGCTGTGACATACCGGCGAAAGAAGCATCGGAGGTAGACTCGATATTCACCGGTCTCCGCCTTTCGATATGCCATACCTCCGACGATATGTTACACTCCCAGTTGGACGTTGGAAACACGGGGATTGGACTCTCATTGGCTACAAGCCTCTTGAACAGTTTCAACCAGGCCCTATCGTCAATTGATGGCTCGTCCACACAGACGATCGGAAGCCTCGAGTTATGCTCGGCGCATGATCGTGATCAGATCATCCAATTCACCAAAGCCATCGGCCCCGGCAATGATGCTCTGCTACATGATCTTTGTTTACAACACTCAAAGACAACACCCGATGCTCCCGCCGTTCGCTCCTGGGATGGGGATCTGACATATCGCCAACTTGAGGAACTGACTTCTCGCTTGGCACACTGGCTAGTGGGACAAGGCGTCAAACCAGGTATCTATGTTGCTTGCGCTTTCTACAAATCCACATGGGCTATCGTGGCCAGACTGGCTATCCTCATGGCTGGCGGTGCATACATTTGCGTCGATGGCTCTGATCCACCACCATACCTTGCATCCGCCCTCGAGCGCACCCAGATAAGGTTAATGCTCACATCAACCGGGTACAAGGAAAAGTTTGCCGATCGTGTCGAAATTCTCTTCGAGGTCAGCGAGGCTTCGGTTTCCGGTCTGCCATTGTTGACTTCAGTCCCGTGCTCAACCGTCACCCCCACCGACCCTTGTGCTGTGCTTTTCACATCCGGCAGCACGGGAAAGCCTAAGGGGATCGTCCAGGAGCACCGTAGCTATGCCTCCGCGTTGACGGATTACATCCGAGTCATGGGCATGGGACCGCATAGCCGGATGTTCCAATTCGATTCGTACACCTTCGACATCAGCAACAACGACTTCCTGGCCCCTCTGATAGCCGGTGGATGCTGTTGTGTTCCCACTAGATCTTTGACAATGGAATCACTGATGAATGATATGAACGATTTGGAGGGGAACATAATGTTTGCAACACCCTCAGTCGCCATCGACATGGAACCAGACCGCGTCCCCACACTGGAAATGATGTGCATCGGCGGCGAGCCCGTCTCAGACGCGGTACTGGCGAAATGGCTGGACCGCGTGCAGGTGGTAAACCAATATGGCATGGGCGAGATAGCTTCTCTCTGCGCATATAATCGCAATCTCCAGATGGGTCGCGGGTCAGTAGTCGGTCGTCCTGCTACCGGTGCGATATGGATTGTCAACCCTGACAACCCAGACCAACTGATGCCCGTTGGAGCTGTCGGCGAACTCCTCATCGAGGGCCCCCATCTCTCGAAGGGATATCTAGATCACGTCTCTGGGAAATCGGAGAACTTCCTCACCGCGCCACCAGTCTGGATGGCCCAGCTCCACACCGATAGGCCGAATCATCGTCTCTATCGGTCCGGAGATCTGGGCCGATACAACCACGATGGGACAATCGAGCTGATGGGCCGCAAAGATAGCATGCTGAAGCTAGACGGAGCCCGTGTCGAGGCTGGCCAAGTGGAATACGTTCTCCGGCGCAATCTGTCCACCGGCGATGCAGCGGTTGTAGATGTTCTTGGTGTGATCGATGGACAAAGTGATCCTATTCTTGCCGTCTACTTATACTTGGCGAGTAACCCGATGAACATGGAAAGTGGTCCGGTTGAGAAGATGGAGTTTCGTCCGATCAGCGAGAGACAGTCCGTGCATGGGCTCACCCAGTCGCTGAGCGAGGCCGTCCGCCAGAGCTTGCCCAGGTACTATGTTCCTGCGCTGTATATTCTTATTGACAGAGTCCCGCGCACCAAGTCTAAAAAGACAGATCGACGGAAGCTTCATCTGTTGGGACAGGCTTATTATATGGAGCATCGAGATGAGCTGGAGGGGATTACTATCTGGTTGGATTGGAGTCAGATCTAATTAGGGCCCGGTGAATCTTGGATTGAGTGGCCCTTTAGTCATACATTTCTGGGACTTGGAGGATTTTGTAAGCAAGTGACAACAATGATATGTATGTTGGGATGTTTATTCTCAGATTTAACGACCTTGAAAGATTGAAATGAACTCTTTGTAGCCGGCTATAACACCAATCTGTCTATCAGAGTGCTTCTTTTTTCCTCTTATATAAAGCTTGGCAGTTTTAATTCGACAAGTGCATTGCAATAGTTCTATTTTGTCCCCCAACTCTTTTTTTTTTTCAAGGCCGCATTTGCCTAACTCGAATATCAAGACGTGACTTTAAATCAACATCAATTCCTGTCTGATCCACGATGTGGAAATTGGGCCTAGGCGTGTGGTCTCCGCTCTCGGCCCGATTCCATCATTGCCCGTGATGCCTTTCGTCTCTAATAATAATGACTTCTCGAAATCCTCTTCGGTCAAGTCCTGCAGGCCCTCGTATCCATCGCCTGACACGAGGAATTTGAGCTAGGAGAGGAATGTGGGTAGTCGTGCGGGGGGGGGGGGGGGAGGCTATAATAATCCCGCCAATGGCGACGAGTCTATCCACGAAAAAGGTAGCGCACAATGATGGCTCGAGTAGCGCAGCCGGCACTAGAGGGGGGAGTAAAGGCCCCAGCGGAAGGGGATACCAGTTCCGCAATTTGCCTCAAACAGCGAAATAATCATGCATCACCTTCGGCTCTCAGCGATCATACGGCCAAGCCTCGGGGACCAACGGAATGAAAGCATATTTCATGTCCTTGAACGCTACATCCTCGTTCATCATCATGGACGGACCAATCGCAAAGCCCGCATCAGGATCCACTGGTAGCCAATTTGATGTCATGCGGGTACTCCCATCTGGCATCTCGAGTGGTGTGAGACACTCTTCGTCTATGCGTGAGTGTCGACGGTGCGGGGAGCTGAGCCTGTGGGTCTGGCCATGAGTCTGATGTTGGGTGTCAAATGCCGAGGCCCCGAAATCCGAAGGCCCAAAGTCGAGTTGCATGTATTGAGCATCTTCGGGTTCAGCTTCGCCTTCCCACCCGCTTGATGAAGCTTGGCTTGGTTCTGGCGATCCATTCGGATTTGAGCTTGGGGAGCCGGGGAAGGGAACGGCGAGGGTATTTGGGATGGGAGTCATGAAGAGGGCTCTTTGTGTTGCGAGTTGGAGATCTGGGAGGGGATGGATCGGGGGATTCTCGGTGGTTTGGAAGGGGGTTGATTGGTGGAGTGAGAAACTAGTTGCAGATTTTAGCTACTTAGGTCTCAAGGCGCGCCTTTTATTTTTTTTTCTCGTCTCGCCATTTTGGGGGTCTCTGGGCAAAGGGTTGGGTAGTAGCTTACCTTGTAGTATTGGTTCTCTTCCCTCCACAGTTCTCTCTGACTAGCCCGGCGTCGTACCATATTTGTGGATATGGTTGGAAAGTAGTCAGTTTAACCGGGGTTTCCTCAATCCAATTAAACTGCTCAGCAGTCCAGGAGGAGTCCAGTCCCTCCTGTATCGGCAGAGGAAAGTCGCCAGCGATGAAAGGATGTGGGCTGAGCTCATCTCGTTGTTCCATCCGTGAATCAACGAGACTCTCCATAGGCCAAGAGGTAATTTCGTAGGGGAATTGAGCATCGATCATGGTGAATGTACTGTATTTGACACAGATTGATGACACAGATTGAATGATGAGGGCGTAAGTATAGGATTAAAGACAGCAATCAAAGAGCAAAGCTTCGGTTGGACTGGAATTGGAGTTGAAGTCGAAGCTCAAAAGATTTTGTATCCTCGCGAGACCTTGTCACCAGTAGGTTGAAAGCAAAGAATTCTTCCCCACAGAACCGGGGTCATGAAGGACTTTTAAAACAATTGAAAAACTGGAATCCCACATCAACCCACGCTGAGCTGTGGAGTTGCGGAGAACCCGGGGCAAAGTTCCAACGGCAAATATCCCCGGAGACCTCATGATCCCTCAAGATACCTCAATTAACCGATTTCCCCGGATTTCGCAGTCGAGGCCGTGCATTCGGGGGAGATGGTAGTCCAATCGGAGAATTTCGGTAACTCGGCATCAAGAATTTAAACGAGACCCCGCCGTTGAACGGGTAAATAGAGAAGGATGGAGAGTTGAAGCTAAAGAGGAGAGTGAGGAATGACATAGGCCTTGTTTCATCTTGTGATCTAGATGGATGAAGGGTTCTGGGGTAGATTCTGTCGACGCCATGGAAGAATGGACTGAGACACAGTGGATTATATACTTGCAGAGTTCTCTGCTCTCCAATAGGTACATAGAAAAAACTCCTCCACCGCGTAAAACGCCTATCCAATAAATACCATGCCAGAACTGGATCTGATTCAAACGTAGTATCCTGTCAACTCCAAGATTGCGACCTCGGGAAGATCGGAGGTGGGGGAAAGCGTCCCTACCGATTTCAGGTACGGCAGGACGCATGATTTGGCTCTGGAATGCAGGGATCGACAGGGATGAAATGAATCCTAGCTGTACCTGCTTCTGCTGGTGGGGTATTTACAGGGCTAAACCCGTCCCCTTTCGCGTCCAGCGGTAAAGTGCGAGAACCGCTTTTCGGCGATGCCGAATTTCACTGGAGTTGACTGGGCGACCCCGAGCCTGGGCGACCGCAGAGCGCATCACCTGCCGGAAGCTACGCTGGTACTCCGTGTTGAGAGTGACGACGCATGATTCGGTGGCTCGGATCATGGTCTCGCAGGCGTTGAGTATCCCCTCTCCTGCTTCCTTTTGTAGGCGCTCGACGATAAGCAGAAGGAGAAAACTGCCTTGCAGTAGCTGGATACCAAAGAAGTAAGGCATGAAACTGACGTCCGGGTCGAAGCGGAGGATTTGTTGCACGGAATCTGCAGCTTCCAGTGCGTGGGAGATGGTGGATGCAAAGGCCGGGGACGATGTCCAGAAATCCTTGTCTTCGATGAGTGAGACAGGGTCCCATTTTCCGACGAGTAGGATGTGGAGGACGTGGGTTAGGTAGGAGGAATAGGCAATCACGGTTTGGGCATGCCAAGAATAGGCCTGAGACAATTGCGGATCGACAGGGTCGGGTTTATTGGCGTAGGCAGTCGTCGATGAGGCCGCTGGGTCTGCCGCTGTCGCCGTCGCAAAGGTGGTGAGACTAGCTTTGTAGACCTCAAGTTGACGCAGCACTTCCGACACGTGAACCTCCCACGCTTCTTTTCCTTGAAGTCGGACACCAAGAGTAGGGTGATTTCGTGCCTGATTTAGGTCGATTAGTTCGCCCGTGATCGTCATGAGCGGGAGGAAAAATCCAAGGATAGAGTGGTCGTGGCAGATGAAGTTGGGGAAAATGCGACGTTTGTTTTGGTCGCCCGACCGGGGGCATTGAGGGCCATCTGGACGAGGACTGTTGCTGTGAATGATCCCGGCTTGCCAAGAGTTTTCATCCAGTGGAAGCAATAGGTCTTCGCTTTCGGCATCGAGTAGAGCTAGCGGACGATTATAGCATAATGCGAGGTGGCGATCCATGATGTAGAGCAGCCACCAGGTTCTGCGCCGCTCTTCGCGATGCTCTTCTGTAATAGTTCCATTTTGCAAGTCATGGCTCTTATCACATACGCAATTCAGGCTTGCACGCGAGGTGTTCGAATAGTCCAAGCCCAGCCCACCTGGGGAACCAGGCCATCCACCTAGACCGTAGCCGAAGGACGGGCTTGACCCATCGCTCATGCTGTCGATAGTGGGTGTTATTTCCATCTCCTGGTTCAATTTGAGTTCTCGAGCTAGTGTAAAGGCCGCATGCCACCTGGCGTGGAGTTAGTGGAGGGGACAGGGGATAGGAACAAAGGCAAGACAAACCATCTCATACTTGCAGCCTTCTGTTCACTAGAGGAGACAATCGAGGCCACATGAATATACGTAATGACATCGTCTAATGATCCAGCGGGGCCTACCAGCCCTTTGTCATCTCCGACTCCTTCAAATGGGTGGTGAGCCCCGGCTGAAAATTCATGGTTGGTCACATTTTCCGCGCGGAATGGATCTTGGTCTTTGAACGAGACATGTATCAAAGGTCGCAGTAAGCGAATTATCAACGCACAGAGAAACTGGCATATCCTTCTCCGTTGTAATGGTGAGATGGATAAAGAGAAGGCGCGATCATCGACAGCAGCTACCCACAGCATACTTGCCAGCAAGGCAGGACTAGTCGGCCTAGGGCGATCAGCACTTAGAAAGGAAGTCTTCCGTAGGACATAGCAATGGATATGATGGCACACAGGATGCATGTGGGTTGAGAAAGCGCTGGTAAAGTAGAGTTCAAGCAGATCGCACACCAGTCGATGCGGGAGGTTCGATTCGAGGAATGGCATGAGAGGTTCCAATACAGGGTACTTCAATGGCGACCGGAAGCTCGATGGACGTCTTTGTCTCGGAAAGTTCGCCCCTGACACAGACGGTATAGGAGGGGCGTGCTGAACTGGTCGTTGTCCAGCGAAATCAACCGGATTCCAAATGTCCATCAAACGGGGCAGAGGCGCGTCGCTGCCACCCGTGCCTGCAAGCAGATCATATGAGTCTGGCGATAGATGCGCCGCTGAAAGCCATTCCTCCGTAATGTTCGCGGCGAGCTCTTCCCGCTGCGGTGGTGGATGATCCGGCACAGACCGAGGGTTGTCAACACTGTGCGCCGAGACGGCGCTGATCTCATTTGATGCCGGTGATCGCTGCTGGAAGGTCGATACAGGAGAATTATTGTTCACCGGTGACAGCGCCTGCTGCGATTGTGACCCACGATTTTGTTCCTCGTCGGCCTGTTTCCCCACGGTGGGGTCTGGGGCTGTCTCTTCCTCGGCATTCGCGTTTCCAAATTTCGCCTTCGATCTTGCGATACGTCCTCGTTTCCGGCGCTCGCGGGTAAATTGGCAGCTTATATCACCACGCAGGCATCTCGAGCAGGGAAAAGCACGGTCGCATCGTACACGGCGAGTATGGCATGAGTCGCAGGCGACTCTGTTTCGGCGCCATCGTCGCTTGCCGTTTGCTAGCTCAACCTCGACCGAGTCGGGGCCCGGAGACGGCTGATCACCCTGGGACTCCATTTCGGGACGTCATTTGCGAGATCAAGTGTCAGGGAAAAAAAAAAAACAAAAAAACAAAGTAGCTGAAGAGAAAAGATAAATGTTGCGGGGAAAGGGCACTAAAGTCTCACCCGCAATTCGACAATTCCCACTTGGCGTGCAATTTCTCCAACTTTTTAGCTTCAACTTTGGACAGAAGTACGGAGTATATATCTCACCTGATCAAAGTTGGCAATTTTACCCTTCATTTTTATTAATAAGTTCTACACTTCACTCTATTTTAGATACTACTTCTTAATTACACTCTTGAACCGCTCCAACGCTCGACCTCGGCTCTCTGCATGGTCAACAATGGGCTTGGGGTAGCCATTTTTCTGCGCGATGGCTGCCGCTCCCTTCGCGTAAGGCTCGTGGATGGCATTTCCAGACACGTCGCGTAATTCCGGAACCCACTGCCGAATGTAGTCCCCCTCTGGATCGAATCGCTCACTCTGGCGAAGAGGATTGAAAATGCGGAAGTATGGCTGTGGGTCCACACCAGTGCTGGACCCGAATCCCCACCCGCCGTGATTGGACGCGAAATCGCCATCAATCAGATTCTCCATGAAGTAGCGCTCACCACGGCGCCAGTCGAGCATCAAGTCTTTGGTAAGGAATGATGAGACGACCATGCGCGTACGATTATGCATCCACGCGCAGTGACGGAGCTGGCGCATTGCTGCATCGACGATCGGGAAGCCTGTCTTGCCATCGCACCAGGCTTGGAACAGGTCCTTGTCGTATTCCCATTCAATATTGGTATGCTCGGGCTTGAAACATTTGTTCATACTATACCAAGTCTTAGCGTCAGGATGGGAAACCCGTTGTCCTGGAAGATCAAAGCTTACCAAATGAAGGGCCAGTTCACCAAAACATGCTTGTAAAAGTCACGCCAGGCCAGCTCGCTGATCCAGGTCATGTAACCAGGATCATGTCGATCGAGGTGGCCTTTGTTGGTCCTCTTCGCTGCGACAACAGCAGTCCTGGCGCTGAGCGCCCCGCATGCAAAGTAGGGACTCAAGGCCGAAGTGTGCTCTCCAGACAACATGCTCCGGAACTCCTCATACTTTTTACCTTTCTCCTCGAGAAAGTTGTCTAGTCGCTGCAGAGCCTCATGTTCACCGGCCGGGTACAGCTTTTCGAAGCGTTTCTGGTCTTCGTCTGATAAGAGGTACATTTTGGGTGTAGCTGGGACTTGGCAATCGAACAGGTCCTTAAATTGTTGGCGCGCATTCCCTGAATTTGACCCGGGTTCCTCGGAGACTTCGAGATAGTCCGGGTTTTCTTTCAAAAAGGCCAACCAAGATCGATACCATGGTGTATAAACGGAATATTGTTTCCCTTGCTGGCTAGCCAGCATGCCCGGAGTGACCACACATGTATCATGAGTGGGAGTAAAATTGATATCGCTCTCCACACAGAGTCTAACAAGCTTAGATTCACGCCGCAGTTCGTCTACCTCATACTCGATGTTTGCAAATAGGCTCTTCGCGCCCCACTGTTGACACAATTCCACAATCCGTTCCGGGATTGCCTTCCGTTTCACCTGTGTTTCCATGTACAGAGGAATATCCAACTCTCCCAGGTCCTGTTGCAGTCGCTTGAGGGTGCGCAAGGTGAAATCCACTCGGGCGGGGCTAGTCAAATGGGCCGTCCAATCCTCGGGGGAGACAATGTAAAGTCCTATCAACGGGACCTGTTTCTCTTTCGAAATTTGGTAGGCCGTGTACAGCGCCCTACTGTCATGAAGCCGGAGATCGCTCTTGAACCAATGTACCACGGCGTTACCCACGTCGATTGATCGGCGTTTGTCAGCGGTTTCCCGGCAAGCATTCTGTAGTGTTTCAATGGGGCGTTCCAGCTCGCCATCGATGTATGCTTGGCAGCGCTCGTTGCTCATCTCGGGTGGATAGAATTGGCGTAAGACTATACCGAAATCCTCGGTTTTCTTTGCATTTGGGTGTGGTTGGTGCAAGTCGCAACGACCCTTTTTACTAACCTGCGGACCATTGGGCTGTTCCGGAGCCGGTTCCGTGGCTTTCCTCTTTGGTGGCATAGTCGATAGGTTGCGAACAAGGTGCGCTCGCAATTGACGAGAGTGAAACGCGCGAGGGATTGATCGAAAACAATAGCGAAACAGATCCTGCATTGCTGAGAATGACAGAGTGTTCAAATAAAAAGAAAGAAATCCTCGATCCAGAGATCGAGATCGAGTTCAGATCGGATGACGTCACAGTTCGATCTATCGCGTCCCAGCATCCTCGGCTCTGGACTTGGTGCATTTTTTGATCAATCATGTCGATGATGCCAGTGATGTCCACAATGTGGGGTGGTTATGTCAGTGAGGCTATTGTATCGATGACAGTACATCAGTTGCTCCCATTGACTCCCCGATCCACTTTTTTGGTCAATCAGCAAGCTCGGCCTAGTTCCATAGCACAGTGGATCTGCCGTTCGGCTTTTGGCGAATCAGGCGCCAGATGTGAATAGCTTCGTGGTCCAAGTCCAATTGTTTTCCCCGAAAAGACCTCCAATTCAACATGGAGTCCTTATACTTCACGCTGGTTATCTGCAGGGCTCATCTGTCGTCTTCCGTGGGTACCCACCTTCTCAGCTATCCTCTCCCTATGGCTGTATATTGCTCATATGTCTTAAGCTTCAAAGCAAGGGGGATTGACAACTCCGAACAAAGATTCAGCCACAAGATCAAGAATGCGAAGAACGTCAGGGGGGATACATGGTGTTCGAGTCCAATCTGACATGCAACGACAGACTCTCCCAAAGATGGATCCATGGCTCGAGAACTTCCTCATCTCCCTGTCAACCAGTACGCTTTCGCCAATTTCCCCGCAAACCGGAGGAGCTGTCATGGAATCAGCTCTATGTGCTGTACTTGCCCCCGATATCGTCCAAGTTCTTCTTGCCACTGAAGTGCTTTTGAATGACCTTTAAGCTTCCTGCTCGGCACAACGGAAAAAAAATTATACCGTCTTCCCATCCTCAATCCCCCTTTTATCGAAATTTCCTATTCATCTATCTGGTATCATAGGACATAACCAGCAATGTCCCTCTATCGCCAATGGCTACCGAAAATGCCGGCAGCATCGCAACCCCACTCATCCACAGCTATGGTACATCCGATCCTACCCGCACAGGTTTGTTCGCCGCCTTCGCCGCACTAGCCTGGTACAACGCCATCGAACTTATCATCATCTGCTTCTTCTCCTTCAAACGCTGGAACGGCACCTACTTCTGGAGCCTACTCGTCTCCTCCGTCTGCATCGTGCCGTACGGTCTCGGGTTCGTCCTTCTCTTCTTCTCCACAGGCGTCACTCCCTGGTTATGCGTGACCCTCGTCGTGCTGGGCTGGTGCGGTATGGTCACCGGCCAGTCTGTCGTGCTGTGGTCGCGACTGCATCTAGTGCTACAGAATAGGAAGCTGCTGCGCGGTGTGTTGTGGATGATCTGTATCGATGCTGTACTATTCCATCTTCCGACAACGGTTTTGTTGTACGGGACTGTTGCTCATCCCAGAAGTCGCTGGGCCCGCGGATACGATACCATGGAGCGTGTCCAGGTGGTCGGCTTCTGTTTACAGGAATTGACTATCTCCAGCATTTACGTCTGGGAAACGATCAAACTCCTTCGTCTCAGGCCCGAGGGCCGCCCCCAGGGAATTCTGAACCAGTTGCTGGTTATCAATATCCTCATTCTGATATTGGATATCGCGGTGGTAGTCATCGAGTACGTCGGATACTATGCTGTGCAGGTCTTGTTCAAACCTGTCGCTTATAGCGTCAAGTTGAAATTTGAATACGCCATCCTCGGCAAATTGATCGCGGTTGTGCGCGGTGGCTTGGACAGTCAGGAGACGCACTCCAGTGCGCGGGAGATAAATGAGACTAGCTTGTTTCCGTCGGATGGGGACTGGCCTCGGAATATGCACTCGCTGATGCGGGATCGTCGCCAGTACAGTCCGCCGTGGTTTTGGGAAGGGAGGAGGTCCGGTCAGTCTACATCTGCATCATCTGGTGTTCTGCAAAATTCATGAAATCCTGCTTTAGTATGGTGTTTTGGCTCTGGGGTTTGGCTTTCCTTTCACTTGGTTACATAGACAGTGATAATCTCTGTCATTTCGGTTCATATAGCATGGTCCAAAATGTTAATATGAACAAATTAATATTCTCAAATGGTTAATCAAAATCTTCACGCCTGCTTCACGAGAGATCTCAAAATATGTTCAGCGATAGTAATCAGCCAATCCAGTGTCGGTCCCAGCCTGCAGCACCAATACACTGCCGTAAATCCTACTCTCGGGCAGTACCATCGCAGTCCCGACAGCTCCCAGAGCCCGGCGGGTCTCCTGGCCAACACCGTCCTCCAAAATACCCAGCTCAATTTCAGAGGAGATACTACGACGACCGACAATGACAATGTTGTTCGCCTTGTTGGAAGTGTGGTTAAGTTCCTCGCGCACAAAAACGACAGCCAGTTGGACTGCGTCGGTGATGGTCTCGTTGACAGCTGGTTGGTGGAAGACAACACGCTCTTGAAGTTCCTCTGGTACTGAATCGCGGAGCGTCTCGAAGAAGACCATATCGGATTGAGAGCTGGACGAGGGGAGTGCACTTGAGGTAGAGGCAGCAACTGCAGTCGACACGCCTGTTTTGGTGCTGTCACTGCCCAGTGCACCAATTTGTAGAACAGTCGCAGTGACCGAGTCATTTTGGGCGAGCTGCATGACCATCCGGAGAGCGAAGCGGTCGTCATCACCGCCGAAGAAAGGAAGCACAATGTGGTGAGAGCGGCTGCCCGTTGGCTGACGGGCGAAGATGGAGCCTTGGAGGCTCAGGCCGCTGGCGGTCCGTGAGATCACGGGTCCCTTGGATGAGGCTGAGGCTGGGCTGTATTCAATAAAGATGCCTACATGGCCTGTTACTCGCTCCAGGATATCAGAAACGAAGCTTGTGTAGGCGCCATTGGAGAACCGATTTGTGTCGTCGATCTCCAATCCATTATGGTGGTCGGCCAGTGTTCCAGTCTCGCTCCAGGGGAGAAGGAGCATATATGCGGTGTCCTGCTGTGCCATGCCGATGACAGTGTCTGCGTAAGAGTGCTCGGGGACAACAGATACACCAGCCATAAGCGAAAGATCATGCCAGTCTCCGAAGGCACGGAATGTGTTGACCACCGGATCCCACAGCGCATGCTCGCCCGCTGCAGCAACCTTCATGACACTAGAATCACGGTCGGTCAATTCCATTAGCCTAACACCATGCACCTTGAGTGTAGTGTTTTCCTCCTCTTCTGGGGTAAAGGAATCTTCAACGGTTTGCTCGGTTTGCTTTTGCATTTTCGCTGGGTGGATTCGTGATGACACAGCTGCACGTCCATTTGGGCTGAGCAGAGCTGCCACGGTGCAGACACCCGACAGACCATCGAGACGGAGATAGACAAGGAGCTTGCGTACTGGAACGGTCTTCAACTGACCCTTGGCAAGGGCAACGCTGTCATTTCGGTCATGGTGCTGAACAGGGTTGCCTTCCCAGTCAATTTCCCCGCGTCTCCATCGCTCGACCTTGACCTGGTACCATCTTGGATACAGCCAGGTGGTTAACGGAGTAGTAAGGAATGTGGTGACCAAGGCCATCACGACAAAGATTGTAAACGTGCGAGTGCTCAAAATTTTGGCTTGGAGACCAATATTCTGTGAGCGTTTAAATTAGAGTTCCATTCTCAGTCAGGGAAATTTTGACTGGTGTCATAAACGTACCAGCACAATTAGTTCCACCAGCCCCTTGCAGCTCATTAACACACCGATTGAAAAACTTTCCCGCCATAAAAGGCCACAGAGCCGCGACGCAACAGCACCTCCGGTAACCTTCGCAATGAATGCGATGGCAATTACACCGACCACATAACCCCAGACAATTCCAGAGTCAAGGAGGCCCAGATTGGTACTCAAACCGGACAGAGTGAAATAAAGCGGCAAGAAAATGACAGCGACCAAGTCCTCAACTTTCTCGGTGATTTTGATGGCAAAGCCGCCTTCGTGCGGGCAGATCAATCCGATAACAAAGCCACCAAAGATGGCGTGAATACCAATAACCTGAGTGAAGAATGCCGAGGCCAGAGCTATGAGCAAAGTCAGGGCAACCACCGACTGGCTGGGCCCTTTTTGCAGGCTGCCCGTTTTCTCGAGGAAGCAAAGGAACAGTGGGCGGAAAGCAAAGGTCAAAAAGAGTATGTAGGCAACACAGACTAGCAGCACGTACAGAGCCGTGATGCCACTGCCCGCGTTGACAAGAGCAACGCAGAGTGCAAGCAGGATCCAGCCCACCACATCATTTCCAACTCCGGCGGATAGCACGATAACACCAACCTTGGTTGATAGTAGCTTCAGCTCCGTAAGGATACGGCACAGCACAGGGAAAGCTGTGATGGCCATGGAGATCCCGATGAACAGGAGATATGTACCGAAGGCAATGGGTTTGGTACCAGGGTCATCGTGGAATTCATGATAGAGGCCATACGAGATGGCACAACCCAACCCGAAGGGCAAGATCATGCCCGCGGCAGACACGCTCAACGCGACCCGCCAATTACTGATCAGGAAGCGGAGATCGGTTTCAAGACCAACCAAGAAAAGAAAAAGCACCAGGCCCAGATTGGCGACTACGTTAAGGCCGGGAATGCTGGCGGTCGGAAAAATGGCGTCGGTAAATCCGGGAATGCGACCCATCACTGATGGGCCCAAAACAATCCCCCCGATGACCTCTGCGATCACTCGGGGCTGACGAAGCTTCGAAAGAGGCCAGTGGATCAGACGGCATAACACGATGATTATAACGGCCTTTTGGTCAGTTAAAGTTCTGGGTTCTCGGATACCGACATAGTTACCTGGATTATAAACAGCACCAGCGGGTTCTTGGGGTCATAATGGGATGGGTTGCCACCTTCGAGGATGCCACCCTGGGGGCTAACTACGTTGGTGCTATTAGCCGTGGCCGTAGGGGTAGCGTTGGTGGCCGCCATGCTGGATTGTATCCAGCTTAGGCAGGCAAAAGACGTTAAAGGGGATTTTGCGAGTCAAGATGTTGGTGACGACAAAATGAAAGGATCAGCGCTAGTACGAGGGGCCAATAAGATTTGAAGTGCCAATGCCATGGATCTTTTTCACGGCTTGGCTTTGCTAATCTCAAACTGGATCGGTCAAAAGGCTTTGGTAAAAGGATTCAAGATGATGCTCAAGGTTCCTGTTGGGACAAAGAAACCCGCTTTTGTCATATCTACTTCCTCCATGCTGTGAAATACTGTCGCAGTCCCCCGCGTACCTCACTAATCTCCGCATCTTTAAAAGTTCCCACGTGATATTGACAGCCCGGGCCTTTTTAGGCGAAAGGATTTACCCCAGATTACGCATCTACCCTCCTATACATAGCCTTATTGCCTTAAATTTTCCGTTCGGTAGAATCAAACCATCTGTAAAGTTGTGGGGCATGAATATTCTACGGAATACAATGAGGGGGATCCTATCTGAAGAGAAACAATGTGAAGTGATTCTTTATGAAGGGCCGTATACTCTCCAACTCCACATTGCTAATCGTACATGTTGCGAAGGAAGTCACAAAAGAAAATGAAGAAGCCGAGATTTTTGATTATATAAAGAAAGCAATGCCTTTTATCAACATCTATGTATAAACGAGCCAGGTATCAAAATGTGTAGCAAATGTACAAGAACAAAGACCTCGTAAAGAGGGCTCAAAGAAGACCAAAAAAGACCACTGAAACACCAAGCAAATACAAATCCTTCGGGCACTATCTATGTTCCAACGGAGCCAATCAAGCCTTCTTTGTCTTAGCCTTAGAGCCCCGCACCCTGAAGAGGTAATAAAGCGTGATAGCAGCAAAGATATTGAAAATGAAATAACACCAGAAGATTCCGTAGTTTCTCCAGCGATCACCCCACTCAATCTTCCTTGCAGAAAGGTACTGATCCGCGGAGCGGAGAGAACAGTACTCACAACCGGACGTGGCATTGTAATTAACAAGCGTCCCGGGCGCAGTCGCGAGATACTTCTCCATATACTGGAAGCAGGTCTGACCAGACGGCGGATCAAAGACACTCATTTCCGCATCATTACATTCGACCGGACGGCCATGGAGCGCCGTAGCCCCGATACCGCCGATGTAGTAGGTAAATGGCGAGACACGGTACATGAATATCCAAAAGCGAGGGAGTTCATCGGGTGGTTGCATGACGCCGTTGAAGATGAAGGAAAGACCAAACATCAGCGTGGCCAGCATAGCTGCGAGTGCGGGCTCCGGGATTGCGCAGACGGCTAGCTGTGCCATGCTTGCGGCGTAGATGTAGAATTGAACGATAAAGAGCATGATCAGGGAGCGACGCTCGGAGTCTTGGTCGGAGCCGAAGACGGACCAGTAGAAGCAGGCCCAAGAACAAACACCGAGACAGACTTGGAAGGGAATTTCCACGAGCATCTGGGACAGGATGAAGACTTTCCAGGAGTAGATACGGGATGGTCGTTCGCGGACTTCGTAGAGGGAGCGCTGGAAAACGAATTTGGGCATGATCTGATTCACAAGGGTGTTGAAAATTGTGCACAACAGGAAAATACTGAAAAGCACGTTTTGGAAGCCTTGTTGGGAGTTGTCTGCTTTCCAGAACGAGAAGCCGATGAATAAACCAGACACAATACCCAACACAAACTTGGAGTAGATGTATTCTGGCTGACGGTAGTACTGTTGGAAGACTCTTGCAAGGACATAGTACAGCTGGCTGCTGAGTGGCATGGCGAACTCGGAGTCGTCATCGTCAAGCTCATCAGACTTGTCCACGACAGGTTGGTGAATAGACGGCTTGCGGGCGTAATGAAGTCGTTCGACCTCAGCTTGTACCTCTTCATACTCTGGACTCTTGTTCCAGGCCTCAACCCAGTCTACTGTGCAAGAATCGCCAGCAACCATTTCAAGAACATATTCAGCGGGATTCTCAAGTTTCTCACATGCTCGCGCGCCATTTTGCCTGAA